GCAATATTTCTACACTATTTAAAACAAAATTACAATAATAATTGTTGTTATGTGGGTTCTATTTTCGTTGATTTCTTGGTCACCTATGGATAAGAGGGAAAAAAAGAAAAACGACCAATTCTAATTTTATTATAATACTGTTCGCATAGTCATTTTTTTATTGCAGTGATTTATCGTTAATTTCAGTATAAAAATTTAATTACCCTGTATTCTATATATTTAAATAATTACAGTACATCAACTGAATGTAATATTATAACCATTTGTTTTTTTTTTTTTTTTAGATCCTGGCGTAGCTATAGAAATGTATTAGGTTCACTATCTATGGTGTGTGTGAATTATTTTTCATTCATAATCACAACGAGGGAACAAGAGGAATTTATTTTAACACGGGTTGGCGTATATTTATGCACGATGTTTTTTGGTTTATATTTTCTGGGCATCGAACTGTAAAATTTGAAAAATTACCTTTTAAAATTAATGTTTGTACCTACCGCCTATCCATAAGGTCGCCTAAAGAAACTTTTTTATCATTTTTATTGTGTCATAAAATACTTTTCATAAAAAAAAAAATCACATCGACGCAAAATGAATAGTGAGTTTCTCGGTTTGTCTAAAATGTCCATAAAGAAAAACACAAAACAGTCTACACGTGATAAAAATAATAAAACAGTTATTTTAAATTCTGGACTTAGTGAGGAGTTATATTGAATTTACTATGGTTTATTATTTTGTTTTGTCTGTGAATAACTTTTCTACCAGAAATATTGCTCCAATCATCAACTTAGGGTTTTTTTTTGGTAGCGAATTTTGTCTATTTTGTGCATTTAGATGATAATTTTCCTTGTAATATTCTTAATAATTGAATAAAACCGGGAATAAATATAGGAAAGTGGAAAAAGTTAGTCAATTCTTCTACGAGAAAGGTCAGATGAAGTTTTTGATTGATTTAATTATTCTGATCATAAACTTATTAGCTCCTTATTATTATTTGCCTTAGTAACCAAATGGAACTAACAGCTTATAAACTCTTATATTAATATGAGATTTTGGCCGTAAAATCGTTAAAACCGTTAAAAAAACATGATTTTTTCTCTTTCTCCGGCTTCTTAAAGTTAACTGAGGCCCCTTACCATAACAAATATGCACTGTTTCCATCTATTCCTATCCTGAGTTAATGACTTTCCGTCCTGTACGCAAATTTCCGTTAGGCTTTTTACGTCTATCCATAATGAATAAGCAATTATTAAATATAAATAGTTTTGACAAATGGTTTTCAAAATATTGAATTTGAAACTGGGGCCGAAAAGACTAAAGAGTGCATTAAATTTGAGTGAATAGAAGAAATGAATTGGTAAAACACAATTGCGTACGTTTGTTGTTTTTGACAAAACGATTGCGTATGTTTTTCGATAAATTAAAGAATATTTAAAAAATAAAATAAAATCAACACGATTGCGTACGAATTTGTGTGCGACGTTGTCAAAAGTATATACTACATACTCAATAATTATCCAGTACAATAGTTTTATCTGAACTGTAAAATATTTTAACTAATAAAATCATAGTTAAAAAATTAACTATTTTAAAATACCCAAATTTAAATTTCTGAACATCTATAAACTTATATTTTTAAATATTGTAATCAATATTTGTATGGATCTTATACTCATCATAATACTCTATAATATTTTGAATACGAATAAAATACTATTTTGACATTTTCTTTATTTTCCCGTTATTAATTAATAATTGTATAATTGGTCTTGTCTATTAAAATTTAAAATTATTAACTATTTTCTTCTTTCGGATTTTATAAGTTTCATAGAGTTTTCGATATTACTAAACGTCGATAAAATATACGCACGTATGATGATCAATGACGAACTGAGGGGCACAAAATACCAATACATTTGAAATAACGAAATTTCGTAAAATAAACGTTTGTGGGAAAATAAAAAGTATTCATGCATTATTTCTAGTTCACCCGTGTGATATATACCGGTATGAAATATGACAACAACGGTTAAAATTTCGTATGCAATCGTGTAACCAAAAATCAGGTAACGTCGTATGCAATCGTGATTTATCCAAATGTATCATATTTGAATGAATAGAGAAAGTTTGTTTTCGGGTGAAAGAGGCTCATCCATATAAGACGACCGGTCCAATGTATCAGGGGCGTTCTAAACCTTTTCTATTTGGAGGAAAGGGGTTATCAGTTTCAAAAATTGCAGACTACATGAAAATTACGAAAAAAATATGTAGTTGTATAGGTTTTTATATATGAGCGTTGAACGTACCAGGTGATTCATTTAAGTGGGTACACTCATTATCTCGGAAAGTATCAATTTTTTTCCGAATTTGTTTTCTAGAACATTTAAGAAATAAGCTGCTCTATAATTTTATATTTATGTTATTATTTTTCATCCTTATTTTCGGGGGTAAAACCACTCTTACTTTTGATTTTCAAATGGCAATCTATATTAAAAATTCCATAAATAAGCGGAGTATTAGTTAAAATAAATTTGAGTTTTGACATTTTATTTCCGTTTATTCGTTGACGAGATATTTCACTTTTAAGTTTGGGTTGGAGGAAAGTAGTGGAATGTTATTTGTATGGCGGTACGGCGCGCAACGTGTTATTGATGTAGCACTGCTCTCCTGAAACCTAAATTTAAAAGTGGAATATATCGTCAATGGATTGACGGAAATTAAAATTTACAACACTCAAATTTATTTTAACTAATACTCTATCTATTTATAGAAATTTTAGTATGGGTTGCTATTTGAAAATCAAAAGTAGGTAGTTGTTTCACCTACAAAAATAAGGGTGACAAAAAATAACACAAATATAAAATTGTAGATCTGGTTGTATCTTAAATGTTCTAGAAGACAAATTTTGAAAAAAAGTTATTTTTTTCCGAAATAATAAGTGCACCCACTTATATGAATCACTTAGTATATAAGACCTCGAAACTCGGGTATTTTTTTTTTTTATTTCGGGCGCTCAAAAATCGATTTTTGGTACCGCGAAGCTTATTGTTAAGACACGCGTAGAAAATAAACACGTCAACTATTATACTTAACCGACGACTAACGAATTACTTAATAGAATACGTGTTCGTTATTGGTACACTCGTGCCTCGGTCGAAGTTTTCCGTCGCTCGTTAGCACGCGACAACGTATTCATTTTTCATCGGGTACGTCAAATTAGTACGGGTTTACTTATATACGGTTAGTGGTTAGCGGTTTCGGGGGCAATTATATTGTAGTATTATTATATGACGTGAAAATATTAAAATGTCTACGGGATTAGTGTAATTTGTATCTTTCATAAAAAGCTACTGTGTATAGTATATTATATAAAAACAAATTTAACCATTTACGTTGTAAAGTTACGACTCGCCTACATACCAATACTCGTACATACATAGTGTTTATCTGATTAATCGCGAAAAGTTATAATAAATTATTGTAATACTATAATATATGTAGAAAATATAGCAGGTAAAATACCTAACTGTTTTAATACGCGTGTACCTGATGATTAATGTTTGACGTGCTTTACCCGTAGGTATAAAAGAACACGGTTTTTCGTGGTATAAAAAAACAATGCCATGTTGTATGTAGCAGATCTTTTCCGATCGCGTTTACGCGAAACGTTAAAGCGAAAAAAAGGAAATTTTTGGAAATAATTTACATATTTAACTGTACGGAGCGTGTGAAACGCTTTTTAACTCGAAATTTTTTCCTAATAAATTTTTTCCGTAAATTATAATTCAAAAATCTGCCTTCGTCCTACGAGACGGGCGCGATTAAAGTATTTTATAAACTCCGTGCACGATATTATCGTACAGAGTTGTTACCGTGTTTCGTACATCGTTTAAGTATAAGTTTTTTGTCCAAATTTCAAGTTTCTACAAATACTTTTAACTGAATTACAACAAATAATAAATTAAAAATTAATATTATTTTCGTAAATTTCCCATTTTTCTTATGTTTTATTCTGGTTTTACCCAGATATTATAAAAACCGCTTGAAAAATCATAAAATAACCTCTCAAAAGTACCATCTGGAAAACATTTTCTTTCAGAAATAGTGCCGTGTGTATATATCTAATCAAGATTTTTGGTAGAATTTTTGTACATAGGATAAAAAAAGTAAAAAATTAATTTAAAAACAGAATCTAAAATTTAATAATCTCACAATTTGTATTGTACCCTTAGTAGTCTATTGAGTTTTCATAAATATTTATTATGGACTATGTATTGTTTGTCCTTTATTATGAAATTATTCGAATTTCTTTACCAATAATCGCTCGTTAATTTTGAAAAAAATAAAATATTAGTTTGTTTAAATGGTATATTATTATTTGTAAACTTGTGGTAGCGATCAGTTGTATTATATTGTAGGAAACACGATTTTTGATTGTATGTAATTTGATGTTTAATAGAAAATCTACATAAAAATAAAAAACCAATCGTACACACACTAACCCACCATCACTTTCACGAACGTTAAACTTGATTTATGTTCGTCTACATCAGCCGATCAATCGTCTCAATACAATCTTATTTGATTTGGCGCATTTTTTTTTCGAACTTTTATCCCTTAATACTTATTGATATAGCCACGCCGTCGTTTTAAGCATTTAACGGCAAACGCAATATCTATATAAATACAATTTTTAAAAAATAGGGTTTTTTCAAATATTGTTTATGCGGAATTTTTAAAAAGCTCGTCTCACCTCACCTCGATTCTTTGTTTTATCAATTTTGAAGCTATGAATACAAATACAAATCATTTCTATAAAGTAAAATGATTCACACAAAAGTACGCAGAGCTTATACAACGTTTTTCATAATTTTAAATTATATAACAAAAAATAATAACAAATAACATAATTTAGATTTTTGAAATAGATTCAGTATAAATGCAATTCAATTAAGTATGAAGTATGAAAGTTCACTATAATATGCAAAAACTCTTCATATAGTGTCCCAACGAAAAGTAAGTGAAAAACAAATACTCTAAGTTATATGCTCAAAATTGTATAATATTATAAAATGTAAAAGAAAATAACAATGTTGTTCCATGCTACTATATTATAGTTAGAATAACTTGGTACCTAATACAGTACATATAGGCCAATTATTGGACTTATTTCATGGGACATAAAATATATATGTTCCGTTTAAAAGTAAAACACACATTTAAAACGTTTTAGCACTGGATCTAGAAACCATAATTGGAGGTAACTAACCTAAATATTTGTTTTAACTACTGCTTATTTAATCATCGTATAATTCATAAAATGATAAGAAATAATATTTTGAAAATTTTTGTTTTGTTTTGTTATCGAAATTCTAGAGTAAATAATTTATACTTAAATATATAATAGGGACAAGGGCGAAACGTGCCCTATCCTTAGATTCGTGCCTGAAAAAAGTATATGTCCTAACTGACTGATTTATCATTACACAGTCGAACTCGCTGTGTTTAGAAACTTGAAATTGAGGTTCCTTATTTGATTAATATGCTAGTATTTTACTATGATGTGCGCTTTTCATTTTTTTATGTCTTTGAATAAGTTTATTATTGATGATAAAGGTTCAGGTGTTAATAATGATAATAATAATAATAATAAAACAATACTACTATATCGTGATAGAACTCACAATTTGAATAAGTATAATGTATAGAAATATGCATAGTAAAGTTATAATAAACTAATAAAATACATATACGAGTACTTACGTATATTAAAACAGTAATTAAAATACTAATATAATTATGATAGTTATAAAACGCTATAGGTTATAACTTATAGCTTATAATAATATTATACACACGATTTCCGCGTGTATGCTATTATTTTGGAAGACTTGTTTTACTTTAATATATTTGGTAAGCTTATATGTATGTTATTTTTTTGGAAGACATCGTTTTCAAATGGTTCATCGTCACATATTCTTGTATAGTTATGAAAAATACGTATTGATATCAATGTGCAGGGCAAATTATTATTTGGTCTCGGCCAACACTTGACGGAGCTTGTCAATGAACGCATGACCGTGTTGAGGCTGGAAGATCAAAGCAGGCCGCAGTCTAACGCCTACCACTCCGCATCCACCGGATTGGACTCCTGTGCGAGTAAAACAAAAATAATTACATAATATTTAAATTCATAAGAAAAAAATAATGATTTAGCCGATGTTATAATAATGGAAAATTGTATACAGAATAAATGTAACATATTACATTAGACTGTTTTAATTTTTAATTTTTTTTTTTTCGAATTAAAACTGGAAATTGCTTCCTTTTGATCTCAAACATACCCAAAAAAATTGTTTAGAACTTACTCATCGCATACTTAGTTTTTCCATTTAAATAACATAGGAAAGTAACGGTTACATTCAAATTAATCACATTTACTCATTAAGTTCGAAAGTTACGAGGTTGCACATGGATATGCACATGTATAGATTTCTACAAATGAGCTATTCTTACAAAAGTAAAATTTAACTTGATTCCAAATGAGTCTTATTTATTTTTTATAATATTTAAGAAAGAATCATATACAATCACGTAACTTCCGAACTTACTGAGTAAATGTGATTTAATTGAATCACGATTCTAAGTGAAGCTCTTTTTTTTATAAAACTAAAACTCAGCCAAGCCCCTCCCTCAATAAAATTTTTATCAAGTAAACACTAAATAAATCTAATCAATATTATTCATATTGGGACTTCTTCCTCTTCTCCAAAAAAAAATACAAATATTCGAGATATTTGCACTAATGAACATGGGACAACTTTTTCGAAAATAATCCATAATCGTAGATACATGTTACATCTGTTAACCGATTATATGTATGTATGTTTATATGTGTTATTTTATTATTATATAGAGGGTAATCAATCTTTCGTAAGGAACTCATTATCTCGGAAAATATTAACTTTTTTGTAGAACATTTGTATGTTTCATAAATATTTTAAAGAATATTTAAGAAACATGCAGCTCTACAATTTTATATTAATATTACTTTTTGTCATCCTTATTTTTGGGAGCAAAACCACTACTTACATTTGATTTTCAAATGGCAACCTATTTGGTGTTGAAATTATTGATTTCCATTAATTCGTTGATGAGATATTCCACTTTCAAGTTTGGACCAGAAGAAAGTAGTGAAACCATATATGAGCATGTGTATAACTGTTATGTTGCGGGTAGCCTTCCCGAATAAAGACGAGAGATAGGCAATATCAAAATCATATCTTTTATCTTACTCAGTGATAAATTTACTTTTCTTCCATAAATTAATTTTCGTTGCCATGCATATTGCTATGCATCTATGTTATGTTGAGAACAAATTACCTATTAACTATTTTCCTTTATCAATGACATTAACTCAGTTTATAGAAGAAGAATTTAAAAGTGAATGATGTACACTTTATTGCTGAGTAAGACAAAAGATTCAGGAATACCTGATAATCAATATAGTCTATTTATTATGTATTATCTATGAGTGGAACATTATTTTTGTAGTGGCAATACAACGCACTTCAAACTTAAAAGTGAAATATCTCGTTAACGGATTGACGGAAATCAAAAATGTCAAAATCAATATTTATTTTAATTAATGTTCCATCTATTTATGAAATTGTTAATATAGGTTGCCATTTAAAAATATGTAGTGGTTTTATGCCCAATAATAAGGATTACAAAAAATTACATAAATATAAAATTGTAGACCTGCTTGTTTCTTGAATGTCTATAAAACATTTATAAAACATACAAATGTTCTATAAATATTCTAGAAAAGTGTTCTAGAAAAAATTTAATACTTTCCGAGATTATAAGTATCTTACGATAGATTGATCACTCTGTAAATTATGATACGTGCATTTTATGTCAAACACAGACGCCATACTTGCAATTTGTAATAATTGAATAGAACTATAAATAATATAATTATAAAATACGGTATTTTTTTACAAAGCTCGAACGCTTCAAACCTATTTGAATATTAAACACCCAAGTATATATAAAAGGTTACCGGTTTTAGATTATGGTTATAGATTACGTGATTAAATGGTTTTCTTTTATGTGACTAGGCCACATAAAGTTGCCTACACTAAACGTCACGGCTTTTATCAAATTATTATTAATTTCGCTATTTCAACGAAACATACAGTGGCCGTTTTACCTAGGTCATCACTAGTTCCGTCAATGTACGAGTAGGTACATTAAACTCATTAAAAATACCCTATGATATTTGTAATTTTTATTTTTCCAATAGATGACAATTTTTAAAATATTTAAATAAATAAATTATCTTCTTATTTTAGGATACACGTCTTAAAATAATTTTAAAAATATGTTTTTTTTTATTATACAAACAAAAATAAACTGTACCTAATAATTTATTTATGTTTCAAACAAAACAATATTGATAATATTGATAATAATGCAGATTTTCAATAAACCTATAATAGTAATTGTTCGATAAACTTTAACATTCTGTACGCACTATCAAAAAAATAAACACATAGGTCATTCTAGTATTATATTACAAATAGTTGATACATCGGAACCAATTAATATATGTATTAACCTATTTTTTAAAAAATTTTATTCGATTTTACATGAAAATAATTTCTTTTGTATGCCTCGATAGTTATAGCAATTAATAATTATTGTTCTTTCTACATTTAAAAATAATCAAGTACGTAAACAATTATTTTAGTCTAATTTGTTTCTGTTTGTCCAATGTACAAAAAATAAAATAAAATCTGATTAAATAAAGTAATAGTTTTATTTTGATATTATTATTAAAACATCGGCATCAGCTAGTCTTGAGTTAGAATAAACTAATGCAAATCACGCATTACTTTACTGTAACAAAACTATGTAATTTAATAACATTTTTTTTTTCCAAGTTATGTAATTTTGATTTAAAATCTAAGCGGAGCTAAATATTTGATAGAAGAGTTTTTTACAGAAAAAAATAAACATCATTTTAAAACCAATACATTCCTCGCTCCACTCAAAATCTAAAAGCAGTTTAAATAACAATGAACTACTTAGTTTCCAATTTCAGAAGTATAAATTCACTTGATTACATACAAATAATAGATACCAAATGGAAGTGTTGTACACGGCATTATATTTTATAACGGTAATGACTAATAGTTCTAATCATATATCTGTACCTACTACTTTTGAAGTGTAACTTACCGATGACTACAATATATAGATAAATTTAAGTTAAATAACTTGATTACATTTTAAAATTTAGTACGAACAATAAATCTGGAATTCCTTAAATCGTATTTGTTCAGTGTAAAAATCGTTGATTACATAATATAGTAACTATGTTATGAATTATAAGTGTTTTATTTTTGTTAGTTTTTTTTTTTTTTTTTAGTGTTATTATTTATATTGTTTCCATATGATAGTCATATTCAAGTGTCATTTTATAATCAAATACTTAGATGTTTAGATAAATTACAATAAACTTAACAAATAGATTCATGGATAGTAACACAATTGAATTTTAAAGTATTAAAAACACAGCTGATAACGTAGAGAACACACTCATAATCCGGGCTTGAGACTTATAACACTTAAAATCCAAAAATAAACATTTAAAAAATCCAAACAAGCTCTGAAAACACTTTAAAAAAATGTAAAGAGAAAAAATGGTAGAAGGGTTTAATGTCCTTCCTTCTAAAGCTGTAACTTATTAAATAACATTTTCCAACACTACAAAAGTAATAATACAAAGTAATTATGTTTAAATAAAGTAGTTTGTATTTGAAAAAAAATTACTCTGTGTTTATGTTAGATAATAGTATTTAATAAATTAAAGCTATTAGAGGAAATGCTTTTAAACTCCTTTGCTATTTGAGATTTTTAAATACTTTTAAGTGCTTTTTCCATAGCTTTTTGACATTTTTGGACAATTTTTTGCGAATTTAAGTACTATAAGTTCCAAGCCCAGCTCATAAAATAAATACAATAAAATAATAAAGGTGCTAACCTTTTTGTAAGAGTCTTCGAACAATATCGTCGCGGAGTTTAGCATCGGCGGCATCAAACGTTATGAACGTGCCACGACCTCTAGTGGAGTTGATCAAAGCCGGGAACTCGGACTCCAAATCACGGAGTCCGGACATGAGCACTTCGCCGGACTTTTCGACAACTGACAAAAGGTTGTCCCTCTTGATCACGGCCAGGATAGCATCGAGCAACAAGATTTTGGTCGGATCGCCCATCCACGTGTTAAACACACGGTACGGTATGTCGGGTCTACATGAAAAAAAAATACAGTAATTAGTGGCATATAATCCTAACACAAGTAGTTTGGCAGTAATTTATATAGCGTGTTCAAAATATCATTACAAGAATTCGCTTTTCAAATAGTATCCACCGGTCTGCATTTTCTTGCTGAACGTCACAATGTCCGGCGATGTTTCCAGATCGAAATGTTCGTGACACCACATCTTGCCCGTGGGCCCACCGCCAGTCTGCACCTCATCAATCAGATAGCCCGCATTGTACTATGAAAACATAGATTATTTTATTATTATTTTTATTATTATTATTATTATTGTTATTATTATTATTATTTAGGTCAGGTGCTATTATAGGTAGTGCCAAACTGTAAAACTGTAACTTTTTTTTTCTTTTATGTAACTAGGCACAGTCAATTTTTTAACACTATATATTGTGTATTCTAAATCTTAATTCGTTTTCTGAATTGAGACATGTACAGAAATGTACATTAAATTCCGCTTTTTCCCAACTATTAGGTAAACTAAAAGAAAAATATACACTAATTAAATCCAAAATGCTACAAAAAAGTTCTCTATTAGTTTTCTGAGTAGAGGAAGATTTTTGGTAGAAAAATTGTACACAGACAGAAACAAAATCATACACATCAAAATAAAACCAATATATTTCTCGTTCCGCTCAGAATCTAAAAATAAAAAAAATATAGTTACATTGAAAAATATGAACATTTCAACTGCCACGTGTATAGATACCTACACTAAATACGGTTTTATAGTTGATTAATAATTATATTTAAAAATAGATTATGGAATATGAATGTTTATGTATTTTATTCAACAGTAAGTACCTACCATAAGTAGCGAATCAATCGTCATATCATCCTAATTTCATGTTTTTATTTTCTGTTGTACCTATCCCGTAGAATTAAGACCACTCGACTACTCTATGAAAATTTTTTTTCTAAATTATTTGTATATACATTAAGTATATTAGAGTATTAGCATTAATTCCAAACGCTTGTTGATTGTTAAATAATGTTCGTATTATTTTTATTAAAAAATATAAAATAAAAATATCTATGCAAACTTTTATGATAATAGTACTTTATGTTCATGTTTTTTTTTATGTTTAGTTTTAATATAATATTATTAATATTATGATTTAGATATTTCAACTGCATACCTATATTATAATATTATTATTATTATCCGCAACATACCGTGGTATATAGTTAACGATTATAGTCTTGTTATCTTAAGTTCCGTTCTGAATCATTACTCTTTTCTCAGATACTCAAAAACATATTTGTTCATGACGTTAAGTTGACAGCCGGCCAGGAAATTGTTTAAGAAAGTTAATAATGGCCAAATAGATACACAGTAATGTCCATTGAACACCCAGTAGAGTAAGATTTTCCATACTGTGGTTCCACTACAATAAATGGTAAACGATTGAATTTGGAACAAAATATTATATTTTATATATTTATATAGGAAATATTCTTTCTGGTAGAAGGAGTAACTGGGAAAATACCAAATATTAATGTTCGGTTTAAAAAATGATCATCCAATCATGGTCAGTTGTCAACTATAAATCCAGTTATTGTAAATTAGATGAACGCATTAATTTAAGTTGGTAAAAACGGCCCTTAACATTATTATAACTATGATCCAATCGAACGCCACCACACTCACTTTTTTAGCAATCTTCTGCAATTGTTGGAAGAAATACGGCGATGCGTGATTATCTCCACCCTCGGCCTGGATGGGTTCAATGATGATGCCAGCCACGGGGTTCCCCTTCTTTTCCCATTTCTCGATCAGTTCCTCTACCTGTGTGAGTAACAAACACGGTAATTATACTTTTTATCTATACTACGACGTTATTCGTCTTTAGTACTGACTTCTGCCAGACAGCGCTGGTCTTCTTGATCGTTTTCCTTGAGGTTCTCGTGCAACGGATACTTGTACACCGGGAACCTGGCGATCGGCCAATCGAATCCTGGTACGTCAATCTTGTGCACGTACTTGGAGTGCGTAGTAGACAGTGCCCCCAGCGTTCGACCATGGAACGAGCCCATAAACGACAGTATGGATAATTTCGGCGTACCCGGCGCCATGTTTATCATGCACGATTCCTTCTCTTGTTCAGTGAAATCTGAAGTACCGCCCCTCTTGTCACGCTGATACTTCATAAACATATTCTTGTACGCATTTTCATTGGAACACGATCCGCACATCATGGTGGTCAGCGCACCCATGTCTTTGGGTGCCACCTGCAAATAAACATAAACATCGCAAAGTTCGTCGTATTACATCACCGTAACGATATATTATTATTTTTTCGTGTCAAGCTTACGCTCATCAATGTGTTGCGCAGCTTCGCTGGCCAGTCTGCGGCCGGAAATACACCCAACGCTGGACGATTGACAACGGCTCTCTAAAACAACATATACGTAAAAATAGTTTAACGTTACATACTATGTATACATATTGTACATTGTAATAGGCGCCGAGAAAGACCCGGTGTAGTAGGTACAATAAATAACGAAAACAACTACAATGGACATGTCGTTCGTGTGGATTAAAAGGATCACTGATTAAGTTAGCTTAACCTGGAAATGCCGATGGTTACAAAAAATCATTAGAACGTTCACGTACAAAGTGGAAAGATAATAAAAATAAAAAAGACGGATGTACGTCACACGTGGATGCAGCCAATGTTGTAGATGAGAAATTGGAAAGGTAGGATACAGATGGGAATTTAATGTATATCTGTAAGTAACGATAAACCATTGCTACCAAAAAAAAAAAAAAAAACGATTCTAAGCGAAGTTCAGTTGATAGTATTGCTTTGTTAACAATATATATATACGTCATATTATGGTACAATAATAACATTGTGTGCATTAAACAATTTAATAATATTTGTTTAATATTATACCTATTTTCCCATTCTCATGATTTTCCCGCGTTTTCATAGTTTTTCCTATTTATTAGGAAAACTCCTGGAGAAATCAAAAAATGACCTCTTTAAAGTACCACCCTAATTTTCAGATCAAATCATGAAAGTCTTCAGATTTTCTTTCAGAAAAATTGCTACACTTATAAATCAAAGCAATATATCCGGTAAAAAAGTTGTCACAAATAAAAAAAAAAAAAAAACGAAATTAACATCATTGTAAAACCATATGCTTCTTCGCTTCACTCAGAATCTAAAATGAAGTAAAACAAAATGAACCAGGTTTGCGTAGGAGAAAATTGGATAAGAAACGGTCGAGTGAACTTTGTTCGTCAGCATGTTATTCAAGACCATAAATCCATTGAAGACCGAGACACCAAAAAACAATTCTAATATTCAAGCGTGAGACCTCCATTAATATAAATTGATATTTTAAATAAAGCACCATGTATGATCCGCATATTTTAATACGCGGGTACCTATGGTGTTAATGGCTTGAGAGATATTTACTCACGTAAAATATATTTTCCGAGGAAAAAAAATGAGTCTTAAAATCAGTATGCACATCATTCCTTCCAGAATTTTTGAAAAAAGGGGCTAATTTTTTTTTTTTAACGACCAACCACAAAAAATATTTCGAATAACCGGTACAAACTTTATTCTCGTCGCTGTCCAACGCTTTCAACATTTCTGGATGATTATAGCCCAACGGCATCGACGATATTTGCGTGTACACATCCAATAAAACGTTACCATCCACATCGACCAGATAGTTGCCCAATGATTTGTTGTAGTCAGCGAACAGCTGAACCGACCCGGATTGCTAAAAAAAAAAAATAATAATAATTACTGTAGGTATATCGACAGCAACATATTATATGTGTTATATATATATAGGTATGCCGTTTTTTTTTTCTTTTTTGTTATAGAGTCGAATACCCTTAAATAATAATATCATAACCGATGACGGAACGATTTGATTTCGAATATTCAAATAATTATATTTAATTTACAATAAATAAAAGCGATTTTGATTAGCCAAAATGAACGTGTCGTCACCCATCACCGAGTAAGTATAATATAGTATATAAAATTGATAATTGACGATCGATAATAATAATTGTATACGATTTAAAACCCTAGAATATAACTACATAAAAAATAATAATATTTGTTTCCAAAAGTTAATTTAATAAATTATTTGTGTCCTGTTTATATTTACCGTTAAAAAAACGCCGTACACGATTAAACCGCAAACGAAAATTCGAAAACGTTTTAAATAAAATACATCCTGCGTATATTTTAACCCCTTTTATAAACGGTTATAATTAATGCGATTTATACCGGATTAAACCGCACTACATCCTGCAGTTAAAAGTTGTTCCTACATTAGCACCCATAAATATATATACGTAACAAAAATATACACACGATCACTAAAACTGCACTTAATATCAATGGACTATGCGTCCTAATAAATAATACATTAAATTTAGTATCTCGATCGTCGTATAATATTAATGAACCCCCATTACATTATAATAGTAACGTTGACTCACTTGAAATGTCGAAAGCTCGGCAAGAAGTTTTTTCGATTTCGGCCCGGGCACCGGTGTACTGACCACCGGAGCTGAATACTCTCCGGGACAGAGCGTAGACGCCAATTTTACTGTATACAAGCAAACACGTGCAATATATTATTCCAAAATAAAGATTAGCGATTTCAGTAGGTTGAACTGTTGACTGTTAAAATTTCGAATACAACACTTATATAGTATCGTAGGCCCTCGGTTAGCGCCTTTTCATGCCTGCTATTACTATCGTAGTATTAGTATAATGTAATACCTAGTATTTACATGTTTTAGTAAATAATTTTTTTAAATTTTAATTAAATATATTATTGCTTTTGATTAATTTTATGTAACAAATATCTATTAATCAAAATAATAAGACCTGATACTGGGGGCGGTCGCGCCACTGACTATTATAAGTGAGATTCCGATAAGGTAAAAAATACATAAAGAAAACTGCTTGGAAATCAAAAAATGACCTTTGAAAATCTCAATGTACTAACTAGATTCAAAATCTATTATATATAATCGTATATAAAAATTGTTTTATGAACAGAAAAAAAAAATCACACATTGCATAGTAAAATCAATAGTTAAATTTCTCGCTGCGCTCAGAGTCTTAAAGGAAATCATATGATCATAATATTATAATGGAGAGTGAATTTTTTTGAAGCCCGCTTGGCCCATTTTTATTGTTAAACTATGCATATATTCAAATTCTGATTTTTAGAATTTCTAAGTATAACACTATGTATTACATTATACTAATAATTAATACTATACAAGTACATTGAAAACACAATTAACGTACCTAATATAATTTATACTTGTGATTGAACTTTTCATTGTTATATTGTGACCTAAAGAAAACGTAGTAATATAGGTATAACACAGTGATAATCGTGGTCGTACGTTATACTATTATGGGTGTTGTATTCGAAATTCTAATCGAACGAAATATAAAGTTAGTTAGAATTATTTGATTTTTATTAAACTATTAATAATAATTTTTTAACTTATATACCTATTTCTTGCTTTTCAGATGTTGGCAAATCGCATAAATATAACGGTTATAAATGACTAAATGACTATATACGATAGTATAACGTAATGATGAGTATTTTTTTTTTTTGTAAAAAGTTCCTTACAATCGTAAACTATACCTACGATTAGTTATCTACTTTAAAACTTTAAAAAAATGTTATTCTCCACAGTAAACGTAGTTGATTATAATATTATAAAACATGAACACCAGACATAATGTAAATCACCCGAACTCATCTATTATGTAAACAATATGATTATTTGACCTTCGTTTGTCAATATTTAATAACTAACATTACTTTGACAATATTCAAAACTAACTAGGTAACGACGATCGGAATAGTTCCAATTATCAATAAACCGGTTGGTAGGTAAGTATCTAGGTACATATCTATATAAATAAATAACTGTAATAATAATCCTATACAGGACATAATTATTTATATGCGTTATGAATTTTAACGTCCAACTCAATAAATTCCTTAACATAATAACATGTCCGATTGCAATTTTTTGATTATTATGTAATAATAATATTTCTCAACTATTATCGCAGTAATAAAATAATCTACCACAATATTACATAAAATGTACTTTTCAAATTTATATAATATTCAAATCGGGGGCGTCAAATAGGGGAGAGAAGACAAGAGAATATATTTCCCATTAACTATTGAATTATACTTCCTATATATTCATAAAAAAAATAATAATAATGTAAATAGTAAATATTGTTAATAAAAATCAGCTTAACTCCCCCTCTCCTCTCATGGAAAAATCATTTGACCACCACTGACCTGTATTAAACTTTAAAAAGCTATAGTGCAGATTACTAATTTATGGTACAATCAAAAATTAAAAATTAGTTGTACAAAATGGATTTGATCAGTGGCGCCGAAGTAGTTTAACCCTTTCGCTCTCAGAATTGATTTTTTTTTGAAAAATAATTTTTTTCTTCTCTTAAAAACTGTTAATGGTGGTCTAAATAGTGCCTAGAAAGTTATTTCAAAATGTTCAAGTCCGATTATTGTGTTATATAACATACAATATATACGTTTAATTACATAAATTCATAGTAATATTTGTATAATTATATTTTCTACAAATTGTATTTATACTATGTATATTTCTGACCACTGGGACCACCCACTCACCTGTCACCTAACCTAACCTGTACCCCGAGTTCCACTAGATACGATATTAATTGTTGGAACTGTAAATTAAAAGCAATTGATACATAGAGAAGGATAAAGGAGCATAAGTGTAGGATGAGATGGTCCTTAAAAACCAGAGACAAAGAAAATAGGTACACAACTATTGTACAATAGAAAAAAATTCAGGAATAAACAGTTAAATATGGGAATATCTTGCACTTTTAAAGGTTAAAATCAACTTTTTACTATATACGAAATGACCTACAGTGTTACCCTTATGCTAATAATTCTGTCAATAATATTATTTTTTTTCTATCCGGTTTTGTGTGAGGGAGATACATATGTAGAGAAAAATTTTATTTTCATTTTATTTTATTTTATCCCTTAATTACTGAAAAAAAAAATAACTTAATTTTATCACTTTTCAACATTTCCAAAAAACCCATTTCGTAAAAGATATCATTCTAAAAATATTATACATAAATGTATCATACATTCATATCTGATTTAATAGTTTCTTAGTCGTAGTGATTCTAATGTATAGAAAATATGTGTGAAAACAATCAATACTCAATAGAGTAACACGTTACGAGATAAGGAATCACGATCAGCACGGTAATTCCTTATCTTCTATTGAATACTATTAATCTAAACTACTAATCGGATATGATACATTGAAATGTTTAGAATAATATATTTTACAAAATTATTATTTTGACAATATGAAAAAGCGGAAAAATAAAAAGTTATTTTTTCTCAATAATTTAATGTTTCTTTGCATACGTGTCCCCCTCGCAAAAAACCCGATTAAAAAAAAATAAATAAATATTGACAGAGTTATTAGCATATGGATAACACTGTAGAACACCCTGTATACACCAGCTTTGGTACAAACCAACTTTTTACACGGACAGGTATTACTATGAACGATAAAACAAATACAAGCCTGCAATAAATACACGTCTCGTGTTATAACACCCAAAAAAGTAGTATCTGAATAGAAATCCGTACGAATAAATGCGTATTTGTAACATTGTGCCAAACTGCGTAATATAAGGCGCCTACCGAGAGACGAACATTTAACGTTTGGCGGTTTTTTTTTTCTTTTTTTTTTTTTTTTTCGCGATTACCTTAAACTATAATATTATTACTGTTAGTGATTACAGGTCACATTTATTTACATCCGGTATCCGGTGTACGCGTACTCCCGGGACGGTATTTTCGCTCGAATAACGTGGAAATTGGCCTTCGGCCGTGGGAATTGACTTATGCATGCGCAGACCCTATCGAAAATTACCACTGTCGTATACGATGTAAAATGTTCGGTTTCGGGCGTATTACAATATAAGAGTGCCGTGACGTCGTCAGATCAAACAACTTACTGCATAATTATGACATAAACGCTATAATATTTCATTATTTAATGACTCGGCGACTTACGGGGTACGTTGACGAAATATTTGGCCGCCGGACGAGCCACTTCTTGTAGTCGATACATGACGGTTTCCGGTCGGTACGACGATTGATAAATTTAAATGTTATTATTAATGTTACAATATAATTACGACACCAGCGTAAGTTACCGCGTTACCGGTCGTGACACCGCCGCAGCCGTCGTTCGGTTTCGGGCGCGGAAAGTTTCGTGTCCGGAACGGCGAAGTTGTGCGGCCCGCAGCGTTCAGCGTTGTGTGCGACTGTGCGGCAACCGTCGACCGACCGACGGGCGGCCGGGTGCGCGCCGCCGCCGACGACGACGGCGGCGGCGGAGTCGGCGGCGCCGTCCGATCAATAAAATAATATTACAACACGATAATATTACCGAGCGCAACAATAAACCACGAGGTACGGGCGCAATAAGGACCCAAGTACTCACGACCGCACGGAGATGATGTTACTATCGCGACAGTCGGATTAGCGGCTACCGCGATAGTGTGGCGTGATACAGCCAACGGTGTTCCCGTAAATATTGTCCTCAAACGTTCACGCTTGTATACACCTATTATAACGGTAAAACATATCCTGTGTCTTACATGAAGTATTTTATATATTTTATGTGTGTGTGTGTGTGTGTGTGTGTGTGTGTGGTTTCTATACTGTTTATAGGGAAACCGACACGTAAATTATACTAAGTTTAAAAAAAAAAAAAAACAAAAGAGTTAATACTGGGAACGGGTGATATGTCACTATTGTAGGTGGGAAGTTGGGAAGGTAGGATACGTAAAATTATTTAATTAATATCCGTAAGGAACGATAAGCCGTTAATAACGACGAAAATACCTTTTTTTACTATTAAAATCAATCAACAAAATCAACAATAATTTATTATAGGTAGGTTTTTATCAAAGCTTTTAAATTGGAATTTATACAAACATGTAGAATTCAACCATACCGCTTAACCAAACAAAAATCTCTCTTTTGAAAAGAACTGGTAGATGCAGTGGTACGGGTTTTTTCGGTTTTGAACAACTCAGCAAGTCAATGAGACGGAAGGGTTGCATATATTTTGGCTACGGACGATTTTGGTATAGTCAGTCGTCAAAGGATCCGTAGTCTCTGCAAACTCTCAGATTATCAAAATTCTTAGATTTCTCAGATGTGTCCGTGATTTTCAAGCCCAAGCCTATCGTGTCGCACGAAACAGACACACAAACGACATGCAAAGTGTTTCTGTAAATAAATTTAACCCTAATAAATCTAATAGGTATTGCAATAATTTCTAACACACTTAAAATATCAGAAGTATATTATAATAATTGCAATTCGACGTTTATTACCTTTCCGGTAAAATTGAAAAAAAGAAAACAAGAATAAAAAAAAAAACTCGTATGTATGACGCGAATCAAGCAGATAAATTTGAAGATTACCCCGAGTAAAACTAAAATCAAACTTTCTGTTACAAACATTAATTATTAGTCGACTTTATTCGGCAGCGAGCAGCGATGACGAGGCGATCCTTCTGGCAAATAACAGCGAATAAATTCGCCCTGTGTAACAGACACAAATTACCCATTTTAAAATGGACAAGAAAAAAAATATGAAACGGTTTTATATTAAAATGATTTTACGGATAAACTCACATATCTTAACATGACGATTGTATACGCCATACTACGACGGCGCAATGGTTTTCGGCCTTTTTGCTCATAGGTAACATAAAACAGCTAAGAAAACGTACGCCACGATTATCGTGCTCTCGACAAGAATCAGTATAGTCGAAGCCATTTTGATTAAGTATGTATATGGTGTCATATATAATAGATCAGATTAGTATAATAGAAATACGTCGCGAAGCACGTTGTAAATTACATAGAAAAAAAAATTTCGAAAATGTAGGAATGCTGTAATGGACTTCAAATAATGACGAAATTTTACAGGTTCACCTTAAAAAAAAAAAAATAAATAAATTGTACATATAATTGAAATTATTGACATTATGTTATTATTATCATGAAAGATATGGTAGTAGTATTATTTGTATGTATTTGTATATTTGTAATGATTCGACTGATTCTATAGATTTAGTAAAAGAATGCTTGGTCTTTGTGCAGGGCTCTATTTACACTAGGACATTGTGGGTATTTGTCCAGGGCCATTGCGGGACATTATTCTTTTAATTTTAATTAATCCTTAAAATTGAATAACACCAAAAAAAGTTTACACAGTCGAAAATACTTGTAAAAATATAAATTACTTTTTTCAGTTTCATACAAAATATATGGGTGTGAGATAAGGAATATTCGTATTAAATGAATTAAAAATAGGCCAAATTTTTCTTTTTCTTTTTCTGTCTTTGTGGTTTCTAATAAATATGGGTTGGAAATTTTCAATTCGTTACTTTTTAGCCTCTAACTTAACTAAATAGCATGTAAAATCCTGAACTCACAAAACAAGTTTTATGTCTCTTAAATGCCAGTGGTATAACTAATGTAGTTTTTACAATGGGTGGATATTCAACTAATGTATCTATAGCACGGACTTAAGGTTGCGACTTGAATATTTGAATTAAATAATATTGTATATTTTTTTTGTTCCTACATTGAAATTTATGTTTCATAACACTACCTACAACACAATTTTAACGTATCAAATATTATTTAATATATTAGTATAATTAAATAGCATTTAATATATTAGTATAATTAAATAGCAATAGGTACAATAATTTGTATGGTAATTGTTATTATTAATTGTTAATATATTACCCAAAGGCGCATCTATCTTATACTATGGTTCCTATACCATTCATCAGTCCTATAATAGTTACGTTATCACAGAATATGTGTTATTTTATCGACCGACGGCGGTGTGTGTTACCGCCATAGGTTATTTTTATAATTTTACAACGGCCAACACCTAATTTACAAAAATAAACATTATTTAATATTAGTATTTATTTTCAATAATATTTCTAACAATTAAATAGAATTTTTTTTTTCTAGTATATGGCTAATTAAATTGTTGTAGATAGGAATATTGTATCTAAAAAGAAAATCAAGAATTCTACGGGCCACGGCACCCCATAGGGTCCTAGCGCCCCTAGGCCATAGCCTAGGTAGCTTAGTCCTAAATCCAGCCATGCCTACACATCTAGACGTAACATTCACCCCAAGGACTGGAAAACGTGGTCAGTCCGAATAGATCATGAGAGATAAGCTGATATAAAGCCTAGTGTGGAAGAAAACAAATTTACCCTCCGAGGACGACTAATTAAAACACTCCGTTCATTATCTCACGTGTCTCTGTCCTTGAAATAAAACTCCGCCCACCGGAACGCGTTTTATGCTGAATGTTTCAACTAGGTGTATAAGTCCATGGTTAGTGGTTATCATCGTGATCAACGTGTTTTTTTTTTGCACTTTGCTGTAAAAATACATTTCCCGCCCTCTCCCCTCAAAAGCTCAAAAGTTTTGGCGATAAAACCGTTAGAAAATAAATCAAAAAAACAACAAAAAGGGTATCTTGTGATTTTTCGATTAAATCATTTTTTTCTGGTAGAAAACGTCGTCCGTGTTTTTATAAAATAATGAAATCGTGAAATTGTACGTTTTTTCTCACTTAAGTGCTTTTATTTTAAAAATGGCATCGAAAATCAAAAAATGACTTCTTTAAAGTACCATCTAGACAACTTGAGCTTTCAGAAAAGTTGCTTCACGTAAAAATCGGAACAAGTTTACTAAGAAAAAACGCGTCCACAGACTAGAACAAAGAAAAAAAGAAATAAAGAAATAAATGTCTTAGTAAAACCAATAGCTTTCTCGTTACGCTCGGAATTTAAAATAAAACAACATAATATAAACAAAATAATAATTATAATATTATCAAATTAATGATGAATAATGATGTTAAAAATTATTAACCACAGTAACCATTTTGGTATAAGGCTTTGTGAGACAGAGATGTACCCACAGTTATATGAAACAAAACATATTTTCATATACCTATCGGCTATCTGATCTATAGGCACGCGGTAGCTTACGTCGAAACTGTAGGAATGGCTTGCACATTCTTTATTATCTATGGCATCTGCTCTTGGGTTTATTTATTGAGGGACGAAATAGGCAATTAAAATGTTTTATATCACTCGGACGTTTCCGTGGTTACCGGATCAACTACTGATTATCGTCACTCTTAAATTTATCTGAGGAACATTATCATTTTTGAGAAAAATGAAACCGCTCCGGCCTTCGGATAGAAACGGAAAATCTTTTGGCTCTTACGAATGAAATGAAAACGTTCAAAAAAAATCTGACGAATTCGGTGGAACTATTAGGTAGATATGATATGATATAAAGTGCGTCAGAGACAGTGAACGCTACCTGAAAAAAATATTTTGTATGCGTCGTCGGCCGTCGCTACAATTTAATTGACAATTCAGTTCGGTATTGTATATTTACCATTAATATATAATATTTTCGGCTACGGGGTGACCGTAACACATAATAAGTGTCGGGCAATTTTAACTTTCGTCGGAATATGTATTTTAGAACATTTAAAAAAATAAATAGCTCTAAAAATATTACATTTTTTTTATTTTTTTATTTTTTTATCACCACTCGCCCATATTATATGAGGTGAAACAACTAATTAATTCTGTTTATTTTCAAACGGCAACCTAGCTATATTAAAAATCTGTCATAGGATAGCGGGGACGGGCGCAGCCACTGTTGTAGGTGGGAAATTGGAAAGATGGGATATAGACGGGAATTTAATGTATATCTGCATGTAAGCAACGATGAACCATTGCTGACGAAAAAACGATTCTGAGCGGAGTTCGGTTGATTTATTGATATATTGTTATATATTGTTACTTTGTTAACAATATATACATGTCATACTTTGGTAAAATAATTAAATATGCATTAAAAATTTTCTTTAATAATATTTGTTTAATATTGTACCTATTTTCCCGTTCTCTCGGTTTTCCCATGTTTTTTCCCGGTTTTCCCCATTTATTGGGGAAATCAAAAAATGACTTCCTTAAATTACCTGCCCAGTCTGATTTCCTTTTAGAAAAAGTGCTATCATCAGAGCGAAATTGCTGGTAAAAAAGTTGTCCACAGAACAAAAAAAAAGTAAACATAATTGTAAAATCATAAGCTTCTTCGCTCCACTAAGAATCTAAAATTCCATTAACAGATGGGGTATTGATTTAAATCGAATTATGATGTTAAAATTATTGATTTCCGTCCACCCGTTGACACTTTTAAGTATCGGTGGAGGGAAAGAGTAATATTGCATTATTTGTGTGGCGTTGCGGCGTTCCAATACCCACTTTAAATTTATTTAAACAAATACTCTATATCTATATTTATGAAATTTTAATTATAAGTTGTCATTTGATAATCAAAAGTGGATACCTAATGAATACACCTCTTAGAATAATGGTGACAAAAAATAACCATAATGTAATATTTTAGAGCTGCTTATCTCTTAAACTACGTATTTAAAAAAACAAATTTCGGAATAAATTAATATTTTTCGAGGTAATAAGTCGATCACCATCAGTATACTGTCCGTGTTTTATGACGTGTTTTGCAGCTGTGAAATTAAAAGTATACCAAAGTTGACCAGAATATTGAACATGAACGAGTGCGACGTGGCTCTGTTGCTATGTCATAAAAGGAAGAGAGACGCGTGGAACACGGACGAGTCGGAAACGTGGGCGGATCCGTCAAAACCTAAAAAACCAGCGTACGCGAATGTAATTTCGAAAATATCCAACACGCCGGTTATTCAACAAAGGCAATTGCTGTCAAAATACGATATCGCGTTTAAAAATTATCAACCCAGCATGCCAACCATCGTCGAAGACGAAGAGGAGACTGACGCCCCGACGATGTACGACGACGAACCCATACGTTTGATTGTTCATTCAACTCAATAGCATAATAAATATCGGCGTTTCGGTGTAATTTTATTGGTACCAAATATTAAAATAAACGATTAATGTATACGTGCGTACCCGTGTGAAAGTCTAATGTGTACAAATCGGATCGCAGTCGCTCCACAAAATCGATACAATTTCATCTATTATGATAATGCAATCCCTCTATTATGAATCAAGAATACAAGTGAACACAACCTACAGTTAAGATATGTCGGCGTGAGCGTTTTGAAAACCCGACAAATTTGTGGTGAAAAATCGTTTTACCTGGATATGAGTATACGATTTATAGCGCAAAACGATTACAGTGGCGCGGCGTAATGTCGTCAAGGTGTAAGCAACTACTAAAAATGATATAGCCTACTTATACCTACTTATACCTATACCCCCATCGTCCTTTTTTTCTACCTCTAGAGAGCCGCCCACCACTTATTTAAAACAAATATTATTAAAAATAATTTAAATAATTAATCGTAGATCCTAAATATACACTATCGAGTAATAATAATACTTTGAACAGTTTGAAGTCGATGACTGATGATGAGAGTTCCAATATGGTAGTGTCATATGCGATCGTACCAACACATATAGTAGATATAGTAAATGCAGCATCATGATATTGATACCATGATGATTGGTCGTGTACCACATTTAAAAGTCGCTTATATGTCATCTCTTTACACTACCTACTCCAAAATTTCAAAATGTAATGTATAATTTTACATTAATAGAACTCGACCATGGCTAAAATTCATTTGAATTCATAAGTTCATTTGAAAATATATCTATAACATTTTATAACTGAAAGTGTAAGCATCGCTTACACTGCTTATATAGTATGCACGCCATGCCAGTGGAATTATAATATAATTTAGTGATCATACATAATAGTAAAAATTAAAGAACACACGGCTTTATCTTGGGATTGATATAAGTAGGCAGGTACCTTCTATTCTATCTATTTAGTTATCAAAATATCAATAACCTATCTATAAAAAAAAAAAAAGTTGCCGATTGTTTTTAGTATTGTGAAAAGGACATTTTCTAATTTTGAATATGTTATACTATATTCAAACATTTTGCCGTACCCTTTAGCCTTAAGAGCCTACAATAAGAGAGTGGTTACCGTCCACCGGACCTTTTATCATTGGATATGGATCGCGCCATAGTTTGTTTATTTTCCGTCCAAACACTGTCATCAGCATGGACCATAGCTATATAAGTTTTTTTTACATATGTAATAAAGCAATTTAAGACAATTCTTAATCATGATATTATCTTAAATCATGGTACCTATTTATAAATTGACAATCAACATTATCAGCCTAATTCAGAAATGGAAATATATGTAATCGTATGTCATTTGTCCACTTACTTGTAGTAATAATATTGTCCGATTTCGTGACAATAACCCCTGGCCGGTGTCAATAAATATCAGTTTACTCATTTAAAAACTAGACTTAATATTTTGCACCATGCATGGATCTGAGTGTCTGACACTGTAAATTGTAGGAGGAAGCTAGGAAGTTGAGAAGATATCTTGTATGGATTTTTTATAATATTATAAAATCATTTATTTTTAGACAAATTATAACCCTTCCCCCCCCTAACGAAAATTGGAAAATACGTCACTGTGACGGCACTAAAAAATAACCAATCAGGTACTCTAAAGGATCAATGTCCCGATAATCGTATACATTATTTTATTTGGTCACAGCTGATGTACTCAAAGCCGTGCTCACGGGGGTAGGGGGGGGGGTGAGGGTGTCATATCCCCTATGAATTTTTTTTTATGCATTTGTTTAAAATTTCTTGGGAGTATCGATTTTCTCGGAAAGAAAAAAAGGTAGTTTGTTTTAATTTTCAGTCGTGTTAATATTTTCATCATACATATATTAAAATATGTTTAATAAATACTATATGGTAATAGTAATAATCTATAAGTAATGCATAAATATTATGAAAAAAAAAGGTACCTACCAATGGACTATCATATTATTTCAGTCCATTATATTCCGATATCTATGTTATAAATCGGCATATGAATATAATATTATCAATAGTAACTTTATTTATAGTTATGCAGTTTTTAGCTATGCTATATAATAAAACTTTTATATTAATACACATGCCTCCTAATCGCTTAAATATTTTCAATAATTTCATATTTTTAAGACTGAAAGTACCTATGCGTGTGAACGATATACTTAAGATTATTTGTGCACTGTAGATTATCAGATGTTGATAAATTTACTGTAAGTATAGACTTTATTTCAGATACAAAAATATCAGTTCTTACTACCCAGTGTACATAACTTTTGTCTTATACTGTTTAGGCACTGTATGTACTAGGCAAATGTATGGATAGGTACCAACGCCAACATTTAAGTTTCATTGAACGGAAAAAAATAAATAAAAAAAAGAGGTTTAAAATATTAGTATAAAAAATAGGTAAGTATATAATATATGTATATTAACATTGTAATTCGTACCTACCTAGCTCCTGAAACACTCCTAAAATACCAATATGTACATTTTGTAAATTTGTGTATGCAACTATCAAAAAAACAAAATACAGATTATCCCTCACCTAAGGAAACAGCTGAGCACGCCACTGGATGTATTAATAAGGTTACCAAACAATCTGTTTTTTTTTTTTTAGCTAACTGCAGGGTAGTATTTCGTAGTATTTGCAAAACGTAATAAATAGGTAGGTACCTGTTTTTGAGTGAAGCACGTTTGGACCAATACTTTTGATTTTAGTAAGCGCTTGCTAATTAAACTTTCAGTTAAACTACGAAAAATAATTTGTAAACTAAGTAATGCCTAAGTAAATTGTTTAGGTTTTCGTACAATTTCTGTGTAACAGTTTAATTTTAAAACATACCAAAAATCCAGTTATATTAAATACCTATAACATACCTATATCTTTACATAATATATATCTGTGTATAGTGTATCAAAGCTTATACACAATAAGACCATAGGTGTCACTAAGGGGTACCGAGGGGTATCGTTTTGCTACCTCAAACAAATCTTATGATATAAAATCTTATGATCTTAAATATATATTCTATGTTTATTATTCTAGCGTGTACGAACATTGAATACCTATAATTGATATAGTGTTCAAAAGAATAATATTTTGCGATTAGTCCAATACGGACGATTAGTGTATAAGTTATACTTGTTATTAGTCTCATAACGTCATACTAATCGCGCGTATTGTGATAGTGTGTTAACTGATAACTGATACATTTTTTTTCTCTGTTAGCTGTTTTGTTTGTTGTTTCTGTATTATTATTACGCTTTGTTCCCTAAGTCATACACATTGGAATTGCCGCGTAGAATTGATAAAAGCTGTTATTAAAAAATTCCCAGTTATACTAAAAACTTTATAAACAATTTCAGAAAATGACCCTTTATATGAATCAGATGCCAATAGTTTATTGAATAATATTTAGACATTTCAGTTTGTATTTTATTTGTACACTTTAAATAAAATAGTGGAACACACTAATATACTTTCAAAGTATTTACTATCTCCATCAATAAATTATGCTACTGTCAAAATTATGACATACTAAAAATTGTTGATGAATTAAATGGGTATCGCTTTGAAAAATCTAATGGAATTTGGAAGGTCATACAAAAGATAATCAATAGGTAGTCGTGATTTTCTGTTACCTAAGATATCTTGCAAAAGAAGTTTACCAGTTAAAAATGTTGGCGGTGGTTCAATTTACCCAGAATTTAAATATGTCAAAGATTTTTATGGAATAGAAATTTATTATTTAATTCTTGATAGAATTACACAAGCAATAAAAGACAAGTTTAATATAAATGATTTAAAAATGTTAAACTTAATAAACAACATTTTAGTTAATAAGAATCCTGATGTATCTGATATTTAGGAAGTTAGTGCAGTGTATAGATTTAATGTAAATGAATTGAAGTCTGAAATAATTGTTTTAAATAAAATGTTTATCAGTTAGAAAAAAAGAAGTTAACTTTGAAAATAAACTATTATTTATAAAAAAAAGTTGAAGTTGAGAGTGGTATATTAGTGGATGTATTTATATTATTTTTGACTATACCAATGAACTGTAATCATGTGTATGAAGATTTTTGTTCCTAAGAAGACTAAAACATAATTTGTTCATTTTCTAAAAATAAATACAATGTAAATTTGTTGTAGATAAATTTTTTTTTTGCTACTCCAGAATTTGGGTTCTAGTGACACCCATGGATAAGACAATAGTACAACACAGATAAAATACTACGTATTATCTAAAGGCATGCCAAATAAACGTTTAGTTAAACTAAAATAAGGAAAATTCTGACCATACGAGCTGTAGGTATAAAAGTAGTATTTTTGACCATAAACAGGCATTAAAATTTGGACCAAACGGATTGTTTCAGATTCTTTTAGATTCTTAGTGGAGCGAAGAAACTTATAGTTTTACAAAGATGTTTTTATTTCTGTGAACAACTTTTCAACCCAGACATTTTACTGGGGAGGTACTTTAGAGTAGTAATTTTTCGGTTTTTTCAGGAGTTTTCCCAGCAAATGTAAAAAACCGTAATAAAATATGGTAAAACTGTGAAAAACATAGAAAAATTAGGAAAATTAGTACAACATTAAACAAATATTATTAAAGAAAATATATAAAGCCTATTTAATTATTTTACTATAAAATAAGCGAAGGCATATAATTTGTAATACATAGCAAAAAATGCATCTATTTGACTTACACACCGGTTAATGAGATCATTTGAAAATTAGGTAGATAAATATGTACATACATTTAACAAACGTGCTATAAATGAGATATAAACCGATATCGGTTTATTTTATCTGATGATAGCGACGAAGAAGAACCTGATAAAAAACCACCAACTAAACAAATGCTAGAAACGTTTTAAGTTCTACGTAGAGGGATTTAGCAAAGAGGTGATTTTGACCATATTTTTTTAACACCCTCTAATGAGACATTCTGATTAGGTAGGCGTCTGGTATAATACATTATTTATGTACAGGTTTAATTGGTTTTTTAAACTAGGCAGTAAATAATTTTGGAAAAAATTTAGATAATCCTTTTTACTTAATAATTAAGCTACAAATTCAATTTTAAACATAATAAAACTGATTTCTACATATTTCAAAAAAATATGATGAAATACCAAACAAAAATACTAGGAAATTTTACAGGTGGGTCATTTGTGGTCCGGAAGGATTTTAGGAGTGGGCCACAGCCCACTCCTGGTGCAACCAGTGAGTCTGTGAGTGTTACATTGAAACCATAAATTGTATTTTATTATTATGATAGGAAGTACAAATTTAAAATATGAATTTATCGTTGATCAGTTAGAACTTTGCTAGTGACACAAGGGGTCCTCTCAAAGTAGCTGGTATATTCGTCAGTGATGCTTAAAGGGGTCTGACCCTATTATTGTGTGAAATGCTAGTGCGAGCAAGTTATCTATCTACAGGAAATGTCAATTTAACACTATTATTTCAACAAACATTTAGTAGAACACACACTATATATACTTAGGTATCCGTTCACAAAACTAATTGTTTTTCTACATATTCTTTGTGAAAAAATAATTTTATTTTATTTCAGTATATTATACATATATATCAACATATCTTTTTTTATTTTTATTTATAATAATAATAATTACATTAGCAAGTATTTAAAAAAAGTTCATCATAATTATATTTACAATTAGATACAATATTAATAATAATCAAAAAAAAAAAAAAATAAAAAACAAAAAAAAGTCATATAAGAAAACATTATTCAGTACCCTTATTATTATTAAACAACAGTTACTTACGACAAAAAAAAAAAAATGTATTTTAAAATAAAACAAATGCGAGTTCTACCTACTATAATTTATTATTTACAGGTATTTCAATCAACATTTTATACAGTGTATATGGTTTTGACTCTAATATTTTTTTAAAACACCATTTGTTATAAAACTATATTTGTCTTAAAACAAATGATTATTTAATTTTTTTAAAAGAAAAATTCTATACCATTGAAAATATATTATCTGATTTTTATGTTTGGAATGAGAGTGGTCAGAGTGAATAAAAAAACATTAATTATTCAATAAAACATTAACTTCAGTAAGTTATTTGGGCACAAAAGTTATCCAGGTAAAAGAATAACAGTTAGCTCTAAATACAACAGCAACTTTGTATTAATAATAATCACATTGCTGCTGCTTAGGCAGTGACTGTCGTATAAAATCATACATGTTACAAACAAATAAGAGTCTAATAAAAATATAATATTTCTTGTTTAGTTCAATATTATTATAAAAATAAATTAACAAATAATAATGTAAATTATTATTATAAATTTAGTCAAAATTTTTGACTTGAATTTTTTTTTTTGAAGATGTAATAATAAAAACAAGAAAAAAAATATTGATAATGTATTGATAAATAAAAATCATTAAAACATATTAGATAAGAGGTCACATAAAAATAAAACCAACAAATACATTGATTATCGTTTTAGGCTTCCATGTATTGTTCACAAAGTTTGTCCCTTAGATTTTTCAATTTAGATACAAAGAACTGCTCAAGAATTTCAGCGCACTTGTAAAATTGAGACTCACGTGGATTATAATACCTGCAGTTGTCGAACACTTTGATCATGTCACGAATGAACTCTGTGAGTGTCTTATATTTCTTATTAGTCACTTTCTTACCAATGCAATTCAGATCTATTAAGAGCAAAAAATACTATTAAAGTGACAAAATATAATACAAAAACTATGAGGAAAGAAAAATCAACCTACCCATTGGTTCCTTGACAACATTGTAATAATCAGGAGCTTCATGTGGATCCACAGGTTCCATGAACGGCCATGCACTTTTATGTGACTGCATCAAAACAAATTTATGTAAAATTTATAAATTAATGCAAAAATAAGTTATAATTACTTGTATTTGTTTGATTAGTTTCAGTAAATCTTCATTGTCTTGTTGATTTAATGGATTTAAATTGGCGAAATTGATTTCTGAATTAGGCATACATCTGGGACAAATGTAGTCGTCCATTTTATCACCTTCACATTGTAATACACCAACACAACTGCCATGGAACCAATCCTGACATTTGTCACAACAAATATAAAATCTAAAAATAGACATATTATTATTACTCAATTATATACATAATAATAATTATAATAGAGAATACTTACTGTTGATCGTCGTATGGTTTTTGGCATATACAATAAAGTACTTCTGGATCCTTGGATCGCTTACACTCTGGACAAAACCATTCAGATATCCTTTTAGACATTTGCACAGTAATATTGACACAAGAACCGTGGAACCAATTGTGACACATATCACATCCAACATAAAACCTAAAATAAATATTTATTTCAAATTTAAAATATAATTATTTGCAAGATATATTTTATTATTCACATACTTGGAACTATCATAGGGTGTTCGACACATACACATTATTTTTTCTTTTTTACTTTTTTTCGGACTTGATTTTTTGGCAGGTGTTAATGATGATGCACGTGAAACATTTCGGCTAGGTGCTGGCGGAGTGGTCTTGACTGGACGTCGTCGACCCGGTCCAATATTACTAGTTTTGGAATTACTATTAGTATGCGGTGTAGTTTGTATAGTAGTTGGTGGACCCGAAGCATGTTTTCGTTTACTGCTACCTTGGGGAGGAGGGGTTATTTGAGTAAGAATGGGTGTAACTGGATTAGGTTTTTCTGTAATATTATTGGATGTAGTTGTAGAATCAGCTGATGAAACTGTTACATTAACTGCTATTTCATTCTGTAACATATGCCAAGTGCATATTAATAATTAAAAAGACACAAGAATATTGTTAAATAATATTGCTCAATGTTCATACAGGTGAACCATTCTCTGCAAGACATTTATTATATCAGAAAATTTTTCAGACATTTTTTGCTTAGAAAATGTAACATATACAGGTCTAAAAATATTACATTGTCCTTAATATTTTCAATCTTATTATTGATAAAAAAAATCACCAACTTTTAGGTTTATATATTTCGGTGATGGATCCAAATCAATTATGAAATAAAATGTCTATTTATGAATCTTTTAGTATTTAAAAATCAAAAATCTGTAATAATTTCATTATCAATAAACAAGTGAAAAATTGGAGCAATATAAAAATTTAGAGCTGTGTGTATCTTATTAAATTATCTAAAACAAAAAAATATTCTGAAACTTAATACTTCATTCTAGATGAGTGGTTTACAGAAGATTGATCAGACTACAGATGACACATTACGGATATTAAAAAATTATTTTCTTCCCTCCCAATGGTACTTTGTACAAAGCAATCAAATCGAGCAACGACGTTTCTGAAATCGGAATTGAGGATCGAAACTCAGGAGATTATGTTTGTCAGGAAGTTCGATCAACCCGAATTTCGAGAAAAACATTATTTTAAAATACATACCTGAATATCGATTTGCAATTCCTTTTCCAGAAGCGCCCTCTTTTTTAGTATATCTTTTTTCAATAATTCTTTTTGTTTGAACAAGCTAACCTGGAATTTTGATTGACTTTGTTTTCTACGATCATCACCTTGTTTTAATGTCTGATACAGTTTTGAATGTTCAGGAGATGTCAACGACGACCTATACATATAATGAAAATGAAAATTTTCTTTTAGAAAAAGTAGAATCATTAGTAGGTAAGAATATAATTTTAATAACCCATTGTTAAATAATAGTAAATAAAAAAAAAAAATAAGGAAGAAAATTGGGAGTTTGAATTTCAAAATCCCAATATAAAAATAAATCAACAATAAACTTCCTTCCAAAAACATTACCAAAAAAAATAAATAAAATTACCTAGAATTATTATTCTCTGATGATTTTTTCGGAGACTCTAAATCTGATGGTAAATTTTCAGCATTATCAGAAAGTATCTTAGCAGAAGATACTGAAGTTATTTGTGACACTGGATCACGTAGTTTTTTTTCCTGATATTTTTGTAACTGTAGTAATTTCTCTTGTGTTTCAGGGTTTAAATCTTCATTTTTCAAAACATTTTTAATCGCTGTAATGTTAAGCAATTTTAATTTTACACTTAAATATTATCAAAATATTACTAACATTGACTTATATAGTTTGGAGTCACTACAAAATTTGTAGAATCAACTGGTTCTTCATTAACTACAGGTGTTTTATTCACCGGAGACTTCAGTGACTAAAATAAAATATTATATTAGGATTTTATTCATGCATGCGTCGACATTAGTTTTACTTGTTCTGTTTTAATTGAAGTTGAACTTTCAGCAACATTATTCAAAACAGGGGGCTGAGGATTTGATTCTATTGGTTTAGTAACATTTTGGACTGTAGAATTATTACTAGCATTACTGTTTGGAAGAGTGGATTGAGAATCTGGTGGTTGAACAGCTAAATAAATCTTTGTAGGACCTAAGACTCCTTGAGTACCACTGGATTCTTGAGCTGAAATGTTTAAATAAAAAAAAATAGGGTGAACGGATAGTTGGTCCCTGCAAAAAATGCTGTATGCGGACAAATGGCACTTTTTATAATTTTTTACACAGACAATTGGTCCCTGGTAAAGTAACTTTTTTTCTTGCAATTAAATTTTTTTTTAACCAATTATGATATTACATTTTTGAATATGATACGAGATGCTAAGTTGTTCTCATTCTATATATTATGTCTAGTGTCTAATGATAATAATAATAATAATGGAATGTTTTGAAACCACCAACAGAAAAATAAAATTGAGTGAAGAAAATAAAAATTAGCAAGGGACCAATTGTCTGTATACATAATTATGACTAGAGCTAATTGACAGGATTTTTTTGCAGGACCAATTGTCCTAGATCTTAAAAATATTAAACCAATAAGTAGGTTCTATATCTAACATTTACTCACCCTTTAAAAGTTGTTGTTTAACTTGTTGCTGCACGAGTGCTAACTGCTGAGGTGTAAAATCATTATTTTGCAACCCTTGCAATACAATTTTATTACCATGTATTGCACTTTGAATAACCTGTGCTGTAATGCATTTGATAATAGTACCAGGTGGTTGATTGGCTAATAGTAATTTTTCTTGTTCATCTGCCAATGACATGGTAGATACTGTTTGTTGATCCTATAATAATTAGTCATTCAGTATTATAGTATAGTAATAAACAAAAAATCATAAATTTTACTTGATTGGGTTGATTAATCGAGTGAATTGATTGAGTTATTCGAGGTGATAATGGAGGTACAGATGGATTAACTTTTTGTACATTTTGATGAGGACGCACAAGTTTAATCGCTTGACCACTGCTACTTAATATATTAGTAGAGTTTCCTAATAATTTAACAATTTTGTTTAAATTTAATCTTTAATGAATATTGACATTATTAAATTACCAGCATTAGATCGTAATAACACTTGCTGTCCATTAATTGTGGCTATAGTACCTTTATTTGGATTTATATGCTGCATAATCATTTGCTGTCCTTGGGTTACGCTCAGCAATTGTCCACCAGAAACAACCATCTGATAAACAATTTTTTTTTTCATTAATGTAATGTTAATTATAATATATTTTGTATTGCTGATAATTATTAATCATTTTGAATTAATTATATTAAAATAAATTTTGAATAAGATTATTAAAATATATATAAATAGTATTACTGGAGATGTCTGGGGTTTCAAAACTTGTTGAATAGGCTGAGTTCCTCGGTTTAAAATTATTGCCTGCAAATATATTATTTACTTTAAAATGCTTAATTATTATACAAAAACAATACAAGAGTGCATGACGAATACTTGTTTAATAAGTATAAAAATTAATTTAAATTTACCAGTTTACACTATTTAATACTAATCTGCCAACCAAAACTAGAAAACATTTTAACTATAATATTTGTATACTAAATGCAAATAAATAAATAATTGCAATGCTCCATTCTAACAGATAATCCCAAAGAAATTAAATTATTTATATACCAGCCTTTGTAAAAAACACAATTTGCTCTAATTATTATAAATTATTTAATATTAATACATTTTGGAAAAAGTTAAGTAAACAATTAGTTTACCAATAGTTGTGGGTTTGATTAAACTTGTTGAGTTACTTATGATAGGCTGTAGTCATAACCCATGTAACAGCTCTAAGATGTTTTTTCTAAAACTGTTTATAAATTATATATACAATAATAATCTAGGGTGCAGATTCATTGCACTAAAAAAAACAAAACAAATATCTTAAAAATCATATTTAAAATTAAACGAATAATCTTTAAAATGTTGTATTTTAATCAATATCTCTTATTATCCATATATTTATCTGCCCACACACATGACTGATTTTTGTTTTTACATTTTATCATCATCACTTTCACTATATTATATTTAAGTTACATTGTTAATATTGTCTTAAAATGTTGAAGACCTACTTGAGCTCCAGGTTTTGTAAAATTATTGTTATTAGTCAATAATGGGTTTTTTGCTATTTGTACAGTTCGAGTAGACGGGCTTTGATTTATATAACTAGTTACATGCAATTTTCCATCTGGTAATTGAATAAGTTGTTGTCCTGTAGTAATAAAATAAAATAGAAGTTGTAACATTTAAATCAAATTCAGATAATTAAATTTGGTACCTGGTAAAAGACCTTTGAATTTTAATTTGCCATCTTCACCTTTAATACATTGTAATTTTTGTTGTGTGACATTATTTGCTAAACATAATAAAAATATCATATTAGTTGTATATAGGGCTCGGAACTTATTGCACTTAAAATCTACAAAAAAACCTCTCAAAAACATCAAAAAAGTTCTGAAAAATATTTAAAAAAGCAAAAACGGTAGAATGGTTTAAATGTTCCTCTTTTTAAGACTTTTATTTATCAAATAAAATTTGCCAAATCTGCATGAACTATTAAACCAAGTTATATTTTTTATAATACAACCAATTTTGTTTGAACAAAATAATTTTTTGTCAATAATTTGTGTAGCGTTAGAAAATTATATTTAATAATTTGAAGTCATTAGAGGGGACCTTTAAACCCTTCTAACATTTTGTCTAATAATATTTGCTAGAAGCGCTTTTTTTATGTTTTTAAGTGCTTTTTTTGTATTACAAGCACAATATGTCCAAAGCCTTACTTAGATATTACAATAATATTAAAATATAAAATTCAACTTACTAGTTATTATTTGAGAATTAGTTGACTGAATTTTTAATGAGTTTTGGTTTATTGTATTAGTATCAGAAATAATTGCTTTAGGTGTAGTCACAATTCTAGTTTTACCATCTGAACCTAAAAGATCAATTGTATCAAATTAAGTCATTTATTAAAGTATATAGTAAATAATACATACATTTGGTCATAAATATACGACGGGTTGACGGAGAAGATTTAGTAGCAGCTTGTGGTGAGGACTGTCCCAATGAGGGTCTTTGAACTATTGATTTATTATTAGGCATCAGTCTTAATCTTCCACCTTCGCCTATACATAAATCATAAATACAATCTGATAAATTATGTTTTACATTTTTATCAATCACTGATAGAGATTAACTACTAAAATATTTCGTAAATAAATTTTGCGCAATATTTAGACAAATTGTCATACCTGGTACAAGTTTCATACGTTGTGTTGGACTGCTAGTCATGGGATTTTGAGAGTTAGGCAACATATCCAGACGCATTTTTTTATTTGCAGAGTTTATTTCATTGTGTATTGATGACCTTTTATAAGCTAATCGTTGAGCTCTAAGAGATTGCTCTAGTTGTTCTTTTATGTGTTCTGTTGTTTCTGAATTTTGAACACAGAGCTTATCATTGATATTTCTATTATGAGAAGAATCAGTATTTAATAATTTATTTGTAAAAGCAGAAGATGCTCGTGTTTTCATAGATTGTTTCATTTGTATTTCACGTTCCACTCTGTAAGAATAAATGATTTAAATATCTGTACAAATGATAAATAACATTAGTATAAACCTCTCATGAAACTGTTTGATTTCTACAAGCTCTAGTTTGCTCTCGTCTACCCATACTTCGGAGACCTGAGGTGCTGTATTTTTAGGGGTTTCTTCTCTTTTACGTTTTCTTAAACCACTTCGTATAGGCGTTACCTCTAAAAAGATAATATTGATTTTAAACAAAATAAAATTCAATACTTAACGCAATGATATTACCTCTCACTTGTTTTGGTACATCTAATGGTATTACAACTTTGCGGATTAAATATTCAGTACGTTCATTAAACTGACCAGAGGTACGGCACTCTAGTGTTTCTGTAGTAACTAATTCAGTTTCAGTTGTTACTTCTCGTTTACTAGCTAAATTTGCAGTCTTAGCAGTCAATTCATCCCATTTTAGACAAGTCCATAAAATTCTTAATTGTAATGCAGCAGCTGATATAGTATTGAACGTTATTGTTCTGTACAACCAACATGTTTTAAAAAATGGTCTTGGACAAGGATAAGGCCAGATGGCATTATTAGTCTAGAAAGAAAAATGTAATCAGATAAAGACATACAACACAATTATATATATAAATATATAGATATACCTTGGCATTTGGATTGAAACCATTAACAATATCATAACCAGCATGCCTGGCTAATTTACGAAGTTCATGTTTTGGTAAGACTAATAAACTACAACGTTTACTTCGTGTATAAAATCGTGAAGTTGGAGGGTAATTTATTTTTTCTGCTTTCTTTTTAATAGCTGTGCTAGTGTTATTACTTAGAAGTTTTTTCAAATAAATCTATATAAATAAAAAAGACATAATTTTATTTAAGATAATTATGATTTAAAAATGTTTAACAATAAATAATTATTAAATAAATTAACCTTTTTTCTTGTATCACCCGTAGAATAAATACGACCATCATCAACACAATCTACTAAAACACCTTCTCGTTTAGCACCACCTCTTTTTCTTGCTGGCTTCAAAACACTATGTCTAAAAGTGAGTTCATTAGTAATCTTAAATTTTAGGTATTAATATTTATATGTAACAACATGATTTCATATAAATCCAAAATTTGTAAAACATAACATTGTAGAGTTATACAATAAATTTTATTAAAACTAAATAAAACATACTCAGTGGGACTGCAAGTGGTAACATCAACTTTTACATTTTGTTCATTTTCATTCTCTGTTTTGACCTTCTCATTTTCTTGTTTAATGTTTACATATTCTTTTTTAACTTCAATATTGTTCTCACTTTTTATTTCCTTATTAACTTGTTGACTCTGAGTATTTTTTGTATTTTCATTTTTTATATTTAATACACCATAGTTTTTAGATAAAGATGATCTTAATTCTACAAATAGATATATATATATATATAAAAGTTAACCAAAAATTAAATTTCAACAATTATTTACTAGGTTCAAATACTTACCAGTTAATTCAGACTTCAAAATATTCATTTTTCTCAATAATGTTAAGAGTTCATTTCGTACACGGACGTGTCTTATACAAAGTGGACTGTAACACATAGGAGTTACACTAGATTTGTTAGCGGCTCGACAGCTTTTATTATAGCATATCACGTGTTCTGACATGGTATTAAATGACAGATAATGTTGTTTAAGTTCAATCACTCGTGTTTGTAAAGAGTTTAAAGATAAAGATTTATCTTTTATTTTATTAATAATGGCGATGTCTGATGGATTTTCTATGGAAGCACTTGAAGTTGTAACATTTTCATACTAAGGAAAAATTAAAAAACTGAGAATGACAATATAGATTAAGACAAGAAAAAATTTAATAAAGTTTTTTTTTTTCAAAATATCTACTTTTAATTGTAAAATCTAATAACTCCAATCATTAAAAAAGGTATCTAACATTAGATGTTTCTAATTTATAAATAAAGATCATTGGCCATAATAGTATATATTTACCTTTGAGCCTTGTTTAGGGGAGGTAATAGTTTTTACTGTTAAAGATTTCTCTTCAGCTGATTTTAATTGCATTCTTCTTAGCAACAACATATCAATTTTACACTTTTTAGCAACTTTTGGATACAATATACGACTTGCAGAAAATAACGCTTTACTTATATTGACATTTACATCAAGTTTGTTAACTGGTGATAAAATTTTCATATTTACAAAATCTATATCTGAAATAATAAATAGAATAGGTAAAGAAAATGTTTTTGTTGATAATTCTATTTAAATTGTAACCTGAAACACTATCTAAATGTGTGACATTTTGATCATCAGCAATTTCAATAGATACTTCAGAGTCAAATGTACATTCTTTCAGTATTACAGATTCATATAATGTTTCTGTAATAGAATATGTTCGAAGTCCTTTATCATCTAAATACAAAAACAAAACCTTTTTTTATTAAAGACAATTTATTTTCTTAAGACTTTTAGATATTTTTACATTAATAATCATATTTTAACAAGATAAATGATAAAATATAATAAGATTTCAAGCTATAAAATATTGTTTTAACACTTGCCTTTGCCTTGAAATATTCGTTTAGCTGGTCCAGCTGCTAAGCCCTGTTTCGAAGAATCAGCTAATTTATAGTCGCGAGTTTTTGATAGCCACTGCCATCCCCATTGGCCATGAATTCTATACTCTTCCCCTTTTTGTTTGTGAACCTAATAAATACATAAATGTTTAGAAAAACTTCAATATAAACATTTTCTTTATCTTACTTGATGTTTTAAACCAAGAGTATACTTCACAAAATGTATAGTTAATTTATTACGTTCTTCTTCTTCTGCGTCTTTATCTTTTTTATCTTTTTTGTCAGTTTTTTTCTTTTCTTCTCGTTCAGCATGAGTAATACGATACATTTTTACATGACCTGAAACAAAACCCCAATATCATAATTAAAATTAAGCTAATATATTTTATTAGTAAAATATATTTATAGGTATCCAATAATTACCGAGTTGTTCATGCCAAACTGGAGCATAAACAACAGGTTTAATACAGGACATCAAAACAACCATAACTCTTGCAAAATCCTTAGGAGTAGAACAAGAGTTCACTTGATTTAACCATGGTTTACGTAACATTGGCCAACTAATATGCATTAATGATGATGGCAACAAGTTGTCCAATGAAATAATAGTTTGTTTAACTGTATTAACAAGTGTTGATCGTGCGCCTAAAAAAAAAAGATAAATAAATTATAAAACACATACTAAAATAATACACAATGGAAAAACTAACAAAAGAAAAAAAAAAATACATACCAAATATTTGTCCATGCCATTTGAATTCACCAGGTCCCGTAAGTGAAAACTTATGAGACATATATCGTTTTTTGTCACGTTCTTCATTTTTTTGAATTTTATTTAATGCAGTTGGATTAGAACTATACTGGTTAACATATGTCTTGAAACCATTATCCATGCCAAGTTTGTACAGATAAGTACCAGCTGCTATGTGCTGAGCTTTGAATCGTGTTAGCCTAGCACCTATACTTTCGATATATGAAAGAACTGGAGAAGATTTTTCAACTACAGGTTGTTTTTTAAGCTGTTCAGGGGTTTGACGTTGTTGTACTTGTGTGGGTTTTGGGCGTAAAGATCTATTACGTGTACTCCCTAAAAAAAAAAATTAATCATTAAAATAGTAAATCAAATCAGGTTTAAAAATATTTTCTCTTACTTAAACTATGATTATTTTCTCCTTCATCAACATTACTTGAGTTTTCATTATTTTTGTCATCACCATGAAGACCTGGATTTTTTTTAAATAAAATTTAAAATTTCAATTAACAAAATAAATATGCAGTTAGAAATATTATATTAAATACATGCCATTTTTTTTGTCTGAATGTATATCATTTGGGTTATCACTTTTCCCAGCATTATCTTTATTTGATTTATCATCATCATCATTTATATCTTCTAAGGTATTTGTGTTATTTTTTTCTGATTCATCTTCTTTTTTCTTTTGCATTTCTTCCCTCATGCCTATTATGCTACCTAAAATTTATAAATAGATATTCTTTATGTTGTTTTAATTACAAAATTAAAATATTATCAAAAGTCACATATAATATTAATTATGATCTAAACATCAGAATTTGTTTAGATCATAATTAAAAAGTGTATTTTACTGTTCTTGGTTTAAGTGATTTTCAATAGGATACATACTATTTTCTAATTCTAAAAATGTTTTTCTATTAGATGGTCGATATTGTAAAGTCAAATCCATAGTTATTTTCATTTGTCTAATAATTTCATTTTTGATTTTTTCTATTTCACCAAGAAGAATAGATTCCATATCAGAATCCAATGAGTCGATTAACAGGCTAAATTGTTCTTCCGTCGTATAATACCAGCATTCTCCAGTTTCTTCATTTTCACTAGGTATGCAAAATTATTAATTAGTATATACTTTGTTGCAATAAACAAAATTAAATACTAAACATTGATGTACTTACACAAAAACTCGTCTAACTAGAAACCAATATTTACGACCATGTCGATCGTAAGCTAAATGATCTTGACGATGGGAAGTTGAACCAATTTTTTCGTCATCTGGTAAACAATCATATATTCCTATAACTTTGTGCTCTTTACACAAAGTGCACTGCCAATCTTCTGTAGGAACATCATGTAAAGGAGGATCAGCACATTCTAAATGAAAAACAGCTGGGCAAGTTTCACAACATAAAAGATCTCCTACTTTATGGCATACTCGACAATGATCATCATATTGAAAACTCTGTCCTACAAATTAAAATAGATTAATAATAATTTATATTTAAGTAGTAACATGGTGAATTATAATATATTTATCGTACGTACCTTCCCGAATAAAATCTTCTCGAATAGGCGTAGAGGTTATGAACTGATCGGTTAAAAACTGTAATACAGTTAATCTATTTTTGATGTTGGTAAATGGGTATTCATCACCATTATTAAATACTTTTAGTACTTGAGGATCAAATGATTTATCAGACTCAATATATTCTCTTAATACATCAGGCCACGTAATAGTATCCATAAAATACAATACGCTATTAATACTATCTTTTTGATCAACAGCACCATAATGTGTCTGTTGCAAATCTTCTTCACGCAATATTGCTTTGAGTAACATTAAATGAATTTCAGCCAACAAATAGCTTTGTTCTTCATATACAAGAGCAGCACAAAAATCTTCAAATCGAAATGGCGACAATCGCACCTATATGAACATATTTTAAGTAGTTGAATTCATAATGATACAAACAAATCATGTACCTAATGGAAATTGTATTCAAATATTATTTACCTGATTTTTGAAGCGTCTTAAAACTTCATAAACACATAGAGCTTGCATGATATGTTCAGTAGGCACTAGGAGGTCTTCGGACGATTTGGGTAGCTCTAATATAGGTATTTCTTCGTCTCTAAGCCACAATGGTTCAGGACTAGGATTTCTAATGTAGGAAACATTGCTTTTACGTGCACGGCTGGCAACAGAAAAGCCCGAAACAGAGAAATCGCTATCACTTACATCATCTACATCTTCTGCATTGGTATCAGACTGTTCAGTCTCTGTAAGTTCGCTTTTGTCAGACTCTTCAAAGTCTGAACCATAATGGTAATCGTGACTTTTATTTGATACGGCTGCCACAAACTTCTTTTTCTTATTAGCGTTCGATGTGCGAGGAGTTGCTTTGGGTTTAGCAACAGTAGGCGTTTTGGATTTTTGAGCGGAACGCCGAGTAGTGCGAGGTGTCGTTTCAAGGAGTGTAACACTACGACTAACCGTGGACGCAGGAGCACTGCGACGCGATGCCACAGACCGTCCAGAGACTGCAGGAGCAACAGCTTCAACATTTTGCAGGTATTTAGGTTTCTTCAATAAGTGCATCTGAAACTTTGGCTTGTCCGTACCCGGAGTTTTGGGGGGACGACCCCTTCGCTTAGGCCTACCGGACATGGTTCTTGTCGTCGTTTGCCAGTCGGTAGAGAATCGTTATCACCACCGACCGTTATTTGACGGGAACGACAATGAAAACAACAACAAAAACAAAAACCGCCAGATCGATTGGCGTAGAAAAATCGGCGTACCGATACTGGAGTAGTGGCAGTTGTTGGGTGCCAACGAAGCTCTTATCCTACAATTTCAATAGTGTCGCTGTCTTATTTTGATATTCTTCGGCGGTAATCACGGACACGCACAGCTGTATGGGCCCCGTGTGCAAGTAGTGCGCGCGCGAAAACGGACGTTAACGGGCCAACGACGGGTGCCGAGACGTGGTCATGTGACCTTCGCGGGCTCCGAAAACAACGCACTCGTTAGCATCGCAAATTACTGTTCACCGCCGTTACGAAAACATTATTATCACACACTGGCGGTCGTTTACTTGCAAGTAGTTACGGGCACAATTTCAAGCAGCCGTTCGTAAACAAAACAAAACGAGACGGGAAGAAAAAAAATCAGGCACGGAATATTATGTTTTTTTTTTATTATTATTCGACGTTTCGTGCAGGCAAATGACGCGTATTCCTGATTTGACAGATTTTGCCATGAACTCAGACCGTTGCACCTGGCTCGTACTAACGGCCGTTTCTATTGGCCAATCATCATCCCGCGCTTTCTATTCGAAATTTTGAACCCGCCTCACGTACCTTTTTTTGTTTATCCAGGGACTGACGGACATATCGTATGGCTACATATGTGGCCAACTATTATCCGATGGCCACTTAACTAGTCAAATATTTACTCTCGTGGCCACGCTTCGGAAAAAACTTTCTAGAAAACGGTCAAATCAGTTGACCAATCGACGAACGTGTTATAAACTGCCACCCGCCCAATATTAATTGGACATCCAAAACTTCAAATTTAACCGTGATGATTATCTGTAGCCATCTAAAAACTGTTTCCTGGTCTAGAATCCTGGAAAAATTCACTGTACTCCTGAAGAAACTACTTTACCGTAAAGAATCCGTGAACGCCCCGCGGTTGGCTACTCTGTCCGAGGACATTATTTCTGATAGCAGGTCGACAATAACCAGTAACCAAGAAAGCGGTATCTGCATCCGTTCCATCCTTTTTATTTATCTTTGGTCCCTTCATGTGATACGACCGAGCGCTAGCGTTTACCTCGATTTTTCCTTCTCGTCGTGTAGTGTCGTTCATTTTCATTTCTTACATATTTTTCACCTTGTTCTTGTTAATTAAATTAAAATGTACAAGTTAAAACCAGTGTTTAGTGTACCCCTAGAATTAAAAAATACATGTACTGTTTACAAGCTTAAAAATTTGCAAGAGAAGGCTATCAACGTTCAGATCAAGTCCAAGGTGAGATGATTTATATTTCATGTTAGATTGGTGAATACGTTTTCATCTTTAGCCTTTTATGTGAGTGCATCTTTAGAAATTATACTTGAGTATAAAACTCATCCAATGGTACCTTAGCTATAAGGTTTATTACCTACATGGCTACGTATAATTATCGACGCTAGTGTAATTGTTTGTCTCCCTTCTGATTTACATCGTATTATTGTTGCCCAGCAATTAAATTCTGAATTTGTCAAAATGTATCTATAACTTGATTATCTATTGTCTTACATGAATTTGAGTTGTAAAATAAAATGTAATAGTTTGTGATTACTTGTTTATTTGAGTAAATGACATTTAGCCCCTGTCAATTATTAAGATAGGACATTTGGCCCCTGGGAGTTATATAATGTTATTTACACACAGGATCCTCAGTTTTTTAAATCCCTTTTTTTTTATTTAAAATTTTAATTTTTTCTCTAAAACGTAAAAAGTATAATTTATATGTGAGAATGGCCACATTCAAAGTGTAAAATAATGAAATAAAAACAATCATATTTAAATTCACTATAACGCCTACAGTTACAGACTGATAATAAAGTATGAAGATTACTTAATATTATCAACTTTATCATTGATGCAATCAAAATTGGGAATTCCAGAAACAAAATAATAATAATTTAGGTACCTACAATTTTATTTATTTATTTAAAGTTTAAACACTCCAAAGGGGTAAAGAGTACGATTACAATTACATAAAAGATTATACAATGTAAATCTAAATATTAAATATTAGATTGTACAAAAAATAAAAAATAAAAACATATATATAATATACAATGAATTCATGTAGGTTAACTAGGTAGTATTGATTAATATATGCCTTAATTTAAGTTGTGGATCAAAAGAAAATTCAAAGTTATGTACATTGTTACAAACGTTTAAAAGATGATACTCTGAACTGTTTAATTATATTTGTAGAGCATTGTGGTACTAAAAAAGGGTAATTATTGCTTGAGTTGAATATTGGAATTTTAAAATTTATCTTCATTAATAATTCTGGGCAGAATAGTTTACTGTTTATTAATTTATAAACAAAAGCTATGTCATTATATAACCTTATTGTTGGAAGTGATTCTAAACCAAATTCTACAGCTAAGGTATCTAGGGGAACATCCATTTGACCTAATTTGTATGCCTTCATACTTAAAAAGCGTCGTTTGATTTTTTCAAGTTTATCAATTTGGTAATATTGTTTAGGATTCAAAATTATTGATGAATATTCTAATATGGACCTAACAAGAGAGTAATATAATACTTTAAAGACCATTCATTTTTTTAAATTCGGAACAGTTTTGGTTTATGAAGTCAATTGCCCTTAAAGCTTTGCTTTGACAGCGGTGATATGAATGTTGAATGTGAGATCAGAGGATAATAAAACACCTAAATTCACGCACAGTAGAAGAGAATTCTAATTTACAATTTTTAATACATTAAAATCACTTATTCTTTTTCAGTTTTTCACAAATATAAAATTCATCAGTCAAATTCTTTGAGTAACATTTACTAATATATTTACAATAGGTACAATTATATTTACACAATTATTTATGTTTGATATTTCAGTCATATATTTTATAATATAATTGTATATTTTGAATGTTGTCATCCTCACATATTAATATAAATTATACTAACATTTTATGTTTTATAAAACAATTAAAATTAAAAAAGAAAAAGAATTTAATGATTTTAAAATACCTGGGAGTCAAATGTCCTATCTTAATAATTTATGGGGATTATACATGCGTGGACTGGTTTTTTGACAGGGACAAAATGTCCACGATTTGTTTATTTAAAATTAGGGAATTTGATCGGTTATAATACCCACAAATAGGTTTTTTAAATTTTATTTTTGTTATTTTAGTATAATGTAATGTTGATAATAGGTAAGTGAAGTGTTAAAGCAACTTATTTTTAATTAATTATAAGTTCCTAAAATAAGTTTAATGTTAACATAACATTAACATTAATATTGATAAAATAGGTAGGTAGTTAATATAAATCTCAGTTTCTGAGTTAAATTCCTTCAATTGTTTAAATATTTCCCCTTTAATTAAATCTGATTTTTTAAAAAATAATTTTCAAGGCTAGTCAGTAAAATGAGATAAATAACTATGGATATAATAAATAGTTACTTACTTCATATCTAATGTTTAAGTAGAAGTATGAAAACACGGTTTGGTTTATATTATTATTTGTTAGATAGACGAGAATTGTGAAATTCATGTTCGACTTCCTCTTATGTAACTACATATATTTTATAAAAAAAATTTCCTTTTAGAATGTCAATGATGATATGGAGTTATCCAATGAAGGAATTGAAGTACTATTAAACAAAGAACACGAAGTACTCAATAAATTGATGCAACTTGAATACAGATTAAGTAAACTTAATTTTCAATTTTCTGATGAAAAGGATAATTTACCTATCCCAAAAATACCAAAAGTTTCATCTATGCCATACCATATAGTTCAGAAAAAACATCACAAAAAAACAGAGTCTAAAATAAATAATGACATTAAAAATCTAATAAAGGTAAAATTTGTTTTATTTTTATCAATATTAGTTATTTTTATCAAATAACAATTAATGTATTATTATAGACTGATATAGTAGTTTTTGCTGATCCTGAAAATCCACCTTATTCTCTATTGGCTTTACCAATTTTGTGGCCAAATGTATCATGGGATATTTCTTACCATATCCATTCATCTGTAAAAAATGATTTGAAGATATTAAAAACCATTGAAATATTTACAAATGTATCTAGTAAATATAACAACAACACTACAATAAAAGTCTTTGTCATATGGCAATATAGTAAGTTATTACTAGAGCTAGGATTTTAATGACCTAAAAACTTATTTATTTTTAAAATATTAATTATTAATTATGAACAAAATAGGTATAAATTTGAATTGTGAATGTAACCGCTTCCTGGTATAATTATTCTGAAAAATCAATAAAATCATAAATTAAAATAATTTAATGAAAAATATATCATTTTTTTTTTTTTACCTGTACACATATTATTGCATTGCACAATTAGATGATTCTTAAGATTTCCAAACAGGAAGCTGCGACGAGGGCTTCCTACTTTTGACTTAATTTTTGGCATTTTTAAAGTTTTAATATTAATTTTTAATATCAGTCTTAATATTATTTGTTCAGTATTGTGTGTACATTTAAGATCAGTGTAGAACCACATAGGTACATGTCGTATTCACTACTAAAGCTACTGTATAGGTCTATATCCTATAAGATAAATCAACAATTAATTATATTACTTTTTCAATATTAACGGAGTGAAGTAGGTAATTCCCTATAGGTATTAATTGGGGTTACCTTTACAACACATATTAAAAATCTTAAAATAAACAAAAATTAGTAAAAATGCATTTAACACAAAAAAATGCAAAATAAAAATTACATATTCTAAATTGTTATATCACGAAACAAATTTAGTTTTTGGTTAAAATTGTATAGCACTTAAAAAAAAAAAAAAATGCAAGTCACCAAAATCCTAGCTCTAATTATTACAGGTAAAAATTTTGTCAAAAATTATTTAATTTCGTTTAATTTTTTTAGATAAACCTAGTCCAAAAATTGTGAAATCTTCAACAGACATATTATTTGGCGAGGTGCAGTTGTTACGTTTATTTAATCACAATTTAACCACTGAAACTCAGAGGACTGTTGATCAAACAAATTCTGACAAAATTTTGGATTTAATAAATGATATAAATTGTTCGACAAATGATCGTACTTCTGAGCTATATAATTTGATTACTGATTCAAATACTATATTGGATTTGAAAAATATTGCTTTATGGTCTTTGTTGTACAAGAAACATAATATTCCACCAAACATAGAAAAATGGATAGAGCAGATGAAAAATATTATTATTTCTTAAACGATATGGCTTAATCTGTCCAAAAAAATAAAGATAAATACAAATACTATTAGATAAACTTTAATTTCAAAATTAAAATTTAAGTTTTAATATATTCAATTTGTTTCATCTATTAATTTTATGAATACTGTTTTTATCACGGACTTATTAAAAATCTATTTAAAAATTGACTTGTCAAATAACATGATATAGTCAGTATTATCATTCATTAGATACATGACTTATACATTTTTGGGTAATGTTTTGGATATTCCAGCAGTTTATTCAAAAATTTATGGTAAAATATTTTATCATGAGCATCTTCATATTACTTACTGATTGTATTCAATGTATTGTCCAATTGCAGCTGAAGACTTTAGTAAAATAAAATATAAAATTGTATGAATGTTAAACTTTTGTGTACAATTGAAATAAATATTATTATTTTGTTATCATGTAATTTTTCCCTCATTATTCAAAATCCAACAAACTAAAACAATAAGTAAATCTTAAATTAAATAAAATACATACCTATATTATTTTCCATCAGGTATATTTGAAAAAAGTATACAAAACAAATGAAGGTGTCGCTCCATTCAATAACGAGACAAAAACAAAAACGCTTTAAAAATAATTGTAGTCAATTTAGATATATTAAACTACAATTAAAAACGATTCCGTAGCATTTGATTTGATTTTTATAACTACCCTGAGATAGGAGCTAATATTAACCTACTTTTTATGGAGTTATCCGGTTTTTTGACCAGAAATTTATATTCATAATTTTTTCATCAAATATCCTAAATGGATGGTTGGATTTACTTTGCTCTTATACAAATATATATGTAGTTTTTTTCTTAATTTTAATCCGTGAAAATCCCGTTTTTGGAAGAAAATGAAGTCTCATTATTGCATGGACCTCTTCAAATGGTCAAAACTTAACAAATTTTCAATTTTTCTATCAAATCAAAAAAATTATTTTAAATTTGAAAATTGTTGAGTTTCAAGCATGTTAAAATATTTTTATTAATATTATACTCTTATTTTAAAACTATTTCCAAATATAATTTCATTATATATCAATAGTAATATTATTAACTCTGGTGTTTAAAGTCAAACAAAACTTAAAAAGAAATCACAAGTGGACAATTAAATATAAATGTAAAATATTGCATTATTTATAAACATAATTCTGTAATTTGATGACAAAAGTTGATGTGCACATTTAAATTTTAAAAAATAATTATCAGACACCATATAATAACAAACTAGTCAACAAATTTAAATTAAATTTTCGTATCCAATAAAATTGGTTTTGTTTGGTCATCATTTATACATTGTAATATATCAATTTAGAAAAAAAATAGATAGATTTCAAGAACAAAATATTTTATTATCACTGGTTAAATTTAAAACTTAACATAAAACAGTAATATTTCTGTTATTGGATAACAAATAATTAACTATTAAAATTATTCGCATATATAATTTAAATATGCAATACCACAAAATAGCATTCATTCAAATAAATATTAAATACTATTATTATAATCTTAAATAATTATAACAAATTATAATCATTAAATTACATTGGAAAAATAAGCTTTTAATAATTCAACATTTATTTTATTTTAAAAACTACACAAAATAAAAAAAATATAGCCATTAAACTACAATTTTTTTTTTTATTTTTAGTATAATTAATATAAATAATACTGATTAAAGTAACAAAAACAAATTTATTGCTTGTTCCCATAATTTTTATCACAGGATAATGTACAGGTTAATTTCACTAGTATTGGATAGTAAATACTCTTAACAATTATTTAGGTAATCAATAATTATTATAATAATTACAAATGTTTTCACAGTTTAAAAAAAAATAAATAAAAAATTACATTTGACATTCAATAAATTATTGTTAATATTTGCAATTGTGCATGAAAATTAACAAAACTATTACTAATTCCTTAGAAAATTATATAAATTTTTAATTTCAATTTATTGGACCACATTTACATTGCAAATAGTAATGTATAATACTTATTAGTATGTTAATTTTAAAAATAAAAATTATTATTACATTAGAACACACAAGTGGATATTATTAAAAACAATTTATAAAAATAATTCAGTCAAGATGCTCGTTTAAAATTAAAATTTTAAAACAAAATATTGTTCTAATTTAAACAAGGCTATAATATATTTATGGCATTCAACATAAAAATATATTTTCAAATAGAAAGTCTTAAGTGTTTTAAGGACTTGTAGTATTAATTAAATTGATAAAATTAATGAAAAAAACTATTTTATATCAATACAAATTTTAAAGACTTATTTTATTTTAATTTGAAGGATTTAATTGAAAAATAGTTAAATGCAATCAGTCTTTTTATTATTATATAAGTAAATGTGGCTCAAAAACTTAATGAATTTTGAATTTAAGAAAATTATTTTCTAATGAAATAGATTGAGATCTAATTGTATAGAGCTAAATTAAATACAAACTTTATCAGTCTATTAAAAGACATTTTAGAGTAAGGTGGTCAGACTAACCAATAGACAGGTCATGGTAAAGTTAAGTAAATATATTAAATAAAATTGTGGACGGACCAATAATGGCACTCTTTAAATTGAGTTATACAAATGACGAGAATCCTGGTAGCGGAGCTCGTGATCTGGCCATGTTATTCATTATAATTTGACCACCATTAAGGCTCATTACTGCACTACCTTCAGGTTCTGAATCTGTATAACTAGAATAATTTCTAACAGGTTTTTGTCGTTTCCACGACTGTCTTAAAGAATCATTGACATTGGCATAGTGATTGACAAACGAATGTGGATCTGAACGTACACTTTCATTCTCACTTTCCGAACCCTAAAATAATTTAATTAATTAAATCTTAAAAAATTATTACTTATGAAAATTGAAGTTAAAAACATACTTGGGAGTCTGTTGAACTAATTTCTGAAGGTTTTTCCGTGACTGAACTGTCATCTGGATTTTCATCATAGCCTTTTACACTGTCGTCATCACTGTGATATGGAACACTTGCCGGAGATGGTCTCGGAGGAGATTTTCCCAGAGTTCCAATGGGCGCTTTTCGTCTGTGTAATGAATGATGTAAAGTGTTATGAATGGACATTCGTCCGAGAGAATTATTATTTGACATTCTAGTTCTATGGAGTTCCATTGCCAATTGCTGCCGATCATCGATATCCATAACCATAGATTCTTCTAAGGTTTTTTGTGCTTCTTCTATAGTATATATAAAGTATATAAATTAAAATTTGAAGACAAAAACAAATGTTGAAGGCTAATTATGTAATAGTAATGATCTTATTAATATAAAAATTAATAACTTACGTTTATACTTGTAACTTTTACTTTTAACACATAAAATGGCTATAACCATAATAAGTACAATTATTGACGTGGCTGCTAATGCAACCATAAACCATGTTTGTCTATAAAACGGTTTCATTTGCAAGTAACCGTATTCCAAATACAATTTTGATGGTGTTAGAACCTGCAATTTATTAGAAGTTAATATTTTTTAAAATTAATTAAATTTAATACAGCTCATATTGGTATAATACAGTTGTAGTATGTTACTTACCACATCATCCGAATAGGCAGGATAACTAATACCAAACTCATTATAGGCAACAATTCTAAACAAATATGAAGTAGAGGGTAATAAACTTTGATATGATACTGAAAATTCCTCTAACTGTCCACTATTACTTTTTGTTACTGTAGTCCAGCGTGTGTCATCTATAAACAATAGAAATCAATAAAAGTTACATAACTAAAAATTTGAAGAAAAAATTGACAAGCATGGTGCATACTGCTTTGAACACGAGTGACATCCACATTAATTACAGTTAATATATTTATAATTAAAATTCAATACACAAATATTTTAAAAATTAAGCATATCATATCTTTTTTTTTTTTTAAGAGCAGCCCTTTTTGAGTTAGCATTATTGTATTAAGCTAATTAAAAATACACTGAATAGACAAAGCATTCTTAAATTAATATTTTTACAACCAAGTACTTCAAAATGTATTCATAGTATACTATAATATTACACTTTATACAAATATTATTGTTAATAAACAAAGCAATTTGTATTAATTTGTATGAGTTTTTTATTTCAATTTGTTTCTGGTTAATATTTTTATCTAAATTAACCAAGTACCCTAACTTAAAACCCTGTAACAGTGTTATCTCATGACAAAAATTAAATATATTCTTTTTATAATATAACTAAGAGCAACTAGAACTCACGTAACACTACCTTTTATTATATTAAGATAATTAAAGGTTTTTTGTTTTCTTATCTTTATATTTTCTAAAGAGGTATTAAGTAAAATGATAAAAAACATATTTTTTTTTTTACAAATACTAACTTGTATTGACTGTGTTAAAAAGAAATTAGTCAATACAAGTTAGTTTTAATAAGAAGACTAAAAAACACTGTAAAGTTGAACTTTTAACTTAAATAATATGCAGTAAAACTGTCATATGATGGTCACTAGAGGGACCAGAAATAATAACCGCTATTTAGAGGTTTCCTGTAGAGGCATAATAAATTATGGGACTATACAAAATGACTGTTAACGAAAGTCTTACTGTAATAGTATTGCTTAATAACCAATTGAAAAATAGGAAATCAACTAAAATTATTTTCCAATCATCATAGAATAATATAGATAGTGTATCTATTATCATGGCCAACCTCTAATAGTTGGGATGAAGAAGAAGAAGAAGTAGTGTATTATAAATAGGAATGTTTCAATCCACTGCTCTTGCTTTGTTCAAAAAATGGTCAACGAAGTTGGACAAAAATTAAAAAAGAAAAACTACCACTGCATGTTATTAAGAATAGTACAGTTTTGAAAAAAGGAAATGATACAGGATAAAATTTCATTCTGTATAGATAAATTAAAAATAAAACAGCCAAGAAAGCATTATCAAGTACTATTGATTGTAAATTTTTTTTTAGAGGTACACCTAATAGGAAACTAGTGTTTGAGTTCCAAGTGTTTTTCATTATGCAAAGTAGATGCCCAAATTCTTTTATTGCTTAAAAATATTTATTTTTCTCAATGAAATTTTACAGCTTTACTGACAAAAATAATGAAATTTGCAATTTATGTACTTATTTTTCTTATTTTACATTGGATTTTGGTATTTCGGAACAAGTGTTATAGATAGAAGCTTCCCACAAAGATATCAAATGCTTACAAAATCTATACAAATATAAAACAAATTGATACTAATATCAGTGGCATAAAGTTTAAAGTTTTACCATAATTTTTAGTATCAGAAAATGCAGCACACTAGCTTTATTTGACTATAGTATTTAAAAAGAAAAAAAATAATTTTACATATTAATTTAAATATCTTTATTCAAAAAATAAACTTTAATTAATCAATGAGAGATCAATTAAATACTTTGATAAAATTGAAATATAAACTAGTTCATAAAAATTCCTTGATTTAAGAATTAAAATGTACATTATAAAAAAAAGTGTAAAAATAAATTTGAAAATTAAAGTTAAGAATGATACGCTGGAAAGATTTTATAACTGCTATAAGGGAATGAAGAACAAAGTTTCTTCTCCATGTAGTTACCAATATTTAAATTCAAAACTGATGGGTTGAGATTTTTTTTTATCCAATACCTATTGATAATACTGATAATAGATGCACTATAATTTATTAATTTAAGACGATTTTAAAATAATTATAGATTGTCTTTTATCTATCAATTGATTATGATTATTAATATTATTTAAATTCATTTTAATTAAATAATTTATAATCTGTTATTTTTAAGAATTGTTTAGTCTAAATTATTTATAAAAATCTATTGATAAGTTAAGTGCATTTTAGACTAATTATATTTGAGAAAAAAGAAACCCTTAAATTGGAGTTTTTGTATTTTAGATTCATAATGGAGCAAGGAAATTTGATTTTACAATCATTTTTTTTCCTGTGAACAACTTTTCTACTAGAAATTTAGATCAGATTTTCAAGAACATCACTTTTTCTCATAAGAAATTTTATTACTTGGTCATCTTTTAATTTTTCAAGCATTTGCATAATCATTCGGAAAACAGTAAAAAATGTATGAGATGTATTATTTTTAAATTGTAAATATTACGGCCTTCAAAAGATGTATAACCATACTCCACTCAGAATCGTTTTTTGTTTGCAAAGGTTTATCATTGCATACAGATATACATTAAGTTTCCCTGCTATCTTCAGTTTATCAAAAATGTAAAATAAAGTGATGTATCTGAAAACCATATAAATTTCCCCCCTTTTCTCATATTTTAATCCTTTTGAAGCCACAAGTTAAAATTGAAAACATTTCTAAATGTTTAAGTATATTACTTTTATGATTTTATGAACAAATTGTTGGGGTGTCTTGTAGAAAATAACAAATTGAAATACACATACTAAGAGGGTTCTGCAATAATATTTTTTCTAGTATTGATATTGTTCATATTGTTGCAATATTTCTGTTTTTTATAAACAAATATGAAATATAATAGTGTTCTGATTGAAATTGAAACAGCTATGCTATCTACTATATTTAATATTAAGTATATTTTTTTTAAATAAAATTGTAACAGCTATATATTAGAATAAGCAGAACAATCAGTAAAAACAACAATCCATTATAGTCTAAGTTAAGAAATAATATTAAGGATTAAAATATATCAATATACCTTATCAAATAAATACTAGTTCTTACATAAACAATATAAATGTATGTGCCATGTAGACTAATTAGTTTTAAGTAATTCCAATTATAAATGGATAATCTGATGTATTGAAATTTAGAAAACATCCTGATATATACTGATTCATCATTGCAGACCCCTAATATATATTATGCATAATACATAGGAAGTGTAAAACAAAGTTAAAAAAATGTATTTTGTAGCAAGAAAAAACTCAGATTAAAACATTGTTCTTTAGACTCAAAACACAATAGCAACACAAAACTTAATATAGGTAATACATTTCTATCTTTTAAACAAACTTACAATGTTCCCAGTCTTGAATAGCTGGATGGAAAATAAAATATCAAAACATAAAAAAAGTTAAAATATTGCTTAGCTGACACTTTTCTTTATCTGTTAATTTAAAAATGATCAGTAATGTTTAATTTATACCTTTGCGTCTACTCTGAATGTAGTATCCAAGAATTGGTCCTTTTCCAGAAGGGCCATTTTTCCATTTAAGTGCAACACTAGAAACAGTTTTCACTAATGATAATTCAAATGGACTCTTAGGGGAACCAGGTTGTGGACCTGTTGTTACATTTCCTTTTATAGAAACTCCAAAATCTATTGTTTGAGCCCTGACTGAGAACGTATAAGTCACTTCTTCTTCGAGGGGCTGAACAAGCAGCCACGTTTGATTTACCCTTTGTTTTACTTGTTTACTAAAACCTATAAATAATATTTACATTATAAACTAAAAAAAATTAATATGAAAGTTAGATTATTTTTAGTTTCTTACGTTCGTTTTGTTCAGCAGTTTCATATGTAATTATATAGCCTAAAAGTAGTCCATTTTTTCGTTTTGGAGGCGTCCATGAAACCTTTAGACTATTCATTGTTATCTCAGAAAACTGAAGATCAGTCGGCGGACCAGGTACACCCTTTATGTATATAAAAAAAAGTGTTTTAGTATCCAAAAATATTATTATATTATTTCAAAAGTATACTTGGTGAGTTCTGACAATAATAGGAGTAGATCTTGGACCATCGCCAGCTGGATTGAAAGCTAAAATTTGGACTTTATACTCTGTGTACTTATCCAAAAACACTAAACTATGACTAGTGTATGTAGCTGGAACAACTTCTGTTTCTTCTTCTATGCGATGTTCATTTGGTGAATCAGTAACAATATAAAATATCTATTAAAAAAAAAAAAAATGTATGCAACAACATAATAAAATAAATAAAATAATTTTAAATTTTACTTTGTATCCTAATAAATCTCCGTTCTGTTGATTTTGTTGTGGATGTTCCCATGATAAACGTACTTCTGTAGATGATATGGCGAATGCTGATATACTACGAGGTTCTCCTGTGGGAACAGCTTCACCGACATAAACAGGAATAGGTGTAGATGGCGGACCATTTCCTTGAGAATTGAAAGGTATAACAATAATATCATAATTTCGATCACGAACTAAATCTCCGATCACTATCGAATTTTCCTTTATTCCCATAATTAACTGACTAGGTGTTATTTGCAATGCCATAGGAATATCAGAAACCGGTTGGTACAATACTTTGTAACCACCAGTTTGGGTATCGCCATTCCAATACTGCGGCGGTATAGGTTCCCAGGTGACACGCACACTAGTTGTAGTAATAGGTACAACTTGTACTTTATTTACTATATGACTTGGTGCTAAAAAAAAAAAAAAAACCATTAATTACAAATAAATTGAGTATAAGATTTTAATGTTAACTTACACGTAGGTAATGTTCTGACTTGGGGGGATTCATGACTGTAACTACTTGGGCCAATGTCATTAGTCGCTTGTATACGAAATCTGTATAAAGTAAAAGGTAACAGGTCTTGAATTGTGTATGAAGTTATAGACGGATCTATTCTTTCAGATATAGTCGTCCATGGACCAATTTCTTCTGATTTTTGTACAGTGTAATATCTCAGTGGAGCATAACCATCTCGACCCGGAGTCCAATTAAATGTGATTTGTGTGGCTTGAATTTGACTGCGACTTATTTGAGGTGAAGAAGGAGCCTGGGGTATTTCACGGTTATTTGATGTAAACACAAGTGCAGATTGACTTTTACCCCACCCTAAACGTGTTTGAGCAGTGACCCAGAACATGTAGTATTGATCAGGAATAAGATCGATTGCCCTGTATACACAACATCAATCGTAAATAAATTAGAATTGTTAAGACAAAATTATTATTACCTAAACGTGCGGTCTGAAGCTGGGAATTCTTTAGAAAAGTTATATCCTTCAGAACTATGTAACTGATAATTTATGCGATAAGCAAGTATCTCCCCATTTGGATCGACAGGAACGTCCCAAATAATTCTGGCAGTTGTCGATGTAACATCCGGAAAAGATACATTAGATGGGGCACCAGGAACTGTAATTTAAAAACACATATTTTTTCAAAAATTTATAATACTTATCCTTTTTTTTCTTGGTTAAAAGGTCTTTCAGGACAAATCCATTTCAGACTCAGCCCTCTAACCACCGATTTTTCTTTTCCATTTAAATCTTCTACTAGTGATTTCACATTTTTTTAAATTTTGAATTAATGCAAGGAAGCTTATGGTTTTACAATGATGATTTTTTTCCTGTGAATAACTTTTCTAGCAACAATTTTGCTCTGATTTATAATGATAGCAATTTTTTCAGAAATTTAACTGTGGTGGTACTTTATAGAGGTAATTTTTTGATTTCCCTAGACGTTTTTCCAATGAATAAGAAACACCAGGTAAAAATATTGGAAAACCAGGAAAAACAAGAAATTGGTGCAATTTAAACAAATATTATTAAAGAAAATATATAATGCACACATAATTATGGTAAAGTAATTACATATGTTGATGAATAAATAATATCAACCGAATCCCAAAAAAATTGTTTTTACATTTATAATGGTTAGTCGTTGCTTTCATACATACATTGAATTACCTATAACAGTGGCTGCAACTGCCCCTATTATTCAAGAACAGCTTTTTATCATTTCATTCTATCTTGATTTTGAAGTTCAGTCATATCATAGCTATAGAATGAGTTAAAGCCACCATAATTATAGGACTGATAACATCTGCGCATGTGCAACTGCTTATCAATTTGTTTCCCCGGTTAAAATATAAAAATTAAAGAATTTTAAGAAATATTTATCTTGGTCAATTAATATCTCCACCAAAAATTAATGATATCACTGCGTTACAGTTGGCTTCACATTTTTTTTTCAAATGGCTCTAACAATTTTTTATGATTTATTAAGCTTTCTCCACATGGCTTTTATTCCATCATAGCTATTATTAATTTGTGTTGACTCCACCAAGCATGCCCACTAAATTTTGCTATTTGTTATATCCATTATATTAGTACTCTGGAATAATGTCTCTAGCTTTGCATTTTTTCTCTTTCCCTATTTTCCAGAAGTATTATTCTTTGCTGGCCCAACAATTTTCGTTTTTAATATTAAAAACTAAAATCTATAAATATTATTTATTTATAATTTTTATTCACCGTCTTCAAAAGTTTGAACTCTGGAAATCGGAGTCGATAGAACACCATCGCCTAATCGACTATAAGCTAAAACTTGAATACTGTATTGAACAAATTTCTTTAACTCTGTCAATGTAGTTGTGAATGTCAAATTTTTAGGAATATCTTTAATTTGAACGGGATAAACTGTACGACCACCTGGTTTATAGTAAACCTAAAATTATTTTAATATATTTGTTAAATATTGCCTATAACTACAGTGATAAACATTTTAAATGAGTATATTAATTTACCTTAAATCCTTCAATTATTCCATTTCGATGGTCAAATGGTACATCTCCCCAACTAACTACAACGGTTGTTGAAGACGTTGCATTTGCAATGACATTAATAGGCCCCATTGATGGTACTATAAAAATTAATAATATTCAGTATAAATTAAATATACAATGAATAAAATTATATTATGCTAAATTACCAGATTCTCTAGTTCGTTCAAAAGCAGGAGGACTAGGACTAGAAGACCCTACATCATTAAATGCATTCATGGTTATATCATACTGGGTAAATTTTTGTAAGGAATCCAAAACACACGAATTAGAGGTAATATCTTCAATCGTAACATTATTAGTAATACTTGTATTGAATAATCTGTAAGTTATATTATAACCTTTCCCATTTCCAAACCATTCGCTTTGTTGTAAAGGCTATGAGATAAAATTAAATTTAATGAGTAATTATACTTAATTCAAACTTGTTATGATACTTACAATCCAGCGAACACGAAGCTCAGTAGAAGACATTGCACGCACTGTAACGTTTTGAGGAGGGTGTGCTGGAGGTGCTTGGATTGTTTGAAAATCTTTAGTTGGATCTGAAGGTTCTGACACACCAACTACATTCCAAGCAGTAATTCTCAAACGGTATAAGGTATATGGAACTAATTGAAGGACTTTTATTGTTGTCGCTTCAGGGCTACTTTCTTCATGCACAGTAAACCATGTTGTATTCCTAGCAGTTTGTGCCTTTAAATAATTAATAAAATTACAAGATGTAAAATCATAATTATAGTTATATAAATGTACATACTTCCACAACCCATTTGGTAATTGAAGAATTTCCATCAAATCCCGGTGTGAACTGGAGAACAACAGAAAATGGCTCGATATTTGTTATAGCTAATTTTGTAGGAGGATTAGGTAAAACGGGTTCAATTCCAGACTGTATGGTAGCTATTCTACTTGGACCAGAACCAACTTTTGTCCAGCCAAATACTTCAAATTTATAATGAGTAGTAGCTTGTAATTGATCTATTATAATGTTGGTGATGTCTGATGTTGTATTTACTAAATGTGTTGTTTCTGGGCGATCACGTATTGAATATGACACAGTGTAGCCAATTAGATGACCATTTGTGTGTAATGGTGCCGACCAAACAACATTTACAGAACGGTCAGATACATCTTCAAAGTGAAGACTACCAACTAAATCAGGTACTATGATGTAAAAAAATAAAACAAAGCAACAGATTAAAAACAAATTATTGTATAAATTTATCAATAAATCATTTTTAATTTTAACTACCATCTTCGTGTGTAACGACTAATGAAGGAACACTGATAGGGCCGTCACCAGGATCAGTGAAACATAACACTGTTACATTATAGGCTGTAAATTTCTTTAAATTTAAAAATGTTGTAGTCTGCTGAGCAAGTGGATCAAACAGACTGGGAGCTACAGTCATTTCAAGTTCTACATGTTCATCTGTAATAATTATAATAATTATATACACGTTGTAATAAGTACAATATCATATAAATATTGATTTATTTTTGCCAATGATATTAATTTATATTTTAGTAAGACGGAAAACAATTTATAAAATTATTTGACTAGTATTTTAAATTAAACCTTACCAATCCAAGCTTGAAGTCTATATCCTTGATTAATGCCATTTATTTTTTGTGGATCTGGAGGTTTCCACCAAACTTGAACCGAAGTACTATTTATTGGTCTAGCAATCACATCTATAGGAGCTGCTTCTGGCACTGTGATTAATAATAAATTGTTCAATCATATGTTAAAACTAAACTAACCAAGATATTTTAGTTATATTAAAAAACAAAATTATAATCATAAAAATGAAATATTTCAATTATGTATATAGAAATAGTTAATTCAGTTATAGTCATGAAAGCCAAATAAAAAAACTAACCTCCTTCTTTGGTCTTTATTCTTATACTATCACTGTAAACTCCTACCCCTTTATTGTTATAAGCAGCTACTTGAAGTACATAGTCTTTCCACGTAATTAGATCTTGGATTAAATAATAATGTTGAGCCTAAAAAAAACCCATGAAAACTATGTTACCAAATAAACTACCATATACACTGAAATACACGAAAGCAATTTATTTTGAGTGCTACATAATTTTATTATTTATTTTTGAATATAAATAAAACTAAACAATTGAATAAAAATATTTACCCCACTAGTAATGTTATGTTCTGTCCACGGACTATTTATATAACCATGTAATCTATATCTTATAATGTATCCAAGTATTTGACCGTTATGATGTTCTTCTAAAGGAGGTTGCCATTGAGTTATGATTTCAGAATTTGATCTTGCAGATCCAACAAAACCTAAAGGTGGACCGGAAGGCGCTAAAAAAAGAAAAACCAATTTTAAAATATTTTTGTTATTTAATTTGTTTATCTAACTAAACCTTGTTGTGGCAAAGTAACAAAGTTACTCGGTTGTGAAGGAGTTCCTTCTCCAATAGCATTCACTGCACTTATTCTAAATTGGTATGTATTAGCTGCTTTTAAATTTTCCAAGACTACATAACGAGCATTAACAGATACATTTGTGAGCTCGGTAACCCAATCAACAAGTGGATCTAATAAAGATTGGGTGTCTAAATATAAAAATTATTGACAATTATTAAAAAATACATATAATACACAATATATATAACATGTCTGTTATTGAAGTACCTACCTATTTGTCGTTTTTGCACTATGTATTTTAATATAGGACTATTTCCATCAAAACCAACAGTCCAAGAAACATTAACAGCTCTGGGTCCAACCCGTTCAGCCTGAGCCACATTAGGTGGATAAGGTAGTTCAAGTATACTTAAATATGCATGTCTTTTCTCGTTTCCGCCTGGAGATGAAACTGAACAAGTATAAACACCAGCATCGCCTGCACGTACTACTCCAATTTCTAATGTTCCATCAGCAGAAACTTTTATTCTAGTATTTCCTGCACCAAGACTCCTGCAAAATTAGATATATTATAAGTTATAATAGTATCAACAAAGGAATAACAATTCAAAAATACTTGTTGTTATGGAACCAATCAATTTGATAAATTACAGTCGGATCACTAGATACTTTACACTTCATAATGGAATTTTGTCCCAATAAAACTTTTGTATCCATGGGTGGCTCAACAATAGTAGTTTTACCTAACAAAAAATAAAATTATTTAAATATATAATTTATTTAATTTTAGATCAATGGGTACCTAAAACTTTAATATATGCATGCATTTCAACAGAGCCAGCTTCATTAGACCTAATACAGCTATATTTCCCAGTATCTTGAACTTTTGTGGAAGATATAAATAAATCTCCAGTATCTAATATTCGAATCCGTTCGTTTAACGTAACATATAAATCTAAAATAAAGAAAATTAATAGTGATTAAAAAAAAAAAAAAAATGTTTTCTTATAAACTAATAACCTCCAAAAGTCCAAGTTGTGTTTGGTTTAGGCGCTCCAATAACTCTACAAGATAATATGACTTCATTTCCTTCTAAAACTGTGGAATTTTGAGGTTCATTTTCAATAATTGGACCTGTAGCTAAAATATAAAACAAATAAATTAAAATAAATTGAAATACTTAAGAATAATTGTTTAACGGATTACACACATTTTCTCAAATTATTTTTATAAACATGTGTATGCACGAAAAAAAAAAATTTGTGTAAATTTGTTTAAGTAAATATATTCTAATGTGATAACTACAATATGTTTGTTTAATAAATATATAATTTGAATACTATTGCTATAAATACATAGGTATCCCAAAAAAGGCAACTATATATATAATGTGCAAACAAAAACTAATATAGATTCTCAAAAAAAAAAAAAGAGACATTGATCTGTAGACATTTATCATTTCCTAAATTTACATCTATTCAACTTTGTGCCTACATACGTAAATATGGTGCATAGTGCGGTGCTAAAATACAGTTGATATTGTTGCTAAATGTCCACATTTTACAAAAAAAAAAACCTTACGAGGAATTTTTCGGGCATTTGGGTGAGGCCACATCATCATTTTGTACACAGAAGGTTTTGTCCAGCGTTTAGAACGTCCTACATTAACCATCAAAGTATTTACATAATATGCCTACAAGATAACTATCAAAATACAAGAGTATGTGTTTCAAAAATAATTTTAAAGTTTTACATTATAAATATCATGGTAAATTTAGTAAAGATATTTATTTAAATACAGTCAAACTAACTGTATTTTTATTCATAAATATCAGATATATTTTAAGATAATTGTATTAGATTCTTTTTACTGATTTTCAATGTAAAATATTTCATTTTTTCTCTCATCTAAATTTGTTAACAAACATATTTTCTTACAATTTTCCTCATAACTATTTACCGAAACCAAAATATTTATTAATCAGTTTAAAAGTAACTTATTCATTAAATAAAGACAATTTAAGTATTTTCATTATCTGAAAAGATTATAAACTTATTTTCCTAGATAAATGGGTTTTTTAATAATGATAATAAGAAAGAATATAATTTAAAAAAGCTATAATTTTGATATTATTAATTTATCTATGCTTCTCTTCCTTATTTTTGTTAAAGTATAAAATAATTCATAGACATTTTGAAAAATTAAAACTATAATTCTCAAACAATTTAATGAAAAAATAATATTTAAAAATACATAGAAACAAATGTACTTACTTTTGACTTTCAACCATGTGCTAATAGAATCTGATCCAGCTTCATTCTCTGCTTCACATTGAAACATACCGGAATCTTCTATATTTAATTTTTTTATTATTAGAGTACCATCTTCTTCAACAATGTACCTGTAAAAATAGTTAGTATCTTTTGTTATATGTATTACATACAATTTTTTCACTGAAATATTTTACCTGTTGTTTTGACCAATTATTTCAGCATTGCGATACCAGGTAATTTTTGGCTGTGGAACTCCCATAGTATCACAACTTATTCTAACAGTAGACCCATATTCGCCAAGAGTTTCCATTCTCAAATTGCCAACAAATGTAGGTGGTTCTTTACAAAAATATAAAGTTTAATAAAACGTTTTAAAAATAATAATCACATTTTCATATACCTAGGACAAATATTTCAGCATCAGCAGAAATAGGCGCATAGCCACCAGATAAAAATCGTATTTGACAAGTATATCGACCCGTATAGGTTAATTTAGCATTAATCAGAGATAAAGTTCTGTTCCATGGATCATTGTAAATATAATCAATGCCATTCGTATTTTCTATAAGTATATCATCTTTAAACCAAAGTGTTCCTAATTCATGTAAGGGTCTTGCATTAGCGATACATTGGAGTTCTGTAGTTTTGTGACCTTTAATTATATGTTTCCCTTTGGGCTTGACCACAAAATGTGGAGCAATTTCTCCCGCTTGAGAGCCTCCTATGATATTTATTCTTAAATATTGACTGAATTCATCCTTTCCTAACAATGGATTCGTGGCTCTCACTCTATAAATATATAATACAATTTTTTTATTTAATTATAGGTATAAGAATTTTTTTAGGTACTGTATGACATTATGAAAATTAAATTAAAATTATAAAAAGCAAAATAACTTATAAAGTAGTTTGTTTCAATTGTATTGCTACAAAACTTAAAAATATTAATTAACAGAGGAAATAAAATAATTTTTTTTATTATTTATTTCTCTATTAATTTAAAAATATTTAATGGTTATTTTTTCAATTGACCTGTATGCTTTTTGGTCATTGTCAGAGACTGATAAAACAACTAATTGATGTGTTTCTGCTACTGAAGCATATTTAATGTCGTACAACTGAGTTCCATCATCAGTTAACCACTGTACCATAGGTGGAGGGTAACTTTTAATTGGCGGACAATCCAATATTGCTGCTTGACCTCTTTCTACTCTGACTATAGGATCAGTGACTTCCATAAAATTTTCCATATCTGAAATTAAATCATTTAGACATTTGAAACAAACTTTTACTGCCTTAACTTAAGAAAACAAAAAATTTAATACTACCCCCTGACCTTCTTTTAGCAATGGTGCTAGTCAAGAGTTAGCGGGGAACCAGGGCTACCCTCGGATGCTCCATAGGAAAGCCCTAGATTCATTTGATGCATCAAAGCGTGGCCTTAACAACCGATATCCAATTCGTCTTGCTTACGATTCAGCAGCCATCGGGTATGTAAGCCCCCAAGCCTATTAGCCACTACCTAGCGAAACTCGTAAGCCCGTTCGAAACCAATTGCACGGTGCCGACCATAGTGCGAGTTCACGGCCGACACCGGGGTCCCCGATCGGCACCAGGGCTCGGAGACCGCCCGAACTACTTTTCATAAAAGCCAAAAGTAGGACATATTTCGACACCCAGTAACCGACGGAGCGAATTATCGGTGCTCACCGAGGGCAGACAGCACCCAGGAGTCTACCGACAAATGTTTGATAACACAATCTCCGTTACTAGAGTTAAGAGGGCAAACCGAGGACATCCCGCGATGCAACTTGAAGGTCGGAGCACGAAACAACGATCCACCACGCGGAAAGACGAACCCGTAGATTAGAACTCTCGCTAAATACGACCTCGGTCGGGAAGTACACGCACTCGCCGCAACACGACAATTTGGACATATTAGTTTCAAGTCGAGAATAAATTTGCGACAAATTATAATAATGGATATTGCATTAAGAATACAGGTAAAAGAGAAGAAGAAACAAAGCTAATAAAAATAAGTAATAGCTAATACTATTTTCGAATTATAGATGGGGAAAAATCAAAACAAATTTCAATATTAGACAAATTATTACGAGTGCAACAAGCACGATTAAGAGGGTCTGCGTAATCATAGATAGTAGCATGAAATTTATTTATAAAAGTTAGAAGATATCTTGAATAAAAAGAAGGAACTGCAACATCAAACTCAACTCGTCTTTCAGTTAAAGATATAATATTGTAAGAGTTAACTCCACAACGAAATGAGCTCATCTTTAAGAATTTATTTTGTACTTTATTTAACCGATTAAATAATATTGGACGAACAATACTAATAGAAGCATAATAATAATAATAGTACCTAATAGTAATAGTAATAATATTCGAGCACCGAAGGAACTAATGACAAATGAAATATCTATACATGGTGTTTAAAGCGTAAATATTAGAGAAACCAATTTATAAGCCCAAGTATCTTCAAGGATTTGATACAATCATAATTGATATAGTCATTAAATGATAGATCGGTAGAGAAAATAACACCTAAATCGTTTATACTGTAAACTTTAGAGTATAAACCGAAACTAGAGAGGTACAATTAATAGAATATTGAAAGTTAATATGTGAACGTGTACGGAAAAACAATATAATACCACATTCATACAAATTATCTAAGCATCTTTGGAGAACTAGACAATCAGAAGTATCCTTTATAACATTAAATACCTTTGGGTCATCAACGAAAATATATTATTTATATATTTTTATAATAATTAATATTTTCATATTGTTGTATTGCATTATTGAATTAGATTTCATTATCTGTTTATTATAATTGTAACCATATTGGGTTACCAGTCCGTACTTTTCATAAATAAATATAAATAAAATAAAAACAAGGAAAATATTTTGCAGATTCGTGAAAAAATTTAAATAATAGCCTAACCTAAATATTTTTCCGGATTTTAATAACTCAGTTCATAGTTTATTTTATTTTTTTCACTTTTCAAAATGTTTAAAATACCTAGCTGTTTTGTAAAAGATATTATTCCAAAGGTTTGAAATATGTACCATACATTCATATCCGATTAGTTTAAAATAGTTTCTTAGTAATAGTAATTTTATTTTCTAACACAATAAATAATTTGTAATAGGTACAGAATAAAACAAATAGCGGGTATTTGTTTTACGCAGGGTATTGTAGAAATAGTTGACAGTTTTATACTTGTTTTATTTTTGTGGTACCTCATCACGTAAGGTTAGTTTATTGGTAATTTATTAGATACAACTTTTTTACGCCTCTTCTGTAGAAATTAAAATGGCTAATTGCCTATTTATTACTAGGAAACTTTTCAACGGATATATTGTATGTAGGTATGTAAGATTAACATCTTTAGAATAATATCAATTACAAATTGACTATTCTGAAAATGCTAAAAAGTGAACAAATCAAGTTTTTTTTCTAATAATATATTATACAAACCATTTTAGTTAAAAACTAATAATTCTAATCGGAGTGGAGGTTACAGAATAATTAATCGCGTTTACATCTTATAACCAAGGTAACCCAAAAATCAACAAAAATAAAATCGATAGTAATCTATCGCAACTATTTGCTGCGAGTTTTTTTTTATAAAACCTTTTGGGAATCTTAAAAAAAGTTTCAAATAAAATACTATTTGATGAAAAATTCGACTCTTTTAATATGCGACGTGAAAAAATCGAAGTACTTTTACTAATCTAAAAAGAGTTTTCCGGGGAGGAAAAAACACATCTTAGCAAAATTAACTCACTAAACTCAAAATGTATACAAAATAATTGTTCGACCTCACAGATCTATACTCAAATAATACAAAAATTGCATGTATAAAAATTTAATTATTTTAAGCACAGCATTTAAATTTGTAGACAATCGTGTTGTGTTTAATAAATACCGCCAGGAATCGCAGGATATATCCACGACCTTTTATTTTTATTAATGTCTCTTTTAGTTTTATATAAGATCTGAATAATTAAAGGGTCATATAACTGTGTATACGGACGGCAGCTTATTGTAACTATTATCTACTGTATAAATTAGTTCAAAATTATTGTATTTTTGATAAATTACATACAACAGTAATAATTCGGTTTGATCTAGCGGCATAATGGAGAAAATTTAAAGAAATAGTTATTTTTTATTTTGAAAACAAAATACCTAGGTATATAGTTGGAAGAAACTGTTTTTAATCAGCTAGCCATCAGCGGCGACTCGAAGGTTCCCATTCTACAGGTCGCCAGAGTGATATGATTATAGCTAGTACGGAAATTTCAAATAGTTAAACTCGTATTATATTATTTTATGACACACATTATGCAATACTGACAATACGGTTTAATTTTGTATTGCCATCAATGTTTTTTTTTTTTTTATTGCAATAGTAAATAATGGCTGGAAATGGTATAAATTATACGTAATACTACTTTTCATATTATATTTTGAAAAATGTCGATTTTTGATAAAATCATATTAGATTATCTTGGGATGAAAATAAAGTATTAGTTATTAACCAACAACATTAAAATGTTAGCGTATAACACAGCCATACAGGAATAATTAAATTGTATGTATTTTTATTTAGATTTGTAGTTCTAAAAATTCGAATACGATTGCTACACATAATTATAAGTAAAGTTGTTATGAATAATTTGTTTTCACCTTCAAAACTGATATATCCCAAGTTCTAAGAGGGGGAAGGGGTAAATTTAAAATTCACTGAAATAATGAGGTACAATTTCGCAAGTATTAAGTTACAGCTGATAATAATATATAGCAAAGATGAAAATTCCAAAAAAAAAAGGGATCGACCGACGATCCTTCCTCCAATATCTGCAATCACTAATTCAGGATAAACGCAATACGAACTATATTATAATATATCACTTTCTCTATTAAATAATATAGTCCTCAAATGTACTTGAAACACTCCGCCTCATATCATACATATGTACACTATAATATTGTTCACTATAATAATAACATTAAACCTTTATCCAACAGTCCAATATACTTAAATGATTAAATTCATTTTAAAAATGATTTTTAAAATTCTTAAAATATAAAATTAATGTCAAGTTAACTTTTATACAATGTTATACAAATATTGTATAATGTTATATAACGTTTATAAAATGTTAAGGAATAATATTATGGTAACATTAAAGTTGCGGTCAAATAATCAAGAGAACATTATAAGAACATTTCAATGATATTATTTGGAGTCATTTGAAAAGTTCTAATAACATTATTTTTTATTATTATTAGTTTTTCAATATTATTTTAAAGTTCTTAAAATATAAAATTGCTATCTGAGATATAAATACGAATATCAATAAGGTCTCTACATAAAATATAAATAGATAACGAACTTACATGCAATGTTTATTTCGATTTTTTGTGATAATATCGATCCAACGTCGTTTTTCGCTATACATTGATAGGTTCCGCCGTCGTCATGTTTTAAATTCAAAAGACGAAACGATTGATATTCAGATGAGAAATCGCCCACTTCTTTACCATCTTTGTACCATTTATAAACTGGAGCGGGAAATCCTGTAAAAGAAAATAATCTATTATTATATAGAAGTGATTTTATAATTAATGTAAATTAACAGTTTGAAATGTATTTATAATTTACATTTTATTTATTTTAAGTTATTTTTCCAGATTAAAAAAAAACCTGGAAAAACAAAAACCTTAACCTTAAGCCGCGTTCTTACGACTGGTGTACTTGGCCAATATTTGACACTGGTGGTTATTTGCCATGCCGTTGGAACAATATACTTGTACAATTATTAGTGCCCTTCCCGTGGATTATCGGTAAGTTTGACACAAGTCAAAGGAACGGCTAATATAAGTGTACTTGTGATCCCACGGTCGGTTCGTGTGGACCTCGAAAAACAGGATGCTGACTTTTATTCAGAGGTGCTTTAGTACACAGCCAACTGTGGGAATGGTGTACTTGGTTACTTGTACAAGTGCTCAAGTATTGACATACTTGTCAAGTACACCAGTCGTGTGAACACATTACTCGTTTACTAGTCAAATGTTCAATTATTATTGGCGAATTTAGTAAGTACACTAGTCGTGGAAATGCGGCTTAGGTATACATCTAATCATTGCGGATCTGTGATATTTTAAACAATATTGTTGTATTTCTTTAGCGATTTCTTTAATATTTATTTGACAAAAGCAATTTATTTCATATAATGGAAATACTAAAAACTATACAAATATGATATTATTGTTATCACAGTTGTCAGTTACATAAATCTGTTGCACATAAAATAACAGGGAAAACGGAATATTACAAATATTTATCGGACACGCAATAATTAACCTATACGTACCGATAGTTTATAGACCAGATTGTACTAAATATAATATTATTAAGACATGATTTTAAACGAAAAAAATACATAGGTACCTTTTGTTCTTATTTGATGTTTAAAAAATATTAAACTTGATTAAAAAAACAAATTTTTCCTAACAAATACGTCGTAAATTTAGTTAAATAACAAATAATACATTTAAATTACAAACATACTTTAAGTACCTATAAGTTATACTCATTATACATTTTATACTCGCGTCACAAAAAAATTTATATTTTTCTTTAAATCGGATTAAATATAGTAGGTACCTCCAATTATACGTGCAATTATTTTTTAGATAGGTACACTTTTAATTTAAATATAGTCAGTATAGATAGGACAAGTGAAGACTCATATAGGTACTAATGAAATTTAAATTAATTTTCAACAATATTCGAACGTAACAGTTATATTATATAAATCTGCAATATTACTATATAAGTATACTGACAATTATTTATATTTACACAAATATACTGAAAATGCATAAATCTTTAGCACTAGTACTCTGGTACTCTAGTTAAGTAAGTACCTACTACCTATCAACACCCACTTTCTTAATTTCTTATACCAATTTAACAAAATTACCTAGGTAAGTATCTAGTTTATTGTATTTTAACAGTATTGAAATAGGTACAACAACACTTGGCTGTAATTAAGTAATTTCGTTTTATTTTCGTACAACAAAATGTCATACCTATTAAAAACAAATAAACATCATTGTAAAAACAATATATTCTCCGCTCCATTCAGAATTTAAAATCAATCAATCTACCAGCATTAAACATAGAATTCAGGAACAAAATATTAAAAAGTTCTTTGAGCATTTACTTTCATTAATTTAAAAAAAAAATACTATATAATATTTATTAGGGTAAATATTATTGTTTTATCAATGGTACCTAGCTATACTATATTAATAGTAAAAACCTAAATAGGTACTCTAAATTTAGATTTAACACAAGAAAATATTATGTTTATATTTTATAGGTTACAAAAGTAGTTATAAAAGTTTACACATATGTACGTAAACAAATAATAACATTAAAAATAGAGTTAATTTTTAAATTATTATAAAATTATGATTTTTTTTATAATTATAGACATTTAAATGCAGTATCATAACAAATAATTAGAAGTGCATGGTTCTATACATATTTCAAAAAACTATATTTTAGATTTTTAGCAACCAATGAACAACTATAAATAATATATTATTTTTTTGGAAACATGTTTCGGAAAAAAAAAATAATAATGTTAACGTTTTGACCAACAAATGTTTAATAGTAGGTTATCATTATCAGGACACGCCTTACCAGTTTATAATAAATATATTAAAATAATGATTTTTAATTGGACAAAAATAACTTAAATGAAATATTATATAACTATAACTTGAGTAACTGCAGTAAAGTTATTCAATAATTTATACTTAGAAAGTAATAATAAATTCAATCTGCATTCATGTTTGGCCTATATTCTACACGATTAAGAAAAATGTATATACAATAAAAAAAAAACTAATATGATGTAAAATGTATAGGTTAGATGCTGTCATCATACCGACAATATTTAACCAGAGGGCTGATTTTTAAAATAAGATAAATAAAATATATTAAACCATTAAATGTAAACGAGCGTATAACAAATACTCCCGGGGTGATAAAAAACACAACCTCAAAAAAATAAAAGCACAAAGTATCAATATTTGAATTTAATACGAATGAATTGGCAACCATAGATCATGATAGACAAGATTTTAGAATCAATTTATCTACTACCCAACGTGACTTTTGCCTTTTACACTATCTTGATTATAAATGGCTTGGTTTTTCAACCACTAAAAGTTTACACTTATATATTATATATATATAGTGTATATATTTATTATATATGTACACATTAACTTCTTTAGAGCAATATCAGGTTTTGAGTTTAGATAAGTTTTGATATTAGTACACGTGAACTTGATTTCTTCTCACTCTGTGAGAACTGGATGCATCCTAATGCAAACACGGAACAAGAGTAAACAATCTTAAAACTCAAAACTATAACTTTAGATAAATTTATCTCGGTGTCTTTTTTTCTTGAAATAAATAAAATGTTATGTTATACAAAGGACTCATATACGTATAATTACTATGTAGGCTTGAATATAGGTAAACCCAAGTACATAAGTTCTTAAAAATACTTCATAAATATTTACGATCTTATTGTTTTAGATTCTGAGTGAAGCGAGGAATGGTTTTACAATAATGTTAATTTTTTTTTTTCTTAGGACAACTTTTCTACCAGTAATTTTGTTCCGATAGTTCGATTAATAATTATAGCACTTTTTCTAAAGGGAAATCTGACTGGCAAGATCATTTTTTTGATTTTCCTAAAAGATGAGAAAAAACTTGGAAAAACTGGGAAATAACGAAGTGAAACGAGAAAATAGGTACAATATAAAAAAAATATTTAATGCATATGTAATTATTTTACTATAGTATGACATATATATAATGTTGACAAAGCAACACTATTAACTAAACTCTGCTCAAAATCATTTTTTGTTAGAAAGGGTTAATCATTGAGTATGGATAATAGATATACATTAAATTCCCCTTCTATCTTCCTAAATTCTCACTTACAACAGTGGCCCACCCACGTGGGAAGTATGTCCGTATATTTTGTTTTTGTTTTATTTTTATTTTTTTAACTTAGTACGGGTTGTATGCAATATGATATTTATTTGCAACACGAGTAAGAAAAAAAACCTATTTATAAGTAAAACATATTTAATACTAGGTTCCTATCTCATGTTCTCAAACTTAAAATGATATAATATTTATAATATTATCACCAAATACTAAAATCGCCCCAAATGGATTAAAAACCGTTGGAAACTCAAAACGTTAGTTTTAAAGCAAACAAAATCGACATAGCGAATGATGGATATTGTGCAGCCGCCTTCAAACAACTCGTATAGTGTATATATTATAACGGAACAACAATTACACGAGTACCGCATTCGAAAAACGATCCCGAGAGGAACTTAAATTTAAATTTAATCACTTGCTTATGTTATAATATGATACTGTTTTCTTTTTAATCGAAAGCGCTTATTGAGGACATCTACGTACATATAGGTAGTATATAAGTATCAATTATGTTTATCTATAGATTTCCAGTTTTTCGCGGAAGAACAGTAGTAAATGTTCTACAAGCGTGATTACTAAATAAAAATAATTTGCCTTTAAAAAAATATATATATAATAAAAACTACACATAGACAGCAAAGGCATCAACACACAGGCGACATTGTAAACTTCTTGTTTTATTATTATATTAACCAAGTATACCAATCCTATGTAAGTGGTTGAAAGAAGATTCCCCTGTTCGTTTTGGTTGACAGACGATAATTTCTAAACAGAAGCAGGTATATAATAAGGTGTATTACGCGCGGTACTGAAAATGCTATACCAGTATAGTATCCAAGAGTGAATAACCTGAAGTGAGTCTAATATTGTTCAAGGTTAAAGGACGTATCATTTGTATTGAACTGGGTTGTTGTTGGTATATACCAGAGGTAATGTGTATAATATACACTGCTTCGGTAAAACGAGATAGATAACACGCGCGCTGACGTTTTTTTTTCTTTCTTAGAATGTAACGAGACGAGTTTCATTGCAAGTGATGCCTTATTTTTTTCCCCCCTATATATATATATATATATATATATATATATATACAATAATACTAATATTTTTATGCTATTATATTTGTCATCGATTTTCCGTAGGAATATAACGTAATAACAATGCGATAGGTATAACCATTATATTAAATTATACACACGATATATTATTGACCGTACAGTTCGAAATGAAAAATGAATTTCTCAACAAAGACAACAAAACCAACGTTTATTTGCGTTTATTTTGGCTAAAATAAAAAACGATATATAGTTAAAAATGAAGAATACATTTCATGTAGATAACATTACAACATAATATCTATGTGCAGTGTAAAATCATAGCTTTATGTACATACCTAATAGTTTAGCTTTCCTAGAAAGAAAACAAACAACATAATATAAGAACTAATTATACAAAATAAGTTCCATAGATTATGGGTACCTACGTAGCTCTATGTATACGAGTAATCCATCTGGTCAATCTGGTAATAAACGTTCTTATACATATTATATCGTTTTTCGTCATCATAAATTAAATTCTAATTGTTATTTCTAGTTTTTATTTTTGTTTCTTAAGACAAAATATACTTATACATATGTAAACTAATTTCAAAAAATATAAAACAAATATGCAACGTAAAATAATATAAATAATATTGGCACAGACAACGGATAGGTGATAAGTGACAGGTAGGCCTTTTATCCACTTATCTCCGAAAATAAATGTTCAATGAATCATGATTTATTAAAACCTCGTTTTAAATCGGAATCTGATCTTTTAAAATTGTTCTGAAATAAAAAAGTTGTCAAAGCAAAATGATAATAGGGATGGATGCAGCCACTGTTGTAGATGGGAAGTTGAGAAGGTAGAATACAGAAAGGAATTTAATGTATATCTGTAAGCAACGATAAACCATTGTTAACTAAAAAAAAATTCTGAGCAGAGTTCAGTTAATAGTGATGTTTGGTTAACAATATATGTCATATTATGGTAAAATAGTTAAATGGTAAATAATTAAATATTTTCCTTAATCATATTTGTTTAATATTATACCAACTTTCCCATTTTTCTTCCGGTTTTTCCTTATATTAAGAAAATTCCTGAAAAAATCAAAAAATAGTTTCCTAAAAGAACACCCCTAGTCAAATTTCAGAAAAAGTGCTATAGAAAAGTTGTTCACAGGAAAAAAGAAGGCTATAATATTTTTAACTAATACCTACATTTCGTACATTTTCCCGTTTTTTTTCTTCAGTTTTTCACATTTATTGGGAAAAATCCTGAGAAAATCGAAAAATGTCCTCCCTAAAATACCATCCCATACCGATTTAATTTCAGGAAAGGTGTTACACTTAAAAATCGGAGCAAGATTTCTGGTAGAAAAGTTGTCCAGATAAAAAAAAAAAACTAACATCTTTATAAAACCATAAGCTTCTTCGCTCCACTCAGAATCTAAAAATAAAGTCGAACTGAAAGAATTAATAATGTAAAAAATATTTGTATTATTATTGTTTCCTATCCGAACATTCGGACATAAATAATAATTATTATATATAATGTCCGTGCAATTTAACAAAACAAACAGATTTCCAAGTAAATCTGTAAATCAATAAAAATACACCTCCTATGAGAAAAAAAATGTTCAAAATAATTGGCAACCAAAGAAAAGAAAATCAATGAATGATATTAATTGGATAACAATAAAAGAGAATATTACACAAAAACAAAAATATATTATCAACAAATAGCAATATAAGTATCTTAAATTAACTCATTAAAATGTATAAAGGACACGCATAGTGTTTTATACTTAGGAGGACGTAATATCCTCATGTGCTATTTCCGTCTTACAAATATATGATATAGCGAATTTTAACAAGCACAACTTTATGCTTTGTCAGTTTAAATATTGGAGTGAATTGACAATTAATTAGTTAATCTTAATATTGAATTATTAAATTTAAAAGTAAGGGTGTTAACTGTGAAACCATGCAAATGTTTGTCATTATTTTAATTTTTAAGCGAGCTATTAGCATTTTTAAATATTATGATAATTCTCATATTCATAGGTAACTAACTATATACTCCTTTCTGAACGTACCAGTGATAAAGGAACAAAAAATGGACAAACTTTGCACGATGGTTGAGCTACTGTTACCGATATGAAGTTGGGAAGGTAGAGGGGAAATTTAATGTATATCTGTACACAATGATTAACCATTTTTAACGAAAAAACAAACGATTCTGAGCGGAATTCGGTTATGTGCATGTTTTGAAAGGCCACAATAATACATACGGTTTCAAAATAATATATTTTGTACATTTTCCAGTTTTTCCTACGTTTTTTCTCTTATATTATGAAAAGTGAAAACCCCAGAGAAAACCAAAAAATAACCACCTTAAAGTACCACCCCAGTCAAATTTTCTTTCAGGAAGGTGCTCTCTGGAAGAAAAGTTATTCACAGAAAAAAAAAAAAATCAAATATGATTGTAAAACTGTTTACAATTTGAAGTAAATATTCTGTTTTTATATTTTATAATGCAGCAACACGTCTATCATGGATTTCCGTTTTCGTTTTTTTTTTTATATATATATATAAAAGTAATTACTGTCTAAACCAGCCGATGTTTTCCCCAACATATTATACAACTGGCTTGAACATAAAACTTCCCATGCAATTGGTTCAATTTGATTGTCAAGAAAATATCCCACGCGTAGAACAAAAACCTCGTACAGAAATTATTAACCTGCCCGATAATCATACGCACATACTCGTAGTATAATAACATATTAAAACCATTGAGTACGTAGAGAACTTTTTAGTTAAAAAAAAAACACCAATTTTTTAACGTTTAAAAACCGTGTAAATGGCCGCGTGGTGGTATTTGTATAAAATCACGAACAATACACTCAGCGTACTCTGCGATGAAATAATCACAAATAAAAGTGGTTTTACGCCATATGTTGTGCCTCAGCGGCTTAATAACCACTATTTTATTTAAATATCCATTCTCTAATAATGTATAGTAAACTATAATCCACGAGATTTTGTAAATACATAAAAAAAAACCCGACCTACGTCACAAAACTTATTTAATAATAATATGTTGGTCGATAGCTTCTTAAACTATTTTTGGATTTTGGCACTTTACGAGAGATTTTAAATCATTTTCCAGATTTATACGCGTAATCAGGAAAACTTTTGAGAAACATATAACACAGGAAAATATTTTCACCGTCGGAACAACTTTCAACGGGAAACGTAATTCACGGAGAAAGAAAAATTTGGAAAGCAAATTTCTAGAAACAAATTCCAAAACTACATATTATAAAAGGTACCTATGCAGAATAAAAAAATTGAAGAAAACATTATCCTGGAATATATTTACTAAGGAACTAATAAATATAAAAATACCATTTAAAAAAATAATTGTTGGGAATTTAAATGAAAATTATCAACGGGAAATTAAAAATCGCAAATCTCGAAAAAATACGGTGATTGGTGTTACAAGATGTATAAATAGTATGATACCAGAGACGTATTTACATTTTAGAGCCCTTTCATAAAAGAACACATATTTTTACAACACACTGGAATTTCGAGCTGCACGCTTTAGATTTTGTACTGTACACTTTGAGCTCTAAACAAATGATTTCAAGCCCTGCTCAGCGAGTATAAACTACGGAATATGTTGAGCTTTATGAAGAAAAAAAATGATATTTTATAATTTCTTAAAATATTATGACACCTCTTGAAATGTGGCACACAGGGCCAATAGTCCCTCTGAATCCCTAAATACATCTCTGTATGATGCGAGTACTGCATATAGTTGTCAGAAAAACGATAATAGTCAGAATAATAGTGCAATAAATTTCTTTACTGGTCATAATCTTGTATCGATTTAAAATTCATTTATAATAGGTATTTTCCGAGCTTTTAAGTTCTTACGTAATATTTTCCTCGATTAAATTGTATTACTTTCCTAAGTTTTACTTTAAGATAAAAATTTACCATTACTTCGTATTATTTTACCATTTTGTACAGTCCCCCCTTTGTACCTAATAAAATGATTATTAATTAATACCTGCATTTATGAAACGTTGTAAATGTATATTTTATGAACAGTTATAATTATCAAAGCTTTGGCGAATAACGGACGCTATATAGTGTAGAATGAACGAGTAGCAACGAATGATATATTTTTAATTGAATAAGGAAGAACAACCGACTAAATATGAAATAATTGTAATTGGTGGTGGGTAGATACAACAATTATAGTTATTGTTATTACAAGTATAACTGACGAGTAAAATACTGTATGCAATACGAAAAATACCTCGATATAGACGATAGAAGCGGACTACGTGAGTAACATGATAATTATTGAAGGCAACACGCACCATAAAAATATACCATAATATTATAACCGAGAAACCCGATTGACGGGGGCAATGTGTTTTTCTAAGACGCGCGCGGGAGAGAGAAAAAGAGAGAGAGAGAGAGAGAGAGAGATGAACTACGTACGTCGTGTACAGTAGACGTGAACCCGTACAGCAGGCACACACGTACATCAGCAACAGCAGGACGGGCAGGAAATACCGACTGGGTGGTGTTAGGCGATGGTGGTGGTGGTGGTGGCGGTGGCGGTGGTGGGAAAGAAAAAAAAAGACGCGCTGACAAATTTTTGAAGAGGGGCTTAGGACTCTTCCTGTTAAGTAAATAACTGGAGTGGCCCGTTGGTATTGAGTTACAGTATACGCATAACGCTATTGTTTTTTAGGAAATCGAAATCTTTGCATCGGTTTTCACCGTCAATGATCGTGATCAAGAGCCCGTCCGTATTATATTATAGCGACCATAGGTGCTTTTAAAAACCTCAAATACCTACCGCACGAACAAAAAATAAAATAAAACCACCAGACTTGATGAATCACTAAAATGTTATTGAAACCAAAGTATATTAAGTAAAATATAATATAATATCTGTATATAACTGAGTATTTCAAATTTCTTTAACCATAAAACTTTAGAGGACGCATTACCCGAAATAATATAATATTACACCGTCTCGAGTTAACTTACGAACAACATAGCAAAATTAAGTGTTTGTGTTGAAATCAGAGTTTAAACACGGATAATAAAATTTAAGAAAAAGAATATTCCCCTTGGACATGGTGTTGCATTTTTTTTTTTAATATTTCCAAACAAAAATTACAGCAATTAATAATAATTAATAACGATAATATAAAAAAAAAAAAAGATGTGGCTCAGTTTACCGTAATATAACTATCGGTATGTTTCTCATTATAGACTCGAAGATCAATCAAATTAGAAATCCTATGTATTTCGATGTATCTCGAAAAAGGACAACAAACATGATTGGGGCGCGAGGTGATAGATTGATGAGGTTTATGAGCAATAATTAGGTAATAATCCGGTGTCCTATCGGATTGAAAACGAGATAAGGAAAATTATTTAATAAAGGAACACATGGTATATATTAAGTACCTATAGATTAAATTCTCGGTTAAATATTTCTATTTGTGTTTTATTATATAAGGTGTTACACATTACCTTAATTACGTACCTATATCTATATAATAAAATAACTAATAAACCATGTATGGGAATACCTGTCTACCAAACACAAATTTGACGAGACGGTTATTCTGGGGTTAAACAAATGTAAAACTCGACTTATATCCGTATGTTTACAGCAACTAATCAGTTATCGGTAAAAAAAAAAAATAATAATAATGTGATGAGTAATAAAGATACACTACCTGGATAACACATAAACTAAATATAATAATTCAGTATACATTTATTATAATAATCACTTTGAGATTCTGAGCGGAGCGAGGAATGTATTGACTTTACCACTAGTATTACAATGTTTATTTATTTTTTCCTGTAAACAACTTTTCTACCAGAAAGTTTGCTCCAATTTTCAAGTGTAGCACCTTTGCAAAAAAGGACATTTTTGAGGGCTGGTATACTTATTAAAGGATCTCCATTTTTTGATTTTTCCAAGGGATTTCATAATAAATGGGAAAAAAAGTAGGAAAAACAGGAAAATTTACGAAATGTATTATTCTCAAATCGTAAATATAACTACCTTTCAAACGGGGGCGCCGAAACAATGGGGACAATGGGAACAATGTGGGCTACTGCCCCACGAGAACAATTCCGTGGGGGCATAGCTCCCATGGACAGTTTCCTAGAATTTACGCTCCCGTGACTAAAATACATAGGTTTCAGTCATCTGCTATAGATATTATATTGAATATAAAAACAAAACTCAAGTATATTTTATAACTGTCTGAGAATCGTATTATTTAAAATTAACATACATGCACTATATGTATGTAGTATTAATATAATATAGTATATTAGGTATGTATATGAATATAAGATAACATGGAGACAATTACCAGTTATCTAGAAAATCTAGAAGTAATCAAAATAAATTGAACGAAATCCTTTTGGATGATATTTTAAAAGAATTTATAAATCAGACAGTGGAGAGAAAATGTGTTTTCGGGAAAATTTAAATAGTTAAACTTCTATTCATTTTTGTTCGTATTATATGTGTGTGTGTATATATTATTAATATTAAGATAAGTTCGTAATTTTTTAATACTATTAAATACTTTATTTATACCATTTTCTTTATTTAATACTAGCCTTAAATTGTCCCTTATTGAACTTTTGTATTATATTAAGAGATAAAGCGTAATCAAAAAACGGATGCATCGTCTGTCCGGGCGTGGGAAAACTGTTACCTCCTTCTGTATATGTATCTTTCTTCAGCCCCCACGGTTCAAAAATTGTTCCGGCGCCACTGCTTTCAAGATATGTATACAACTCTGTATATGATCGAACTCTGCTCAAAATCGTTTTTCGATAACAATGATTAATCTTTGCGTACAGATATACATCAAATTTCCTTTTTACCTTCCCAACTTCTCACCTACAACAGTAGTCCACCCATTGTGCGAAGTATGTCCGTTTGTTTTTTCATTTAATTTTATACGTTTATTTTTGTTCACATCAAAAATTATTGTGCTTTAAATATACAACAATGAATGTGTTTTCCGACCATTGTTGAAACTTCTTATCCCAAGAATTTACCATCGTTTCTAACATACGTTTATATAATGTATTATCACAGAGAAAATATTAAAATAAAAATGACTACAAAATGAACAAGTGAAACTATGGAAAAATGGGAAAAGTATTCGATCATAATGCATATTACGACATTCTGGGCGGGAGTATACTAGTATAAAATCATTCGTCATTGATATTACAATATATTATTTTTAGATTCTGAGTGGAGCGACAAATGTATTTTATCCTGTAATCGTTTATTTTAGTAGTCCGTATGTTTACGCATGGATTAAAACTCTAGAATACAGTTGAGCTTTTTAAGTTAATTTTACATTTAAAAAAAAAAACAAAACCAATGCAATTTATATAGTAAAACACACCAAATTTTACCAGTAACAATATTATTGATTAAACACGGTAGATATGTACTGAGATTTTATAGATTCTGGATAACAATTTCTTTACCTTACAATTATTATTATATTTTTTATCGAACATTTTGGAATGTCTAAAACCGTGTAGCAACTTAAATGAATATATTTTTTTTAAAATTCACAAGTATCTTATAAAAAAATAGTTGAACGAATAATTAATTAAACAAAGAATAGGTATATCTAATTTTAATTTTAATTTAATTAATCTGCACCGCATCTATATGGCATTGCAAAACCAGACAAAATGTTTGCATAGCTTATAATAATACAACTTGGCGTTATTATAAACATCAATTTACAAAATATTAATATAAGTATGTATATACCTATTATCTACACAAATCGAATTAAAAAATAATAATACACTGTTATGCTGAGGTAAGCGATCGTTTAAATCACTAAAGTAATAATATTATATGAAATGCAATGGCTCGGATTTCGCCGATTCATTTTCTTTTTTCTGAATATTTATATTTTCATTTTGGTTGATACGACGGGAAAAAAAATGGGATAGTAAACATTTTGCACCATGGCCATTGTTGTATTGACGGAGAGTTGCTGGGACGGTAAAATAGTCCGACCATCATTGCAAACTAAAAACGATTGATTAAGATTCGTTTTTTTCTAAATTTAAATTGAAAAATGCACTCACATACATCAAAAAAGCTTTTATAAACAATTTCTGTAATTTTTACAATTTTGTTTTTCAAAATTTGAAAATTCTATGTTATTTATCTTTGCTATTATTCTGAGATATTGTACAAAAGATTATTACCAGAATTTTACTTGGCACGTGAAGAACACGATAATAACAATATAACCTATATACTCAACCATTCTATTTCATTGATAAAACCAACGAGTAGTACCGAAACAATAAAACCCAACAACATGGTTGATGATTTATAGAACGAAGATAATTAATAACAATCTAATTTTACATTATTCCCTTGAAAATATAATACATTTTAATATTTATATAACATATGACTTGCATAATACCGAATAACAAAATAATGCAGATTTTGTATTTGAAGGTTTTTAAGGTTACCAAATAAATGTATGATTCTATTTGTAACCGTACATTCGTATGTTTTGAATTTTGTTTTTTAAATACATAATATTATGTACAATATTGATCTAACATATTAAACACCTATGTAACTTTTTTATTCAAACCATTCAAGTGATAGAAAATACCGAACTGTGAAAAGCTCCCCTAATACAATGGTGCAAACGACTTCCTCTAGAAACCTTAAAAGTTATAACGTTATTCAGGAATGGTATAATAGGCGTTGAATTACGTATTATTCGAATATGCAATTATTGTAATAGTAGGTATAGACAGATATCATCATAAAAAATTCTTTAACTTCGAGGTAAACTTGATTTCAAACATAATACAGGTATCATCGGAAATAAAACAAGTTGGTACATATACCTATCATTATTAATAATCCTTTATAAAATCATGTATAAAATAAAAATGTAAATGTAGGTAAGTACCTTTCCAGGTAAGGTAGGTATAGAAAACTCGAGAAACTCAAAGTAAAAACGTTTATCTACGTTGTTGTATCTACACTTTTTATCTAAATTTTGTTAACTCGTCTCAACTTTAATAGCGAATATTTTTTTAAATTTTTTTTCAATATTCTTTATCAATAATTAACGCGTTTAATAAGTAAAGGTAACAACCAAAAACCTCGCCGAAAACTATAAGAATACAAATGGAAAAATGATATAAAATTGCAAATAGATATTACGAGATTACATACTAATAAGAGGACACTAAAAAAAACTTGTTATCTATTCATGGGTGTTTTATATTTTTACCTACCTACCTACCTACAGGTTTTGAAATTAATTATTTTCCATAAAATAGCTGTGCAATGAGTTTTACCATGATCTTTAAAACTATTCCCGTTATTATTTTATTTATTTTTCGTGAATAATCGTACCACTTTCTATAGGGATATAAACTTGACTCATTGGAAATAAAAACTTTTAGTTGCAATGCATTTAGTTATGAGTCATTGATATTCGAAACAAAATAACCAAATAATCATTTATATTCCTCGACATCTCAACATTGTAATATCTAAATTTATACACCTAAACCTATTCATGTAGGTAACAATACTAAAGTGCATAAGTATTCTAGATTTTCGATTTTGTCAGAAGCTAATGAGTTATTTTATAATATAACTGTATATAATATGAACGTGTATAATAACGGTGCGCTTATTTTCGTAGAAAATTATTATTTTTGGGGCAGTTTTTAGACAAACGTCGGACAGCATTGTTTGAATAGGGGTGATTTCCGAGTTTCTATATCTAGGCAATTTAACTACAAGGGACCCAAAACATAATATATTTACCTACCACCCAAGTTCAATGCTTTGAAATTTATGAATAATTCAAGCACAACAAAAAACAAAGAAAAATGATATTTATTCCGAGAAAAATAAATTCTTATCTTAATAATTTGAATTGTCACATAAATTGACGAGACCGGTGACATACTATAGAACCACTGTCCCATTTTATTATGATTATTATAAGCATATCTATAATAAACTTTCCATTTTTTTTCATTAAGTATTATACTTAGGTACTGAACTCACTTTTTATTTACCATAAAAAATACATAATAAATACCTATTTATCTGTATTTATCACTTAATAGTGACTAAAAGTGGAAAATATATTTAGCACAATGATCAATGAGTGAGTGCGGCAATTACGAACAATTATGTCTGACAAGGAACAATACTATAAAAGTGTAATTAATATTAGCAATTGAAAAATAAAACCTACAAAATTCAAACATTTTTAATGAATACATCATTAATAGACAATAACAAACATTGTTCAATAGGCACCTAATGATTATTAGAAAATTGATAACACATAAATTAATAAATATGATATCGAATCAATATAATATTGGCGAAATTAAGGGTCCGGAGGGGGGAGTCAATCGCCTCCTCCCATTTGCTCCTATATATACTCATCGCCTCAATATACTCTGAGCTTGATTTTCATCATAAATGTTTACCTTATAGGCATTTTCAAAATTGCCCCCTCCTCCGGGCCAGGTCACGAATCCTGGATTTGCCACTGATATCAATCATGTTTGTTGTTAATTTTAAATGTTCTACATTATGACAACTATTAATGGTTTGTGGACTTAACAATATATTTTTGGGTAAGCTTTAAGTATCTTCGTATTGCAGGGACGGACTGGGCCGCCGAAAAATTTCCCAGTGGGCCAGTATCTATTTTGGCCATGTGGCCTGTGAAGATTTATGCGAGGTACAACATAAATAAATCGGAATAATTCATGTCGACAAGTGGGGAAATCTGGTACATCAAGGAATTTAATAATTCGTCGACGCAATTTATAGCAGGATCATTTTTAGATGGTTTGAATTTACAATTGACATAGCTATTTCTAATTTGGAAAAACGCTTCAACATTTCTTCAAACGTAAGGCCCATTTAGCGTGTTACACATTTCTAAATTTTAAAAAGTTCAACAATTAATCGTAGACTCTACTTTTTTTTTTTGTGTATAAACAATATACTTATGTAGCCACTCTAAATCTAAACCCCGGTGACATTTTTAATCTTAGTCCACCCCTGCTACGTATGTAAGTAACTAATCACTAAATCTACAACTAAATCGGTACATATCTAATTTTCAAAAAAATTATTTGAATATTTCCTGTTACCCCGGTAACAATGAAAAAAGTGGTGTACAATTAATTAAGAAGCTAAGTTTGTTTACCTCGCCATTTACCAACTAGGTACAACACACTTTTTAGCAGACTTATTGTTTACAATAAAATCATAAAACCAACTGCTTTATAGTAATATCTATTTATTCCAACCATAGAGAAGTGTTAATTTATTAGACACCCAAAGTTTTCGTTTATGAAATATACCTAATTTTATTTAATTGTACATAATAGCCCAAGTACAAATAGTTGTACAAGTCATAGGTATTACCTGATCATTTCATTTTGGGTTTTACAACGCAGTAATGATAAGTACAAACCTGGGTATAAACCTATATAAATTCGAGCTTTAAAAATTTGCATTCAAAATAATATACCTAGAAAGGTTTCGAGGTAATTTAAGTTGTATAAAACTAAAGTTTAAAAATGTGTATTCAGTTTCACCGAAATGCCACTAATTCCTAGAATACTTTGTATGAAAACACAAAACACAATAGATATACCCGATGTTCATAAAGCGTGCCCATCTAACCAAATTATAGATGTTTACAAAATATACATCAAAATGCGAGTATGTTAGTATGAAATAATAATAACTCGGAAATAAATTTCAAAAAACTTACCAAGGGCTTGGCATTGTATTATTTTTGTCTGTCCTTCGCCAATCACATTTTTAGTTGATGTTGGCTGAGTAATGAACCGAGGAGCCTGAAAGGATTCTGTAAATAAATAATATAACCGGATGTCAACGGGTCTATTTTATAGGTATCTAAATTCCAAGATAGAGTCAATCGAGGAGTCAATGTATTTCCGATTTTTGAAGACGCTGAAAGGACACTTACGGCATTCGGATTGCGTGACAACCGACAGAATGAGTATCAAAACCGTGGTGACAAAGTATCCCCGATGGGCGCAGGGCGTTTGGTCGCAGATTCGGTCATTTCGTTCTTCTTCTTCCATCGCGGTACGGGTAAGCGACGGAATGACGTTCGAAATGTACGAAACGACCGTGAACGAAATATAACAAGTATACGAAAAACCAAAGTAATACAGAAACGGATAAATAACAACACTAACGGACGAGCGGCACTCGGGACGATAGTTGGAAAACCGCACAAAGGCCGCCGGACGACACCTGTTGCGGCGTTTCAAATGCCATCGCGCGAATAACGGCCGTTTAACGGTTTTCGCGTCCGGTAACGACGGCGGCGGTTAGGTATCGGACGGTGTGAAAAAAAAATTCACTAATAACGACAACCATCAAAAATTATCCGATAAAGGTAACAACAATAACAAACACGGCAGTCGACGACAACGACGAGGTGCGCGCAGGTAAATTATTGTCGTTCCAGCGACCACCGACCAGACTAAAGAATGCGGTCCTCTGGTGCACGCACACACACTCACTAACACGAACGCGGATACGGACACACACACACACACACACACACGTAATTCAAACTGACAAACGTTTGGAAGAGGTATGTGGAGGTGGCACGACCGACGGCGACGAACAACGACGACACGCGAAACGTCGTTCAACGGACAACCACAATGACGATTAGACGATGGTGTTCTACGCCCGGTGGATGTGGTGATATAGTGGTGCACTGCCTGGTGGCGTTCAGGCGCTGGCGCGTCGCTATGCGGCCGTTGTTCGTTTTGTAGATGTTTTTTTTTGTTTGTCCATTTACAAACCTACAATGGTACAGTGCCACCAACGTGAAAGCTCTAGTTTTCCCCGGTAAACCAATGATTAAGCATAACGGCAATCAGTATTGTTATGGCGGCCGCCATAGTATTATTTAAAAATTGTAATAATGTACATTGGAAGAAATATTAAATTTGTATAACTAAATATTTTGTTCACACGTTGTACTGTTACTGTTTTGGTACCATAAAATACTAATGAATTCATATCAACTCAAGTTTCGTTATAAAATTCTAAAATGTAATCAGAACCTTTCAGTGGCGTGGCAAAGTGAAATATTTTATCGGGCAATTCATTTTTTTTGAATGACCTACCACCACCCCTCAACTCTTAGGCATTGATCATTATCATTACCCATGAATAAATGTACAATATTCTGGGCTGATGGCTTTTCCTAGAATACTTATTATTAATTGTATTATTCTTATTTAATATCATATGACATATTCTGATGAAGTTAATCTTGTACTACAATTTCTCCACAGACTCCAGTACTCAACCACCAGGCACCCACCCACCCACCACTTAAAATTATCGGGCAATTGCCCCTCAAAATCACGGCCAACACGCCACTAGAACCTTTGTCTCTGTTCAAATTAGCTGAATAAAGGAACATTCTACTCATACTAGAATCCATTTAATTAAACAGTTGAAAACAACTTTCGGTTTTGCTTCTGGTTTATTATCATTGTCACAAATGAGATCTATTCTCATCTGTTCCACAAAACTATACCAGATTTTATCATTCCAATGTAAATATATCCGACATTCAATCCGTTCCTAAATTATAAATTACAGTAGTTTTGGAGCTTTTGCTTTAGTATCATAGAAATGTTTTGAAGTAAAAAACGGGGTTTAATTTCATAAAAATTGAATTAAAGTTGAACTATAAGTTCATTGTTTTTAAATGAACTTGCTGAGTTTAATTTAATTTGTAAATGGACTTTAATGCTGGAGCTCTGCTGCTCATGAGTATTTTTTATATGTAAACTGTAGACAAATAAATAAATAAAAATTTGTTATTATCTAGAATTCACAAACAATGATGGAACAACAGATAACCTTAAACATTCTAATTTAGAAAACAGGTATATATGAATTTTCCTAGAAATGGATATAACATATTTTGGAAGACAGTTTTACTGAAAGATCTAATTTACAGATCTCTAGCCATTTTTACTTAAGTCTTGAATTTTCCGAAAACTGAAAATGAAAAAAAATGTTCTACCTATCTTTGTTAATCATAATAAATCAACCAGACAAATATTTTACAGAAAATGTTTATGTATATTACAAAATTATTGATTATTTATTATTTGTGTAACGAGTATTGAAAAAATGAAAACTGATTTTGGAATTTTCATCAATATTAATTTTATTACTTTTACATTTATTATTATCTATTTACCATTTTAAAAAGTGATATTATAATCTATAACTAGTTCAAATTAACCAAACACTATAACATTTGTTTGCTAGATCTTGGTTTGTAGTTTTCAAATTATGGTTTATATTTTAGGGGCCTTAATTAGGGCACATACATAGGTGATAATTAATGTTCCTTGGTGATATACATTTAAGAAACCAATATTAAATTGTTAACATAGATATATAAAACTACTAGATGGCTGACTTCCTATACAACCAATTTGTGACATTAAAGTTTGGCGCCATATGGTGTGTGGGGTTTGTTTACATCTGTTATCACATATTATGATACCTTATAATATAATGATATAAAATTCAATTCATAATATTAATTTTTAAATTATTTTCATTAATTTCTGATGTATTATAATTTATAACAATTAATAAAATGTAGTCAAAAAGTGTAATATTTATTCAATAAAACAAAAAGTAAATCACACTAAAACCATATACTGAATTGGTATTATAAATGTATTAAAAGAAAATAGAAGATAAGATCAGACAATAAAAAAGCATTAAATTCGAAGGTTTATTAATTTTTGTATGTGTTTAAAAATTAATATATATATATATATATATATATGTGTATTTTATCATAATAATTATTATATACAAATTGTATTGATTGTTTTGTGTATTTAAAGCCAAGTTTTCAGTTATATGTTTAATATGTTATACTTAGGTAATATGTACATACCGTGCATAAGAATAAACTTTGGCAAATAATAATTTAAAGTTAAAGCAAATTCTTTTATTTCTTTAGAATATCTACATGCCATTGCATTTCTATTTTTATTCTTCATCATATTTTTTACAATATCATTAAGAACTCCATCAAATTTGTCTATAAGGTTATTTTCACTTTCTCCAGAATTTTATTCTTTAAATCACTTAAAAATCTTTGAGATTATTTATTTTAATGTTTTGTCTTTTTACTTTTTACTGAAGTAATTCTTTTTTTTTAAAACTTATTTTTGAAGGACTGTTTAATTGTGGAGAAGAAATAACAACTACTTTTTTTCTAATTTTTTTTGAGTGTAATAAATATGAGAGACAAAGAAATTTTTTTAAAAGTTTTACTTGTTAGGTAATGGATACTTTAACTAGTACATTTGTTTCAAATTGTGTATTATTTTCTAATTTGATGCTGAATAAATCACAGTAGCAAAATGGTAAGAGTACTACAATATCATTTACTATTGATGTATTAATGTGACATTCTGACTTTGATAATTTAACTTTAGACTCATATATATTACTGAAAGGATAAGTAAGAAGTTTTGAAGGAACTGCACATGATTTTAATTTGGGTTTATAACTGTCACCGGGATTTTCATAATTTTTTTTCAAAATGAGCTCTACATACTCTACAATATTTGCTAGGAGTAAACCTCCTTCGAGCAATTGCCTTAATTCTTAGATTATGAAATATATGTTAAAGGAGATAAGTTAGACCTGTAGTGTAAAAGGTAGTTTATTTATTTCTCTCCACAGGCTGCAATCAGATGGGAATATATTAGATAATTTATATTCAAAGATATCTGATTTGTATTTTGCAAAGTATTTTTTTTAGAGAATTGACCAGTTTGTTATAAAGTGGTTTATTAGAGGGTAAACGAGAGGTCTGATATTGTGCCCAAGCTTTCCTCTTTTCAGTGATTAATGACTGTAAGTGCATCAGTAAGGGATTAATAGAAGTAGAGCAGTTGTTTGGTCTAGATTGAGATAACCAGGCCGCTTTATAAATGATTGAAGTATATCCATTATTATTCAGTATTATCCATTAACTGCTTCATCAATATTATCATTTGTTTTTGATTTAAGTTTAAGGTTTAAGATATTCAAACTTATGAAAAAAAAACTGATATTATTACAGCGCTTGGCCTGATTTTTACATCGAAACGCAGAACAAGACATCACCTGGGTTAAACCTTATGTATTTTTTAAATAAAATACTTAAACTTTAACACAAACAAATGCAAAATACAAATAAAATTGCACACATATACAGCAGTCAGTCACACTGCTAAAGCCCATAACTCCAGTTATTACATAAGGCATAATATAAACATCACCTACACGACAAATGGCGGAAAAATTCATTGATAAGGACTAATCGGCTATCTAGTAGTTTTTTATTTATATGGTTGTAAACAATGCATTTTATCATGTGGCCATGGCATGATTAAAGATAACAATATTTACCTACAGATAACAATAATCAATATTTCTACAGCAGCCGTATTTAGTATTTACTGCAATTCTGTAAACCACAATAGATTATTTGAGGCGTTCAGTACAAAAATCGGTCTGACAAATATTACTTACTATATAGTAATATAGTGTATACATTATATTTTATTTAATATAAACCATTTTGTAATTATTATTTATTGTAATAATGTCATACACAATTCACGATATTTGTATTTCCATTTCACCATTTCACTTATAGTAATTTCTTACTTGTCCGGTAATCGCAGATTCTTTCTTCGCCGCCACAGCCTGTTGCCTGTTACGTAACGCCAGTGAATAATAACGTATCCGTGAAATACGATTATTGCCAATATAATGGCCATCACCGAGTATGTTGGGTACATATATTGGAGCGTGTCGACGACTGACTACACAATCGAACTGTTTTGTAATTTTTAAACAGCGAGACTGCTGTGTCTAAACAACCCAACCGTGAGTGAACGACCGCCACCAGTATGTCGAGGTAAACAAAAATCAAAATCTCTGGATAAAATAATGTACACTCTTCTTATTAATTATTTGTCTGCCTCCAAATGGTTTCTTAAAATACCTACTATATTAATAACTTGTGTTTTTATTTTTACCTAGCATCTCTTTGCTTAACAATAAAAACCTAATTTTGTTACACCTAAAAAACTTCTGGTTATGCGCTTTATGATAAAATTATAGTTTTATGATTCCAGAACTGGATTGATGTAAAACATCAAATTAGATATACAATGTGATGCAGATGCTACTTTATATCTGATTTTGTATAACATTCTTTGATTATATACATAGACTGATGGTTAAATTAGTCTATTTAATATATTTTACTTTCCATTGAAGTCCAACAAGATTATTAAGTTTTAATTTTAGAATCAAAAACATGATTATAATTCATATTTCAAATATTCTCATTGTAATAATAAGTATTATAAAAAAAAAATGAAATTCAAATTTTTGATCAAAGGAGAATATTAAGGCTGGAATAAAATCTTAGAAACACTTGAAAAAACATATACTGTGCTTATCCATCAATTTTTTAAAACAATGTGACATGTATTATAAAAAAAATAATTATATTTTTAGTTTTAAATAATTTATTATGTTTTAGGGAACTTTTAATTGTATTTGTTTATGACTCACGATTCTGTACTTCTGAATCAGATGATCCACAAAATTCTATTTTATACTTCCATCCACCGTGGGTAAGCTCTTCCCAGAAGCTTGCCTTAAGTGGTCAACTAATGGGGATTGCCAAATTTTCGTCTTCAGCTTTTTCAGCTCTATCAATATTAGCTTTACGATCTGGAAAGTTTGCATTCAAGCAATTTGGCTCTTCAATATTGGTAATTACGCTGTATATTAGTTTTTTCTAAACTATTTCAAAATAATTTATAAAAAAAATTGATTTATTTCATTTTATTTTTAAAGAAAAACATAATAGCATCATAAGCATATTAGATTTGTTAACTGACTTTTTTACTTTTTGGTATATTACAGTGTGTTGGAACAGATAGGAATATTCCAGATAGTGTGCTCCAAAATCGTGCAAATACTTTACACAATATTTTAGTTACATTTCACTATAATATCACTGAAATATCAGATCAAAATATACTCAAAGAGAAATTGAACACTGCTATTTCTTCATATCTTTCACTTTTACTTGTATCTGCAAATATTTTTGGTACTACTATAGTACTTAAATTTCCTAAGGTATTATTACTCCTTTCTAAGTAAATATATTAACCATATAAGCTATGTTTAAGTATATAATGTTATAATATTTTCTAGAGTGGAGGAAATGTTCTTTTGGAATCAATGCAATTACTGGAAAGTATGCAAGAAAAAACCAAAGTTTTGGGAGGAATGCTACTTCATCACAATAAGTATGTGATCTCTTGTATCAATTTAGTTATCTTTAGTCAAATGTTTTTTTTTTTTTTTTTTTTTTTTATTGTTAAAATTGAACAGTAATTTAGCTAATAGTTATAAATATGTTTATATTGGTGACATTTTTTTTTTTCTAGGATTGTTGTAACACAGTTTGGATTTGAACTAACAAAATTAATTCAATTAACAAATCCTTTTTGTAATAAGGTACCTAGTTAAACTAAACTTAATTCATTCAATTCTTTTGTTTATGAAAGTTGTATTAACAATTTTGTTTTCCAAAAATTAATAAATTATTATAATTTTTTTAAACTATAGATACCTGCTGAAAGTGTAAATGGGACTTTTCATTTACCATTAGGTACACAGCTCTTCTATATTTTTGTAGACAAAGAACAAGTATCTCAAATAAGAAAAACAGCCATTTCACTTAAACAATCAGTAAAAAAAGCAGCAAAATGGCGTCAAAAAAATAAGGTTATTTAAATGTTGTATTAGTTGTTCAAGTACCTATTTAAATTATTTATTGTTTTATAAAGTTGTATATGTTTATTCAGACTTTTGATAAATCACAAGATTGCACAAAAAATGATAAAAATCCTGATAGTAAAAATATATTCACAGTTGAAGAAGAAGATACTCCTGATAGTAATTGTGAATCAATTTGTAGCATGCCAGATATTGTAAAGGAATCAATTATCAAAGCAGAAAAGAAATTAAATGCACGAAAATATTCTACGTGGGAAACATCACTGAATGAAATGCCAAATTTTACTAAACTTGTCACTCTAAGGTATGACATTCAATTTTTGATTATTTCATATTGTAGAATTTAATTTTTTTTCAGAAAAGATAATACAAGATATCAAAGCCTTAGATCATTACCAAATACAACAAACGAAGAAGAATTAAAAAATAATGATAAGTATAGAACATTGTGTGACCCGTCTTTTCCACTATTGCGCGACGATGACTATGCTATTTCTAAAGCTCTGTATGACAAACAATTATCTCAACATTATACAGACCTAGATCTCAAAGTACAGACTGAAAAAGGTAAATATTTTTTTATTTTTTTTTTAATTTCTTCATAATATTTTACGGTTCAAAAATGTTAATTTAGAAAAACAATTGAAATTGAAAAAACCTGTTCGTCCAACTTCAATACCCCTTAATTTACAAGCTCTTGGTAAGTTATTGGTATGTTTTATTATTTAGAAAATAAATGTACATGTATTTATATTATCCAGATAGAAAACCTACGATCAAAGAAGATATCATGACACCATTGATGGCTAAACTTAGTATGACAGACTCATATCCTTTTGCTGCATCTACAGAGACTATTTGTAGAACTCCTTCTACAAGCTTTCAACCGCAAGCCAATGCCTCTAGCCATCAAAAGTTAATTTTATTTATTGTTGGGTTCCAAAATACTTCATTAATGGTTTTATTAGAAAAAGAAGCAGAAAACGATCCTGAACTAATTCATCTATTAGTAAAGACAATTTATAATTACAATTATTGAGCTGTGATTAGATTTATAATAATGGTTTTTGGTTTTCAGTGGAACTTAAGTATTAACAATCTTGGAGATTTAGAAATCTTGATAAACAATACAATCACTAATGTTCCAGACACATACTGCTTACAAAATAATGATGAATCATATGGCTACATAGTAATGGACACAGCTGATGCTGGTATGATTGACAAACATGGCAATTGGTTAGGTTCACAAACCGTTTTAGCTACATCTATACATGATATGTTCCAAAAACATTCCTCAGTTCTCGATATTATTATCAGGTATATATAACTAATTGCTTCTAATAGCATTTTTTTTTTTAAAAAATCCTTAACATTATTATTTCAGGAATGATGATAACATAGTTTATGGAAACAAATGTGGCAGTCGAGAATTGTTTTATCAACAGAGTGGTAATATTGTCAGTGGTTTACCCACACCCTCCGATATAATGGGTGTTGTATCTACTACTGCAAAAAGAAAATTACAAAGAGACCATGGTATTATAATTTTATAAATTTAACCTGAATATTATAACATATTAATCATATTGTAGGAAATCTAGATTTTTTTTAAACAATTTTATTATTATACCATAATATACTTAACTTTGTATACAGTATTACAGTGAAAATTAATTGTTTTTTTTTAGTGTGTTTTTTTATATATTTATATTATTATTATGATTGAAGTAGTTATTAATTTGTCTATTGACTACTGTACTATTGATATAATAGATTAATTGATACTAATTAGATAATAAATGTTAGAATAATAAACAGTCTTAATATTTTGTATTTTATACCTTGTAAACTGAAAATAATTATTTTTTTTAAATGTACATATTTAATGTGAATTTTAAATATATTGTGTATTAAAATTAATACTACCAGTTCAATTTGTTAACTATAATTATCTTTTAATTAATAGGTTACTTTTTTTAAAATATTACTAGTCTAATGATTTAACTTGCTAGGTTTATAAATTATATCAAAAGTTTTAGTGCAATGTTAAAACATATTTAAATAAGAGGTTCCCAGATTTTTTAGTAGTCCAACAAATGTTTGTAGCATACTACTGACTGAAAATAATTCAATATATTGTATCACAATAATAAAAGTTTTCCATAATAGATCATTATAGAATATAGATAATAGGTATGCTACATTGAATGTGATTTTTTTTGATGACCATCCCCCCTCCTAATTTGTTCCTTAATATATAAAAATGATCTGTGTGAAATTTGGTAATGATAACTTACCCCATTCCCATGCCCCAAAAGGATTGAAAATGAGGACATTGGGAAGTTTTGTAGTTTTTCGCAAATAATACAATAATTATATCACTGATCATAAAATGATATAGGAATTTATGGTAGCTCTTCTTAAGTCTATATAATTTATTATTATACAATTTACTGTAAAATCTGTTTTACCCAAGAAAAATTATAAAGTACAAAATATTCCATGTGTTAAGCAAAAATGATATTTTTTTTTATGGTTATTTAATTATATTTGTCAAATGGCTGAAGATATGAAACAATGTTAGCTTTTATTTCTAGTTTAGCTCTACAATTACATTTCATCAACAGATTAATAATACAAAAAAAAATAAAAACAAATATAGTAAAAAAATAGAAGTGAGTTATATTAAAGAGAAGAAAAAAAAAATTTAAAAAAAAGTTCATACGACCAAAAATCCAGCCTTCTGAATAAATGAAATAATAATAGTAACAACCAGTTCAAAGTTGGTTTTTAGGATAGAGGGTATAGATCTTTATTTTAATGTTTTCTTTCGACATTTTTGAAAATAATTGAATTTAATTATTTTAAATTATATTGCTTTACTTAATTGTAGTGAATTGTATCTTTAAGGCACATAAACAAAATCAACTAAACAATCCATAATTAATTGAATGAAGTAAGAAATTAAAAGACTAGACTTAACAAAGAGATTAAGGCATATCTCTAGGTTTAATAATATTTTAAAACTAAGAAATATTATTAAATAAATGCAGGAGATTGTAAGATATTAATTCAGATACTGAAAACCTCATTTAAATTAAAAATAAAAAGTATATTGAGATTATAAAACATAAATATATTTTAGAAATTTCTTAAAAATTATTATTTTCCCCTAAATATTTGATAAACAAATTCTGAAAATATGTGTTTTATAATTACCATCTAAAAATTACTTAAGCATTTAATATTAATATTATTCACACAATATCTGTTTGAAGACTGGTTTTAAATCATTCAGATTGAATATACATTTAATTTGTTTTATTTCGGAATAAGAAGTGAATATTTGTAGATACTCCAGATAGATTCATTGCCTATAACATAAATAAAATACAATAATAAATTATATTAACTATGTTTTAAAAGTTATGTAAAAAAATAATATATAAATTAAATATAATAGTTTAAATATGTTACATGGTAATTATAAAAAAAAATTATCGACAATAATCAGATTAAAATCAAAATTAAAAATATATTTATATTTTTAAAAACTCATTTTTCTGCAAATCATTAATTTAAATACAATTTAGATTATTTAAAATACATTTAAAAAACTGTTTACATTATTATTAAACATATTGTTTTTACTAAACACATAATATAATCAACCAGAAAAACTATTCTTTTACCAGGCAATTCCATTTAATTAATTATTACTACAGTCCGTAGATTTATATGTAAACATTTGTTTTTATTGGATGGAAGCATAACTATGAGATTAAAATTCATAACTTTAAGAATACAAATAAAGTGTTTTGAATATAAATTCAGAATCTAATTATTACTAAAAAACTGCATTAATAAAATATAAATAAATATACTGCTGAATAAGAAAGTAAAGTAGGTCTGTTGTAGGTGAGAATTTCGGAAGGTATAAGGGAAATTTATTGTTTATCTGTATGGAATGATTAATCATTGCTAACGAAAAACGATTTGCTCGGAATTTAAAATGACTTCCCTGATGCATAAAACAGAAACAAAATTTCCTACCAGAAATCCCTTATTTTGATGATAAGAGCAAATTGTTTGGTCAAACAAATGTAACAGAATATTTTTTTTAAAACACATATCATAGTAAGACTAATACGCTAATATACTTTTCACTAAGCAAAGAATCTAAAATACATAAACTGAAAAATTGTTAAATATTTCAACCATATGTTGTTTACTTTAATGCCATACATATATAAATCACAATATTTATATAATACACTTATTGTGGCTAATCTATACTTTCTACAAAGAATTATAATACATTCAATTACTAATACATACTTCTAAAACATGGTTATTAAAAGGTGATGAATGATGTTCCCATTTCATGAGTTCATTAACTCTTAATGGAGTTTCAGATTTTTCCCCATCACATTTATTTTCACTATTATTTAGAACTAGGCCATTGCCACCACATTGACACTCTATTAAATCATGAGTCATACACAAAGCATCTTTTTTAAAATTAAATAAATCCTAAAATATAAGATTAACTATTATATACATTTAAGGTTTAGTCATTTTCAAAATGTTAAAACCATACTTTTAGTTCATCAAAAGACAGTTTTGTATTATTTTGAACATCAGGATTTGTGATAGCTTCACTCAAACCAGTTTTGCTAATCTGTCTTTGAAATATTTTTTCTTCAATAGTACCACTTGTTAGTAGCCTATAAATATGGACACTTTTTTTTTGGCCATCCCTCCAAATTCTAGCCATAGCTTGTTGATCAGATGCTGGATTCCAATCAGAATCATATAAAATCAAATTGGATGCACCAATAAGGTTAAGACCAACACCGCCTGCTTTTGCACTTAACAAAAGAATACCTAAAAAAATTCAAACTTTATTAGAGGACTGAACTTAAAAAAAAAAATTAATAGTCTATTGTAAAAATAAACAATAAATACTATAATCAGAGTTTGCAGTGTTAAATTTTTTAACTATATCAGTTCGTTGGGAAGTAGCAGTGGTTCCATCAAGTCTTAAATATTTGTAATGTTTCATATTACATAGTTTTACAAATATATCTAATGTTTTAGTATAATATGATATTAAAACAGTTTTTTCAGAGCCACTTTTATGAAGCTCTTTTAGTATATTGTCAACAATTACAAGCTTTCCTGAACTTTCTATTAATGAAGACTTTAAACTATTAGTACAATTTAAATGTTGACCTAGAAGAGTCTAGAAAACATCCGTATAAATATCCATTTAACATTATTAAATTATTTATAACACAACATAAAAAGTTTTGTTTTTATTATACATACTTCAGTGGTATCAGTATCAGGATTGTTTTTTTTATTCAGTACCAATTCAGGGTGATTGCAAATTTTCTTCAACATAGAAATAACACTAAAATGTGAAATAGTATTCAAACCAAATTCTTGTACACGATTTTCCCAGTACGAAACACATTCTTCATATAAACGGATCTAAAACAGTATTTAATATAAGCTCATCATATAATTATATGATATGATAGGATCAATTTTTAATAAAATATTACTTGAAGAGATGCCATTGAACAAAATATTACAGATTCATATTTAGAAGGCAAATATTTATTGTTAACATCTTGTGTTCTTCTTAAAATAAATTTTTCAGTTATTTCATTAAGTTCTGCAGCTTTTAGTTTTCCTAATGTCAATATCTGTGGATGACATTCGGGTTGTTGAGATTCAACAATCTTATCCTCAAACTCACGTTTGAACATTGAGTAAGTTCCCAATATTCCAGGATTAACAAAGTCTATTAGTGCAAAAAATTCTGCAAGCTCATTTTGAATCGGTGTACCAGTCAATAGGACTCTTCGTTTACATTTAATTTGATTTAAAGCTATTGATGTATTAGTGGTGTTATTTTTTAACCGATGGCCTTCATCACATATCATTAAATCAAAATTTATTTTTTCAATTTCTTCACTGTAACGCACCAACATTTCATAAGAAGTTATCATTACAGGATAGTTTCGGGCAGGTAATCTAATAAACTCTGAAGGCTTTTTCTTCTACAAATTAAAATAAATAAATAAATAAATAAATAAATAGTCAATTAAGTATTTAATAATAAAATATGGACAGTAATTAAAATGTAAAACAAACTTACTTGATCAACACAAAATAGCCTTAGTTTATCTCTTCCCAACCATCTTATAAATTCATTTTCCCAATTTCCTACAAGACTACTAGGAGCAACTATCAATACCCTTCTAGCAATAGGTGTTCCTCCGTATGGACCTCGTTTAAGTAAGATCCTATAATTGAAAACTAAAATTAATTTATAAAAAGTAAAATAAAGTTTCTATGTTGGATAGGCTACTATTGTAATTGGGCACTAATTTAAAACAATTATTTTCTAATTAAAAAAAAAAATTCTGATAACAAATGGGAATTAAAATTTTGTTGTGTTCTGTTTAACATTTGAAATTTATAGTTTAATAATTTAAAGGCATATAACAAAAGAATAACTAATGCTTTAAAAAGTATTACTATAAAATTTAAAGTATTATCTGTATCTAATACAAGTTTCTTAATTTAATATAGAAAGCAGAAATAAAAAATAAAAACCAAATACACCATTATTTATCAAATTTAAATTATTTACTTACCAAACTAAACAAATAGTTTGAAATGTTTTTCCAAGACCCATCTCATCAGCTAAAATAGCACCAAAATATTCTTGAGCTTTAAATCCAGAAACACATTCATATAAAAACGCTACGCCTGTTTTTTGATGAGGTCTTAAGTGTTTTGCTAAGAAAGATTCAAGCACAACTGGAGTAATTTTTTCATTTTGTTTGTTGAAGTAATACTTTAATTATGAATAAAAATAACCTGATGAGGACACAATAAAAATTACTGTTAATAAATTTTTACTTGATGATCAATATCAGGTTCAGGTAAAATGAATGTGTCTGCAGAATTAATATCAATGGTCAAAATTGTCTTAGGCCGTTTGCGAGGAGGTAAAGGACAATCATTTACTTTTGATTTTGTTAACTCTGTAGGATCAGATTCAATAACTAAATCTAATACTTGGACTTGTTTACTACCAACAACAATAATTGAACCATCTTCCAAGTCTAAAGATTTTAAGTCGCTGGTACTACCTAATTTATGTCCATTTGAATCCTGAAATTATAGTTATATTAAACACAAAAACTTAAATATTACATTTATTTATTGTTACGTGAAGTGTTGCTAATTTATCAGATACAATCATATATCCATCATTTTCCCAAGTTTTATGTTTTTTTGTAGTTTGTTTACCCCATATCACATTATATCTAAAACAAAAAACTGTAAGTGTGGAAATAGCATTTAAATTTGTACAGGTAATACTAACTTTTTACTTCTTAAACAATTTGTTTGAGTAGTTGATATTAATTGAGCATTACTATTTGTATTTTCTTGTTGATTTTTAGATTCAGTTGCTTGAGGAATCACATTCACATTAGTTAAACATTTTCTTTTTGAGCCTATACCTTTTAATATTTTTAAAGGTGATTTTTGAGGAAGTTGCAAAGAAGGTCTCTCAAAATTACTCTTTGTTAAATTACTATCAGATTGAACTGCTTCAGACACATTTTCATTAATTGTACCATTATAGGATTTAATGAGCGCAAGGACTTCAAGAGGTGATCTGACCACTGTCACACCTTTTTCTAAAAATATATTTTTAAATAATTATGCAATCAATACCTTTAATAAATTTAACTGTTAACGTGGAATAATATTATAAGGCTATATTTTGTTTGGGCACGAAATAGTAGGTAACATATAATGTATATGTTAATAATACTATGGGCTTTGACAAACAAATTTATTTGTATATATATGCCTATTATGTATAATAGGCATGAAACCTAATATTTTAGATAACCATAAATACTATATTAACTTAAAAAATTAATTTAACAATATGTACAAAGTACAAATACAATTAAAAATGGAATGCATGCAGTTTACCTTCCAAGCAAATTTTTATTTTTTGGTTCCAAAATGTGTGTTTTTGCATGGTTAATTTGATAGTACTTTCAAAAAAAGTCGTTCAAACTTCATTTGGAAATTATGGTCAAAAAAAATTCAAAATACTCGATTTTTCTAAAAATCATGTTTTTGAGTTTACAATACGAACATTTTTATTTTTGGATTTTTTTTTAGAAATGGTAGTAATTATATACTTAACATTTTGGTGAAATCAGAATTCTCCTATCTTACTTACTTTTTATGTTATTGTTAATAAACTCTGTATATAACATTGTAATTAGGTTTTACGTGGTCTATTAATGACAACACAACAATTAAGTTTAATAGGTGAATTCTGATTTCACCAAAATGCTAAGCATGTAATCTCGAAAAACGTGTTTTGAGACTTTTACATTTTTGAATGTGTGACAATCTTTTGGATCTGCTCGCGTAATTATAAAATTTGTGTCATATGTAAGATAGAATCTTAAAGAAAATAATTATGTCTTTGTTTTGTTTTTCTGTGTGTCCACAAGTTTTAAATAATAAAGATATTTAGTTATGAAAACGCCCTTCTTGCATCAAACAGTAATTATATATTCTATTTCAATTAAAATGATTAAAGAACTTCAATTTAATTAATTTATTCATAACTTTTGAAAAATATGAACATAATAACAAATAATAATTATTATAGAAATACAAATAATATTTTTTATTATTTTTTATTTTAAATGTTATCTTAATTCCTTAATGCTTAGTTTTATTTAGAAACGGTTTTTACCAAACCTATTAATTTAAAACGAAAAATAACAAATTTATCTACCATAATATTACTGTTAATATTTTAAATCAACACGTACAAAGCATGTGGTTCTATGTAAGGAAGGATGTTACATACAATCACATAAACGCTTCTACAGTGCTCTATTATTAAAATTTCTAAATAAATTTGTATACACATATAGTATTATAGTATAGCGGTCGCTGAGATCAAAATTATTTTAAGTAAAAAGGGCATTTCCGTGAAAATACCTATCTTACAACCAGCCCCTAAATTACTTTCATATTTTATAAAAAAAAAAATCCAAAAATATAAACTTTTGGTATTTTAAACTCAAAAACAAGGTTTTTAAAAAATCGAGTATTTTTAATTGTTTTGACCATAACTTCTAAATGAAGTTTGATCGACTTTTTATGAAAGTACATCAAATTAAACACCCAAAAACATAAATTTTGGCAAAAAAAAATCAAAAAAAATCGCTTGGGAACCAAACTACATATGCCCAAAAAACATATTATGGTAAACGGTAAAATTAAAATAGAAGAATTAAACAAAATGTTTGAAACTAATAAATTTTAAATCCTAAACATATTTTCTCAAAATGCATTAAATTTTGAAGACACTATCCACCTAGCCTCATAAGTAGGTATAAGTTATTAACAATATTATAATAAACTAACCAATATCTTCTTTAGGAACAAGTGGAAACTGTTGAGACGGCGCACGACTTCTTCTCATAATAAATGGAATTTAACACAACATAAAACAGTAAATGTATAGGCAAGTAAGATTTCAAGCATCAATTTTTTGTCGTCACAAAAGTTTTTATTATTATCGTAAATTTCAAAAACAACAGTAAAAAACGTACACTCGTATATTCCGCTAGAAATAAATGATAAGGCCCAGTGGTTCCCAAAATTTAAAATGGCCATTTAGGCGTTAGATAGGCACTAAAGAAGCATAAATGTACGATAAGAAGCCAACTGAAAGACAGCAGTAACTTAAGGAAGATTGGAGCATCTTACTTTGGAAGTAGTTTAAAAATACTTACAAGTTGGTCGCCATTTTCTAACCTAAACAAAAATGTTGGGGAAGAAAAGCAGATTCTGGATCTTTACTCAAATTGCGGATAGTTGGCTTCTGAAAACGGCATGGGCTTTGAGTAGACGGGCGGTATTCAGACGTAAAACATGATATTGAATTGCAATACTGACTCCTGTCTAATACGATTTTAATTATCTAATGCCATGAAAATCGTACATATTGTTAAAAAAATTCCCATATTTAATGCATTACAAACATCTTAAATGGATTTACTTGAAGCCCGATTTTCCCCATTATTCTGCTGGGGTAAGAACTACTTGCAAAAATCTCAAAGCCGTTAATAACGGGGGCGCGTAAAATATTGGAAAATATTTCGTCGGAAACGTATTTTATCGGAACCGTATATATTGTCGAACATTTTTTTTTCACAAAAATAAATCGTCGGAACAGTATTTTGTCAGAGAAATATATCTCCTTAATAACTAGAGCATTGTGACGTATTAGTTAGAGACGTTAGGGTACGATTAGTGATGCAAATCAAATAATGTGTACAAATTGTCTTACGCTGTGTAAAATCTCGCGTAGAAAATAATATAATAGGTACTGCTTACGTAAAAATAAAATTACAATTACAATTCATCGCTGTAACTACTGGAAAAAAAGTAACGTAAATACAGAATTAGATATGGAGACGAATAATGTAAACATCACATATATAATTTGGGTATAAAAATCAATGATATATCACATAAATGATTTTTTTTATTTTCACAGAAGATCGTGTTTGTATTGTTATACCCCGTGAAATTTAACTTGATACGGATTTCATTATTTCAATTTAATAATAAATGTACATAAATTATTTTATTCATATACTACTACTAATAACGCTGATAACCGTATTAATTTATATTTTATGTAAAATAATTAGCTGTAGAACTATACTTTTACAAGAATGTAATTATGAATATTTTTTTTTTTCTAAAATTTAAAAGAATGGCAGAATAAATATGTTTGTGTTGAAAAAAGACGGTGTGCTATCTATACAATTTTAAATAGTAAATTGATAAATAATTTTTGGAATATTGTAGAATATTCTCTAGCAATGCCTGGAACAAATGCTGCAATCGAAAGAGTATTTTCTATTACCAATGTGTTATGGACGGACGAAAAAAATCGCTTTCTTGTTCCTACCATCAAATCAATTATAATTTTGAAAAATCTTTACTAAAAAAATATTCGTGTAATGATTTTCATGATTTTTTGCTAACACAACCAAAACTGTTAAACGCAATCAGTTCATCGCAAAAGTACGGTAACGACACATTTGATAATAAAGGACATGATGAGCAATCGGCATCAACCCAATAAAAGTAATCAAGTTTTGTATTCAAATATTTAGAAAGGTAGTTAAAAAATATTTTAATTGTAAATGTAACTATAAAATATAAAAAATATATAAAAAAATATGTATGTTTATTTGGAGTATTTAAACTAAAAATTGTTTGTCCCGTGTTTTTTTTTTCAAAACTGGTCACCCTAGTATAGAGTATAGTGATTTCAAAGGTCTATATCTTACATACAGTTTATTTATGGTTTTCTAGTCATTTTCTAAGTCCACCTTCATTCACCAAAATGTATTATACATAAAATATAATTATCATTATGGTAATGGGATTTTCGGGATAATCGAAATTTTAGGATCAAGTTTTGGTTAACATGATCTGGTAACGTTTTTTTTTTTTTTTGTTATCAGTTTTTAGATAACTGCTATGAGCCCGTCGATTCACCGTCTTCAGCGTTAACTTGCACAGCACTGCTTCTAACACCACACTCGAAGTGATTAAAAAAAGTGAAGCTGTGGTCACGCTGTTTTAGAAAATTTCTTATCAATTTTCATTATCAGCACTTTACATTTAGTTGATAAATTAAAAACTAAAATTTATGACTAAATCATTGTTTTAAATACCGTGTACGAATGTACTATGTAGGAATCATATAATATTATTGGACTTTTAAATTTGTTAAAATTATTATTAATGGTAAACATTTATAACTTTGGTACGAGAAAAATGTTCTAAATACTTAAGTGAGTTACACTGCCACTACTAAGTACAATTAATGTAATTAATTAATACTCACGTTTGTTTAGAAATTAAAACTGTTCGGTGTTTTATTTTAGAATATGTCTTCTGAAATGGGACCTAAACAGGCTGGCCGGTCGGTACGTATTCTATTAGTTGGCGATCGAGATGTTGGAAAAACTTCCATTATATTGTCACTGGTCAATGAGGAATTTTTGGATGAAGTGCCTGGAAAGGCCGAAACAATAACAATTCCTGCTGAAGTAACACCTGAATTAGTGCCCACGGATATTATTGATTATCACGGTGAGATCAAAATCGATTTATAAATATTTTATAGGTAGTTAATATTTTGATTGTACATTTATTAACAGAAAATGAGCAAGACCACGAAGAACTGTGTGAACAAATACGCCATGCTGATGTTATCTGTTTGGTATTTTCTGTGGTAGATGAGACTAGCCAACAAAATATAAAGGACAAATGGATGCCATTATTTAGAGAATGTCAACTAAATAATGATGTATTTCACCCTGTTATATTGGTTGGCAATAAAAGCGATCTCATTAATAATGTTTCATTGCATGTAAGTTCTATATTGTTTATTTATGTTACGGGCAAAAGTCAAAATCGGACAAATCTCAGAAATGCCCGGACAAAACACAAAGTTTCCACAATACTTGGGCAAAACGTTATATTTCTGCTTTATCCTAAAAAACCTTTCCCGGACAAACTTAGTTATGACCAATTTCACTTAAGAAGATTTCAGCTTTTGTCCCGTAACATAAAAATACATACATATTTTTTTTTATGATCAAGTACAATAAGTATGTATAATAATTACTTTTGCATATTTTTCATTCATTATTCTTAACTTTTAAGCTTGTTGAAGAAGTTTTATTCGAATATCCTGAAATTGAATCATACGTTCAAGTAAATATTAGTTGTTTTATTAATACTTAAAAAAAATATTGAAATCTATTAACTACGAATATGTTATAGTGTTCAGCTAAGATGGTGATGAATATTAGTGAAATGTTTTGCTATGCCCAGACTGCAATTCTACATCCTACCGCTCCATTATACTCCGTGGAGGAGAAAATTGTAAGTTATAAGTTAATTTTTTACTTTATAAACAATTTGATTAGAACATGTTAATATATCATTAAATCATCATTTCAGTTAACCGAGAAGTGTAAAAGAGCTCTATGTCGCGTTTTCAAAGTAAATCATAATTTTACTAAAATATCAGTTTTTTTTTCTTCTGCTTAATTTAAATATGGTTTTTAGATTTGCGATACAGATAACGATGGTCTTCTTAATGATGAAGAATTGAATAATTTCCAGCGCCACTGTTTTGATTGTCATTTGCCTTTACAGCAACTTAATGGTATTAAAACTATTATAAACATGAACTGTGAACGTGGTATTTCTCCATCAAATTGTGTTACCCTTGAAGGTATTTGATAAATATTGAATATATGGTCACTGCAGTGTTTTAATTGTACATAAGCCAAATCTATAAATAAATGTTGCAATTATTCATGTACTGACTGCTTTAAGTATTTATGTTTAACATGTAAAATATTTAGTAGTTTTAAGTTTATTTTAATAAAATAATATACAAATATCTTTAAAAAATAATACATTTTATTTTAAAATTGCAGGGTTCTTGTTCTTACACATGTTGTTTATACTCAAAGGAAAAGCACAAACTACATGGACTGTAATTAGAAAATTTGGATATAATGACAGTTTAAATTTTTCTTACAACTATCTCCACCCCAAGTATATTATATTTAAGACCTCATTAATTTTACATAATAATATAATATGAATAAATATTAATAGTTATTTGTTTTATAGTTTAAAAGTTGATAAACATTGTACCATTGAATTATCTCATAAAGGAGAACAGTTTTTATCTCGTTTATTTGATTCGCATGACAAAGATAGAGATGATTGCTTAAGTCCGGTTGAGTTAAAATCTTTATTTTTTATGTGCACAGAAGAACCACAATTATTAAGAAAATGTTTATTTAATACAAACCATAAAGTAACTAAAATGTTAAACAATTTTTCGTTGAATTTTTGATAATTAAACATAACTGAATGATATTAGGGATGGATTACTTCACAAGGATGGCTGTCTTTTTGGTCTTACTGTACTCTAGCTGAACCTGATACTACGTTAGCTTATCTAGCTATGTTGGGGTATTGCATGAAACCAGAAAATCAACTTTCAGGAGTTCATGGTAAAAATAAGAAAAACAAAACATGTAATAAAAGTGCAAATAAAAATAAATACATTTTTTTCAGTTACTAGAAGTAAAAAAATTGATTTACTGAAGAAACAGTCTCAACGTTCAGTGTATATTTGTCATGTTATTGGAAGTAAGAGTAGTGGTAAGTCTACAATATGTAGGCGGCATGTTAAAGCTACAAAAATTGATGTAAGTAAAAATGTAGTTGTTGATGCACAAATATGAATTTGTATATAAATTTCAGAATGACAATGATGTGGCTGAAGAATCAAATATAATATCAGTGAATCGTGTACAAGTGTTTGGACTAGATAAATATTTGGTGTTAAAAGAAATCAACTCAATTAATGAAAATTATTATACTAAAGATGACATTAAATGTGACGTAGCTTGTTTAGTGTTTGATAATTCACAGAGTTGTTCATTTGAATATAGCGCACATGTTTATTTGGTAAGTGTAGTGCTAAATTAAAAATATGATATTTATTGGGATTTAACTGAACAACTATTTACTTATAATTAAAACTGAAATTCTAGTTTTATTTGGACCAAAGGAAATCAAGAATTTCTTTCTTTTATTTATCATATTAATTATTATTAGTGAAAAGTGAATATAGTAACATTTGATTATTCATCAACTGAAGTTTCAATTTTTTAATCAAAATCACAATTTACAAATGTTAATATTCATTTTTATGCAATAATTCTACACAAAATTTATTTGAAGCATTGAATTATTTTTTTCTTTTAGAAGTATTATCAAAACAGAGACATCCCTGTTTTAATTGTAGCAAACAATAAAGGAAGGCCAATTATGAAACAAGATTATATTCTACAACCAGATCAATTTTGCAAACAAAAAAAATTGTCACCACCATTTATGTTTGTAAACTCAAATGAAGGGAAAAAGCTGTACACAAATTTGGCCACAATGGCTTCTCTTCCGTATGTACTGTTAAAATTGATTTTATCAACATGTTTAACATTAAATTATTAATTTTTAGGCATAAATATAGTCCAAATCAATCTAGTCTTATGCCAAGTTTACGAGAAACGATTATATTCATTTGGAAAACAGGCATTGGTTTTGCTATGGTAGCTTTGTGTGGGGTTTTAGTTGGTAAATGTATTGTTAAATCAAAGAAAGATCTGATGAGTTAAACACATTAATTTTATAAAATAGTACAATATTAATGTTTTTAGATTTATTATATTCAAAACTTTTCAATCGTTTTAAAATTATTGATTACCATTAGAGTTTTTTTTTTTTTAATTTATGTACATTATATTATTATTTTAATTAAAGTAAACATACATATTATAAAAATTATTTAAGTAAAATATCAAAATAATGACAATATAAATTACTTAAAATATTTGAACAATTATTGTACAATTTAAAAGTTTTATTTTTATGTGTATAATCGTTTTACTTATTAAAAGTTCTTAAACCCTATATAAGTTTAAAATTTGTATTAATTAGAATTAATGATTGTTTTCTATAAAATAATTATCTTTACTTTTGGTATTTACAATAGTAACTTTATCCATACTCTTCTATCTAAACATAATTGTTGATAAAAACGAAAAAACAGTCTTCAGAGAAATGGTCTGCATAGAAAACAATATAATATAGATAATATTAATACAGAGAGATTTGTTATTAATTATTATTATTATTATTTTTCTTTTCAGTATTACTTTAAAAATAAAACGTTACCTGTATTGAAAATATATAGCACATAGTATACAACACTAAGATAGTAACTTTGAAAGTTTTTTTTTTAAAATTTAAGATATAAGTAGTATAAAATTTAGATGGTAAGTAGGAAAGATCCTTTTAGATTTTAAGCATAATGTATTGTTTTTTTAATTGGTGATGGAAGGGGTTGTGAATAACTTCTATACCAGTAATCTTTCTCTGATTATCAACTTTAGACGTGTGTATATTACGGCAACAGGTGGTTTCTGGTAACAATGTTTGTCTAATTGATGCATTTTACAGAATTTTGTGTATTATTTCCTGATTTACATGGATACATTTTGTTTGGATTCATAAAAATCCCTTATAGTTTTAACAAAAACCACTAATTTTTATAATTTATTTTACAAATGAGTACAATTTTCAATTTATGTTTAACCAAATTTTACTCAAAATTATTTTTTGTTTGCAATGATTTATCATTATGTTGAGATATAAATTAAATTTGTCTTTATAATGTTTTTTACCTTCTCAATTTTCCACCTATAACAGTGATCAATCAATGGTGAGAAGTGTGTTGATTTTTATAATTTTAATATTTTATAGCTAATTTTACATTCCTGAAGCTTAATTTAATAGAAATATAAGGAAAGAAGAATAGGTACATAGCGCGTGTTGAGGTCCCCAGCGACAATCGGATATTATATTATTGACGTAGGTATCAGCCCCGACGTGCTTGTAATTATATAGTTTAAATGGGTTTACGACACCTGTATTGGATTGACATAAATAAATAGGTAACTGATAAATGCAATAACTTAATATGATGTGTTCAATATTTTTAAACAAACTAAATATTTGTTTTGTTTATTATAAAGTTCAAAATGATCCAGTAATTTTACTAATTTATCTTTAACAGTATTTGGTGTTACAAATGTTTAATAATGATTAGACGATAATTTTCTAAAAAAAACTAGCAATGATAGTTTAAATTGTTTTGATAAAGTCAATACTATAAATTATTACTAAATGACTAAATTGCTACTAAATATATACTATGCAATGTTTAAAGTTGAGTAAAAGGTAAGTTGACTTACCTAATTAAATGTTTTCAACAAGGAATATAAGTACATAATAAAAAATATTAATTTTAGTACCTATTACCTACTTTAATTGAGTGATATTTTTTGTTATCTATAAGTATTAAAATTTGTATAAGTCTGTTTTTAAAGGTTTCATTCGTAGTTTACTAGATAAATAATTATTTTCATAAGTAAGTAGATAAACAAAAATAAATATTTGTATATTTTTTTTTATTATTTTTGAAATAAGTTTTGCTTTAATATTTAAAATCTATTAGATTTAATAGAGGAATTTTATTTTTTTATTTAGAACTAATTATTGTTGGTAGGTATTTAGTAAAGTAAAACCATCGCCGTGATAGCTAACGAGTAATATTCTGAAAATCATAGCCTTTAGGTAAATCGTTGGGTATTTATACAAACATTGATTAACTATATAATGAAGTTATTTAATAAATACCTAGTTGTATTCAAAGGTATTGATGATATTATTTTCAATTTTTTTTAAAAAATTGTTTATTTTAAATATGTAGGTACGCAGACAGGTAAACAGGATACTGGAAAGTTATCAATATTTATCTACTTATTAAATTAATTTTTTTTCTTGCACTAGTATTGTGAATTAATAAACGAGACCTATATGATGTATAATCAAAATTAAATAATTACCATAAAATATAATGTCTGACCTATACAAATTCTCACCTACAATAATAGCCAATTGAATGGAATGGAATGGCAAATTTTCATTTAAAACGATGGCTTATATATGCATTTTTTTTTTTTTTGTTTCTGGTATGTTTTCAATGCACGTTTTGGTTATAATATTTTTTTCTTTTAATTTTAATAGTTTTAAGTCAATCCGTTTTCTAAATGCAACGATTTTATTCTAACCTATATGTAAGTACCTACCTACTTACTAATTGAGAAACTTTAAAATAAAATATGTATATTTGATCACTTGGCTGTCAATAGTCGATGTAGTTGGCGACGCTTTTATTTAGATTAAAACAAAATTTTGTTAAGTAAATTTCTCACAGAAATTAGCGTAGAAAAATTTAAACAAAGTACAAGGCGTTAGAAATATATTTGTAGAAAAAAAATACATTTGAATGTAATATTAATATATTATTTATAATCTCGTATCACAAAACGTCAGTAAAAAATTATTCACAATAAAACACACAATGCTATGTATAAAAGTACAATAATAGAATATTATTAATATTTAATTCAAACAGCGTAGTAGAAATTTAAAAAAAAGAATACATTTCAAAAATATGTGTTCACATAATTTGTCAAAAACTATTTGAAAAACACATTTTTTTTTTTAGAAAAGTAAAAAGTTTTTCCGGACTTATTATATTAAAATATATTATGTTATGTTATATTATGTACCTATCTAAAATATAAAGCTAAACTTATGAACAATATAATATTTACATGTTATCCGTGAATGTTTATCTGTGTGTTCGAGAGGCAGAAGACGTTTCAAAAAAATGGTTTCAATTTTATTTTGTGTCTACCTAGGTATGTAGTTTTATGATTTTTATTTTATTTACTCATGTATTACAAAGTTTATTAATGTACATACATTGACTTCTGCCTGTTAAACTACTCAGATAAAAATCCGGCATTATATAGTATTTGTTTTGTATTCTATCATGGAGCCCATGAGCACTGGATTGGGCTTGGTTAAAACGAATTCAAGGGTAAATATATTTTCATACGAATTCTTAAACATATGAGTAAATGGCAGCAATATGTAGTGTATTCCGCAAAACAAGTATTACCGCGAAAAATTCGGAATTTATCGTACCCGGACAGTTCGGTTTAATGAAAAAACACCGTCGAAAATATAAAAATTTAAGTAGGTAAGTATTTAAAAAAAAAATCATTTAAATCGGTTAGCAAATGGTACATTGCTTACCACTATAATTGATTTCCTACTCGTGTACCATTCAAAAATGCAAATTTAATTTAATTTCTTTGTATTAAAACGGTAAATCAACTTTCTAAATTTCGTACAATAAATAACTAACCTATTTTTTAAATTAACTAAAAGTAATAAATATAATACTCATTAGAACCAGTCTCCAATGTTTTCATGATGGCATACCATGTGTCTTTTTTTTTTTTTGTAAGGATCGTATTTTTTTTTATTGAGCAACGCAATGCCGCAAATGTCGATATTTCGCGATTTGGTAAAAAAAAAAAAAAAAAAGTAAAAAATAAAATAATTGACGGTCTACTTTTGGTTCTCGTTGCTCGTATTGTCGTTAATTGTGGTATTTGGCACTTCGTCGTCAAACATTTTTCAAATTCACCGCTTCCTCTGGTCAACCGCTTCAGCCATCATTTTTCTGAGCAGTGGCTCCGGACTGCAAGGTTTAGGGTCACATTTCATTTTACCGTCAGCACGGCATCTGCGGACATGAGTCAATAATTAAAACTCGTTAATTTATAATTACAAATGTAACCGGTCAACTAGCGGTAGTTAGATTAGTTATAATTATAGTCGGTTAGTCATAGTTAAGAATATTAACATACGCTTAACTATACGTTTAGAGTCCAAACTCTAGACTATTGCACTTGCGAAACAACACAATGAATGATATAGGTACTTACGTGCACTCGAGACAGGGACCGGAGGCTATTCCAACGTCTTCGCCTACTTTATAAGCGTGGCCGTGGATAAGACAACCAGTTCGTTTGGCCGCTCCTCGATACGCTCCGGCGAAGAAATGTGGAGGGACCGCCGTAGTGGTCGTGGTCGTAGTTGTGGTCACGTTAACTGACGTGGTTTGAGCAACGGGGCATTCGTATCTTGGACAACAGAAACCTTGTATGTTCTCCTGATAACATCCGAATATTGGCGGCGGGCAGCTCTGTTGTAGGCAAATAATGTCACCACGGAAACAGAAGCAGAAATCACACGGATCATCCCTGGGCACTTGCTGAGCGGATACGTATATCTTGCCACCGTATCTAGAAAAACAACAATTCACATTTAGGAGGTTAAACGTTACAATACGGTAACAATGTATTATCATTTACCTGCACGTGCCTGGCCCAAAAACAGCTTCGTTTTCGTCATCATATTCGTCCGGGAACCCTTGGTCGGGCTGGGGAGCCTCGGAAGTACTGTCTTGGTGGAATGGTTTCGGAGTCCACGTTGATTGCGGTATTGGTGTGTATGGTGGTTTTTGACTGTAAGTAGGCGTGAATGGAGTGCTAGAAAATGGTTTCAATGATGGCTTCTCAGTGTCAAACGGTATTTGCACCATATCCCCAGTTCCTTCCTGCGGTCGTTTATTGTCTTCATGGACCACTGATGGTTCAGATGGTGTTGGCGAACTGTTTGGCTCTCCAACATATTTGTTATTGTCATCTGAATCGTGACTTGCAACAGAGTTATCGGTCGGTAACTGGCCATTTACAGTTTGTGTCACTACTTCCACGGGTTGGATATTATCGGTGCTGGAGTCGGCATTAGGTAAAACCGGGGATTCTGCGTCGACTGGTGTTTCTGCTTCAACTGGCTTGTTTATCGGTAAGTTGTCTACGTGCACTTGTTGTTGTGCTTCTGATTGTAACGTCTGTGTGGTCATATCGGATATTCTGTCGTTAGCCACTATTCCAGGTACGCTTGTACTCGATTCGACATTCACTTGAAGAACATTAGAATCACTAGACGTTTCTGGTACGTTACTCGCCGATTCTTGTTCGGTAGAACTTAATACATATTGTACAGTAGTGACTTCTGAAGTTTTATCATCTAATATTTCTTCAGGTTTGTTTACATTCGAGTTTGATACACTAGGATTTGATGAGATTTCTTGTTTATCAAGGGCGTTTAATAACAAATCAGTCGATACTTCTTGGTCAGCATTCGCTGATGGCAATACGTTTGGACTTTTTGTAGTTCCTCCTAATTCATCAGATGATTCTATAGGAGTAAGATTTTCAGGTAACTTTTCATTAGATACATCAGTTTGTAATTCTGGTACCACGTTTACACTATTCTCGGTAGTTAGAGGTTCGTTGTATTTATTTGGCAAAGAATCATCTAATAAAGGACTACCAGATTCTCCAGTTACGGTTGTCGGATGATCGTTTTCAATCACTCCAACAGTAGTCTGGTAGTCGATTTCTGCGGGTTTTGATGACGTTTCCAACGAATTTTTAATAGCATCCTTAACCAAATTAACAGAAGAAATAATGTCGTCGATGCTTGTTGGTCTTAAGCCGTTCACATTACTTTCATTATTCGTCGGTTTTTCATCGGAAACAATGGTAGAAGTCTGAGTAACTTCTACCACGGGTAGATCCGTTATATCACTGATAGGTTTCAAGTTAGATTCTTCGTTGGAAGTCGGCTTACTAACTCCATCTTTTAATTGCTCGTTTTCTTGGTTATCTACTACAGAATCTTTTGGTGCGTAAGTAGTTGCCGTTATTGAGTCATCTAACTCTGAATTGTGTTCTGGTTGGATTTGATCATTAGCTGGTGGTATGTTTGCTAATGTTGATTCATAATTTGGTTTATCAGTTGATGGTACTGAGTAGTCCGGAGATTCATTTACTGCGTTCGATAATGTGGTTTGTTCTGCAAAATTATTTGATGCTTCAAGTTTGTTTGTTGTGGTTTGTACATCAAATACGTAAGTAACTGTTGAAATATCAACTTCAGAATTATGTGTTGGTTTTCCATTTTCTGAAGATTGATAATTTTCCGTCGGTTTTTCATTTTCAGATGATTTATCGTTTTCTGACGATTGATCGTTATCTACGGGTTTTTCATTTCCTGAAGATTGGATGTTTTCTGTTAACTGATCACTTATTACTGGATTTTCAATTCCAATTGGTTTTTTATGATCTATTGGTTCAATACTAGCAGTTGTAACTGGCGTATGTGTTGTTGTTATAAAATCATCAATTTGCTTATCAGGAATTTCATATTGTACGGGAACGTCAGTAGCATCTTGTGAGTTTGTATTAGAGTTCAAATCAAATTGTACCGGTGTTTCCGTATTGTATTCTAATGCGATTTGAGGATTAGTCGTACTTTGAATTTCACCTGATGGCGTTTTATCGTAATTTTCTTCATCTGGTTTATCTTCTAATAACACAGATGATATTAATTGAGGAGTGCCTCCAAGTTTATCATGATTTTCAAATATCATTCCTTCGATGCCTCCTTCTGCGAAATAAAAAAATAATATTTTAATTTTATTTATCATTTATATAATGAAAGTTATTGGTTAGGCTAACCTAAAACTATAATTTTATAATCAAAAAATTAAACAAATCGTAATTTATTATTTTTAAATAACTACTTACCACATAAGTATGTTGGACAACACCACGACTCATTTCCTGGATGTAAAGGTATACAATTCTTATGCGTTGGTGGTGCTGGTGGACAATTAACAGAAGTACAGGTAACAATACTATTTAAACACTCACATTTTTCATGACATGGGTTTGATTTAGGCACTTCAGCTTTATGAGCATAAGTAATAAAGTTAATTAAACAACTTCCTTCCCCGGGCACTCCAGGTTGGACATTTTCGTATAATTCTGTTGTTGCATCATTGTTTTGATCAATATTAGATGTTGTGACTTCATTTATAGAATTTACTTGGTCTTCTGTTTTGATTGGCACTGGGACATTATTTGGTGATTCACTAGGATTCATTGTTGTTATATCAATAACATAATTGGGTGTATTTGTTACTAATGGATTGTCGGTGTCATATGGAGTTTCTGTAGATTTTTCATCGGCTATTTCATTAGCATTAATTTCTACACTGTTATTCTGTTCCGGCAAGTTTGGAATGTCCGTTGTAGTTGCGTCGGTTATGGGAATTTTATTCGAATCAGCGGTATGTGTATTTTTTTCAGTAGATGATTGAGTGGCATATAACTCAGTAATTTGATCATGATTCACCCCATTAGGAATATTATTTCCGTTCACGTTTGGAGATTCTTGGATTATGTTACTTGTATTGCTATCATCAATGCTGTATTGAGTTGATGTCTCATCAAAGTCTGCATTTTGTTGTGGTATAACCGTTACTGATTGATAGTTGTCAACATTTATTTTGATATTATTGGATGGGTTTAAAGGAGAACTTTCTTTGTTTTCATTGTATTGATTAATAGGAGAGTTTGTAGTAGACACTATCAATGATATATCAGCGTAGCTATTAGTAGTTGCTAAATTGTTTACATTTTCTACTTTTTCTGAATTACCTTGATTAATTTGTGCTGCTTGGGAGTAAGTTGTACTTTCATTTTCAACTGAAATATTTTCGTTCGTATTTTGAGTAGGTTCTTCACCAAATTCTTGTGGTGCATTAGTACCGAGTTCTATTTTGTCTGACGGAGGAGTAATATATTCTTCGTTATTCAGATTTGATCCAGTAGCTGTATTCAAATTATTATTATTATCAGGTGAATGTTCTGTGTTTATTGACGATTGCTCCACAATTTTGTTAATATTCTCATCTTGAGATTGTTCATGAGGCGTGGAATTTTCGTATTCATTATTTTGTTCTGGAATTTGTGTAGGGACATATTGTCCACCATTATTGGTATCAAACACTGGTACTTCAGTTGGCTTGGGAATTTCATCGACATTATGAATTTCGCCAATTGCTGTTGGTACATTATGGTTATCGGGAGATTCAGTTGAACTGTTTTCAGACAAATCAATTGGTACCGGTTCATCGTGCGTTTGTTCAATTGGTTCAACAGGATTTGTTTCCTCTGGTTTCGTTTGGACAATGTTGTCTGCTGACTGTTGTTGAGGTAGAGAAGTAGTAATATCATTTATCGTTTCATAAACGGATGGCGGATTTGTTGACAATTCTAGTCCCACTGTATTTACAGTTTGCGGACCGTTTTGAAGTTCTACTAAATCGGTATCAGAAACACCTTGATTTTCTTCATCTACGGAATCTGGCTGATTATCCTGAGAAGTAGGATCATCTACTAACACACCATGATTTATTAATCCTGAGTTAACGTCATCATTAGTTTCAGTTGTCGGTGCAAGAGCTGGTTCTGAATTTTGCGGGTTGTTTTGACCAAATCGGTTATCGTTATGTTCATCACTACCTGATATTTGATTATTAAAACTAACTGGACTACTAGTTACACCACTTGATGCATCATTGTTGGCTTCGTTTTCAATAGGTTTTGCTTCAGTGGAATGTTCAGTATTATTGTCATTTACTTGTGGTGCTGCGTTATTATTTTCTTGGGCAGTTTCAGTGGAACTAAGTGGAGGTAATTTGTTTGATTCTCCAGTAGAAGATATTTTATCCTCAGCTAATGTTTGTGGTATTTCAATAACTTTATTTTCATTCTTTTCTGTTGAAGAATATTTGTCATTAGTGTCGTTAATGTTAAAAGTTGAGGTAGATTCTTCGCCTTTGACTTGATTTTGTGAAAACAATGGTGATGATGTCGGTGACACTACAAATATATTATTATCTTCGTCAGGTTGTTCTGTAGATAAATCGTTTTCTGGCACTGCTGGTTTCTTTTGAACATTTTCTGATAATATATTTTCAGATTGTGATTCATTTGGTTTGGATGGAATTTCAGTTGGTAAAACATTGATCACCTCTTGACTATATTGATTTTCTTCTGTAGATGGTTTTTGGAAAACAGCCGTGTCTTCAGCATGTGGGTTATTTTCCACTTGAAGTTTATTTTGTTCAATGGGTACATTATCAACTTTAGGAAATTCTGTTGGAGTTACATTTTCTGATTGCAAACTATCTTGATTTGGTATTGAAGGTGTGTTTTCTGATTCAGGTTGATTTTCGGCCTGTGGCTTGTTTTCTAGTTGTGGTTTATTTTGTTCAGTTGATTCATTTTCTACTTTAGGGGGTTCTGTGGGAGAAACTATTTCACTTTGTGGAATATCTTGGTTTTGTTCTGTAGATGTACTTTCTGATTCAGGTTGATCATCAATTTGTGGTTGGTTTTCAACAGGTAATTTATTTTGTTCAGTTGAAACATTTTCTTGAGGCCTATTATCATTTAATTCATTTTGGCCTTCGGCCAAGGAACTTTCAGTTTGTGAATTAATTTGTTGTGGCGTTTGAGTAATGTCTTGAATCCCTTGGTATGAGTTTTCTTGTTCTTTATTTGGTATTGAACCAGTTTGTAGATTTGATTCTTCCAAAAGTGTTTTGTCAATGTCATTTTGAATCAATTTTTGTGTTGTTTGTTCATATTCATTTAATGAGACAATTGTTTGGTCATTAACACTTTCCGTACTACCTTCATTGTTTTCTTCACTGTTTTGTTTTTGAGGGTTTTTGTTTTCATTAGACGTTATTCCATTTTGTGGTTTAATGTCTATCTGCTCTTTTTGTGTAGTTTGTACTTCGTTGCTCGATTTGGTGGGTTCTATTTCAACTTCGAAAGGCATAATAGTTTGTTGTTCACTATTGTTTTCTGGTTTATCTTGTATATTACTGCTTTGTGTTCCACTTTCTGTAGACATTTCAGTAGATACTGTTGGTGAATTTGACTCAAGGTTGTCTTGACTTGGAAATTGGGAATCATTTTCACTATTGTTATTTTCTTCATTAATATTAACATTGGTATTTTCATCAAGTGTTGTTTCAGCATTAGGACTTACAGTATTTACCGAATAATCATTTGTAGGTGACTGAATTGGTTGAACTTTATCTGTTGAAGGTGATTCCACAGGTTTATTTGTGCTTTCATAAATAGTGTGATCAGTCTCTGTACTGGTAGGGTTTTCATGATTTGTTAAATCGTGTATGACATTTGGATTTTCTTGTTGTTTTTCTTCATTAACTGTGTTAACACTATTACTTTCCGGTACAGTAGTTAAATCCCCTGCTAATTTATGATTATCAATAACTGAACTGTGAGTTGTTTGGTCCGATGTTTCATCAGATGGGATTTCATTGTTGTAACTAGCCGTAGTGTACACATTGTCAACATATAGATCATGTATATCATGGTCTTGACTTGGTTGATGTTCTCCTAATTTATCATATACGTCATTATTTGAGTTGAATTTTTCGGCTTCGTTTTCATCCGAATCACTTTGTGAAGCCGGTAGTAACGTTGTTATATCATCTGAATTAATTGTTTCATTTGCTATAAAATATTTAAAAAAAAAACTAGTTTTAACACACACTAATAATAATAATTGTTTAAATAGTAACCCTACCGCATTGATATGAAGTAGGACAACATTGACCAGCAGGTGGTGTTTCCGGAGTACAATCCTTTCCTCTAAGTGGTTCACCGCAATCTTGGACTGCACACACAATATCACCTCTCATACAATAGCAGTGTTCACAAGGTTTTTCTGAGACCATTGAAATAGATTCTCCGTCATTATATACTTCATCATTGACTCGACAATCGAATGGCGCAGAAGTAGTCGAAAACACTAACCCACCACTAATTTGTGGAGCTGATGTAGTAGATTTTTCACTTTCATAATCTAAATATTTAATATAAATCGTTAGAGGATTTTTAAACATTTCCATTTTTAAAGTACACATCGTATGAACTTACCACAATCATATCTAACTGGACAGCAAACACCCTCTTGATATACTGGTCTACAACCTTCAACGTGTAATGTACACTCTTGCATGACACACGCTGTTCGATTTCTTATACAATAACATAACTCGCATGGTTTTTTTGGATCAGATGGTACCTATGTAAAATAAGTAATTTGGTTAAAATGTAATAATAATATATCTATATATTTTGATTAAATTTGATCGAATTGGTTTTAGACTGACCTGTGCTCCATCAGGGAAAAATCCATTTTCATTCATCATGCACCCGTAGTTATCATGCCATCCAATTTCAGTTGTCGTTGTCGGTTTCTGTGTAGTTGAACTGGTTAACAGGTGCACTGGCACTGTAACATCCGAACCAACTGGGTGGCTTATTGATGTACAGATATATTTTACATTTTTTCATTAAATAACTTACCTTCTGGACAGGAAATTACTGGACAACATTGATCTGGAGATTTTTGTACTGTACAATCTTGCCCAATAGCTTTTGAAAATGGACACACCCTTAGATAACACATCAACATCCGATTATGACATGTACAATTCAAACAGGGTTCATTAGTCACAATGCGATCGCCTTCCTCATAATGTTGATAATTGTAATAGCAGCCATTTGGATCTAGACAAAATAAAACGTATTATTTTAACTTTAAAAACACGTAAACGTTTGTTTTTTTAAGAAAATCCATAGTTTAATAATTCCGTATTAATCTATATGATATCTTTCATAAAATGTACCATTGATAGTATCAAAATTAAAAAAAAAATATCATCAAATATTATATTTTGCATTTGACAAATCAATATTATTGTATTTTATACTTTGATTAAATACACGAGTATATAAAATGCAACCGAATAATATCGTTGACATCGATGTAGGTGTTTTGCATAGTCGATTAGCCTTCTTTTATATGTTTCCCGATTCTTATAAAAATCGTGTTTTGTCTAATAATACGAGTAGAATGACATATAAATAATTGAACTGGTGAGGACAATAGTTATTTTATCAAAAACAAAAAAAAAAAAAAATAAGTATTCGTATATATATATATTTGAAACCTTACCATTAAAATAATCAACCAGGTCTGTTCGTTTTGCTTCGATTTCATCGTAGGTCGTTGGTGCTGAAAAATAAACATTATATTTTGTTAATTTTATAAAATTCATTTTACATTATAAGAACGTAAGGAACACAATGTTATATAGTAGAAAAAAACATTCGTTGACGATAATATCTAATCTAAACTAAGCCAACCCAACACACAGGTAAGCGCCGATGGTAACGATGTTACTAGAATAATCGGTTATACCTACACTTGTATCGTTAACGCGTTTAGTTTTCACAAGACTACTAAGTATAACAATTGCAAGGATGTATTATATTTGGAACAAATGAGTTATAATCACGGTGAAAAGTTTAAGTGAAGTTGATATTTGCTCTTCCAACAAAATTTACTCTTGAAATAAAATATGTGCGTTGGGATTTTTTTTCGACATTTTAGATTTTGGCGTCTTTTCGTTGTCCGTGTACGTCAAACAATTATACTGTCGCAATAGTCTGTCGAGTTAAATTTTATCGTGATTTTTCGTCTGATGTTATACGGAGAAGTCGTCGAAGTAACGGTGACGGCGGATTCATCCTACATTTGTGGTCTGCCCGTTTAAGGGTTTCCTCTACTGTACATAATACCTAACTGTATCATTATTATTATTATTATTCGTTTTCGACGGTGGCCGTCCTGAATGTGGGGCGTACCGTACGAAAACAACTTTGCCCGTTGTGGGCAACGTGAGATTTATCGGCGCCGCGGCCGCCTCGGGGGCCGTTTCATAATTTGCTCGGTATAGTTTTACGGTAAACGCATGCGCATGCACCAGTGCAGACCGAAACCGGTTCTCTAAAAATAGAGAGGAGAAAAATGAATACAAAAAATAAATAACGTGGACTAGTATAATATAATAGTATAAATATAATATTACGTATAGAATTATAGGAGAGAGAAAAAAACGCAGCCTGTAACGCGGCTGTGCAGCGGGTGTAGCGTGTGCGCATAATATTATAACACTACTATTTTTACGGCGGAATTTCGCATTTCCCGAAGACACGAACGGAGTAATCATATACCTATACACAGCTGCTACGTAATGTAGGATGACTGTAATTGACGGTTTCGAGACACGGGGAATGATGACGAGGGGAGGAGAAAACGCCGATTACTCCGGACGAAGGCACGTGTTATCCGTTCCCGTCCTCGAGCGTTAATGAACTTTATTTCGTACTTGTATACATATACTATACAGTCACGACTCCGCCGGCCAACTCCATTGCTCAAACCGAGACGAGCAGAACACATGCGTATTATAACATCAGTTGGAAAACGTATACTGCACTTATACTGCACTGTAATATGGGTATGTAATCCTATAATATGACACGTGAAATAATAAATTGTATACACGAGTATAATAATACAAATTATGTACTGTTTATTTTTTACCCCAGCTATGCGATTCTCCCAGACGTTGGTATTTAAGGGTCGTGGGACGGAGGAATTCATTGTACCGGGATTTTTTTTTCTAAGGAAGGGGGGTAGGATTCTGTAAAGGGCTTAAATACAGAATGCTTAAATTGCGCGTCATCGTGTACCGTCGGGAGTTGTTGGATCATCGTCATGCAGCAAAATTAATGCAGTATTTATATGGCAACGACACGAAAAAAAATCGTTTTTCAAAAATGGATCTAATAAATTTGCGTGTACCTTCAACCGAATCATAAAAAATGCACTTGAGCAAGGCTCGGTCTGCAAACACTTTTACGTATATTACGTGTTCAACAAATACAGTATAATATGTGTTACACGCAGAGAAGTGTAAAAACGTGGTTTCGTCGGAAAAATGTCGTCGGCCAATTAGGTACCTATTGATAGCTGTTCCTATCACTTGGCAAACACGTTTGCCTTTCTATCATTTGTTTTTGACAAAAAAAAAAAAAAAAAAAAAAAAAATACTTATACCCATCCCATATTTGAAAATCAATAATACTTATAGCTAAACAATATAACGTAGTCGTATGCTCTGTGTTTGCGTTTGTCGCAGTAAACCCGAAGAAATTTATTTTTTTTTTATCCTGTTGAAACATATTATATTATACTCAAAATATGTTTAAACACTTTGTCGATTTCATTATGACGTTTGACGGAAACGCGGACATGCTCACTCACACACGCACAAACCAACACAAACACATACTCGTTAATTATTACGATGAGATGGCATCCGCGAATGATGTGTACATAAACACATATTATTTTGCGAGAAATAACGGTACACACCGGTGAGACTTCCGTAGATTTTCTCACGGAATCGCAGGTATCACGGTTTTATTACACCGGTCGAGTTTTACCTTCCGAAACGTAAAGCATTAATAATGATAATAATAATAATTATTATTACTCCGGGGCATTTTATTCGTTTTTTTTTTTTTTTTTTTTGTAATGTCGTCTCACGAACTCGTTACCTGGCTTGATCAGCGGCGTCGGAGGTGTCTTCATAATAATATATACAGTTGGATCGTAAGCAAAAAAAAAAAAAAAAAAAAAATAAAACGAGAACGGCGTTGTACCGTGTAGGCCGTTATTACACAGGACTCGAACAGTTAAACTCCAAACAGGATTCTATAATAAACACTATCAGTTATACGGTTTGTAGTAAGATAAACTGTACGCCACGGTATTAAAACGTAGTAAAAACATTCTATCGCAACAATAATATATTATATTAAAAATATACGCATATATTGAGTATACCTATACGTATTGTGTAAAAAAAAAAAAAAAAAAACCACAGCATTTATGACCTTATCTCGGTGTCTATATAAACGCATGAAGTACCTGTCTGCGAGAATGTTTAACTCGTATTATGCTGTTCGTATTTCATAGAAATGAAAAATAAAATACATCTTCAGTGCACACATACAAATAGGTATTTAAATTCTCTCCGATATATTATATTACAATACAACGACGCTAGGGGAGTCCGATAAATCGGGAAAAATTATTTGCCATCCCGGTAAAGATGTCCGGACACGTGGCCAACGCGTGATTTCTCAACTCGCATATTTTTTTGTCACAATACGAAATATTATAATATTCTTTTTTCTTCTTTTTAAGCTTAAACAGTCCTCACTACTCACTACTTTAGGATCGTCACTACTTCGTATAAACACTTCTCGTGTCAACGCCATCTTATATTATTACTTCTCGGGTACGTTTTGTTACATCATCAAAATTTACATCTGTCTATTCAGCGCTGTCTTGACCCCGTGGTATTTTCCCATTTGATTTCCCGATCGAGGCTTTCTTCAAAAAAAACCGTTTTATATTCGTTTGCTCTTCGGGTCATCACGAATACTGGGTTTTCGGTGAATTAGTTGTGAATCCTATATATTTTTTTCTCATTCTGTTCACTCCGTGTTCTAATATCGGTCCGTATAATATACGTCCGAGTATTTCTCTTTCAAAGCCCACCGCCTGTCGCAGTACACGGTATTTTAATTCCCCGTCGAAAAACCGAACGGTTCACCGCCGTCTCAATACGTATACGCCGTCCATTGTACGCGATAACTTTATGAATCTTGTTTGCGTAATTCGGTAGTCTCGCCGGTAAGCGCACTGCTATTTGATTGAACTCCGGCGACTCCGACGAAAAAACGCGGAATCCCGACGAATCGTGTTTTGGAAATCCGTTTAATATCGACGGCTTACGATATAACGCAATAATAACGGTATATACCCGTGTACAATAGCGATTCGCGTTCTGTTGTCGCGCCTAACGCGGTGTGGATTCTCGACGGGTTCGACGGATCGCGGATGTTTACCGCAGCAGACACGATAATAATAATATATCTACTATACAATATATTTATATAGAATATTGTTATAACAGCATTATACACGTCCGAGGAATCTCGCCAAGTCCTCCCGATGATGATTGCCGGTTTTTCTTATACCGTGCGCTATAAGATTGTTGTTGTTATAGTAACGCCAAGACCATTTAAGTCCGCGGTCGTGACAACACCGCTGCTTCCGTCATCCAAACTGTCTCTGTTTTCAGCCTCCTCTCGGTCGTCCAACAGGTCTAGGGTAATCTTAAATATCTGCCCTCGCCCGGTCCGGCCATCTCTGTTTATGGGACACGTCGACTTGGTCATGCGGTGTCCGTTTCTCATCCCGTTATTCGTCCGAAGTAATTCTCCGAATCTTTCGCAAGTGTCCGACCCATCTCAGTCAAGCGATACATTTTAGGATTCCTATTATTCTCGCTTCCCCGAAATTTTCCTCCTGAAATTTTTTCAGTACCGCGCGTTGTGCATTCACATCTGAAGCGGATGCGACACGTATGTGAATTTTAATTTTTAGTCATTTCAATAATTATTATCGTTTAATAAAGTTTTCATCCCAAGTCATTGTCTGTTCGTTACATTTCTTTGTATCAAACTAGGCGTGTATCTTACCAAACAGATACAACAATATTTACCCCGCGGGTGAGCTTCGCAGGGATCCAAGAGATTCTCACCGAAACATTGCAACAGGTATGTTTCATACGCGAGTGCTCGGGAGGATTCGAATCGTATATTCACGGTGGCGTTGTTTAAAACAAAAATAAAAAACGAAATAATGATAAATCAATTTATACGCCCGCATAAAAGTACAGTATTATAAAATATTACAACGGTTCGAACCGGAATTCGGTTTTCGTCGTACGCCACATACCTACCTTTATAGGAAACGTGCGCAGACGGCCCCGGCGTGATCGGGTCGACGGCGATTACGCGAGAATCGTGAACTCGGCGAGAAACGTCGGGATTTTTTTTTTACGGCCAAGTTCACGGATGTCCAATTATTTTGCTCCGAGATTTTTTTTATTATTATTTTTTTTTTTTTTTTTTTTTTTTTTTTTTTTTTTCGCTAATGGACGGCTATTGAGGCGGCTATTATATACAGCGTGCGCGCGTTAAACGCCTTTTCTACACATATATACACAATAGATATACGCAACGAAAGTGTTATGTACTCGTCGGTGTATATTTATTTTATTATTATCAAGCATACCGTAAATCACCGTTCGCACGCATCCCACGCCGATTGTTACTTATTATTATTATTGTTTTTTTATTCACTTTTGTTTTTACCGTCTACGATTTTTTTTTTTTTTTTTTTTTTTTTTTTTATTATTTCGTACGCGAATAATTTGCGTCACATTACATGTACGATTACGCTCAAATGGTTGCGGAGGTGATAATAATAATAATAATAATAAAAAGGCTGACACTTCTGACGGGTGTGACACTGTTTTAGGGGGGGGGGGCAAGTTAAGTTGGAAGGAAGAATATATATATAAAGAGTAATTCAGTTTATATCAGTGAGTAACGATAAACCATTGTTGAAGAACAACGATTCCGAGTATAATTTGTCGTATTTTTTCTCTTGTTGTCAAGCTATCGACAGAAATAATACAATACAAAATTTACCGTTTTTTCCATTTATTAAGAAAACTCCAAGGGCAATCGAAAAATCGCCTCCTCAGTGGACCGACTACGTCAAAAATACTTCAAGAACGTTCGTGTAAAGTTTTCGACTGGAGCAAAATTTTGGTAAAAAAAATCGTTTACAGAGATACCGAAAAAAAAAAAACACATCATAGTAAAGCCGATACATTGCTCGCTTCGCTCAGAATCAGTAATAGTATCTAAGTTATCGCGGTGCACGACGAGTAAAAGATTGCTTATTAATCAGACATTTTATAGTATCTCTACGGTCGGCGGGTACTTGCAGTATAATGTACTCGTACAACCGAAACAATGGGTGGTGGCGATAATAGTATGCACTCGTATATATACAAATGGCAAGACGAGAAACTTTTCCCCGCCGCCGCCTCGTATATCATTATAATGCATACCTACGTAGTATACGGGGTTGGGGGGGGGTTTGATGTATTTTCCACATAAAATGCGCAAGCACCACACGCACACGCGTATTATGTAGGTATATACAATGACCGTGTAAAATGCACAACTTGAATGACCTTTACTCCGGTTTGTCATGCGCGATTTTTTTTTTTTAATGTTAAGTGTGTCCATTTCGCTGCGGCGGTGGCGATAAGTTCGCCGCCAAAGCAATTGAATAATATGCTAAATCACATTCGCCATACTCGTTTAGGGCTCGGATATTATAGCAAAGCTGTCGGCATAATAATATGTTGAATAATTTATGACCGTACGCACATATATAGTTACGCGCGTATATTCTACCGAGGATATTTTGAACCGACGATGACGACAGTCCGAGTTTATTTTCCGGAAAAGAAACGTGAAACGAAATATCACGTACGATTGTTTTACTGTAACATAAAATTTGTCTCCGTAAAGACACTATCGTCTCGCCCGTGACTTCCGAAACTTACGAAAAATAATGCCATTTAGATTCTGCAGTGTGTCAGAAGTTCTAGAATTATAATATACTCGAAATGTTCAAACTAGGCGAACAAATACGATTTCTGCGATCAAATATTATTGTGATTTGTTCGGTTTCCGGGTTCCTTCGGTAAAGTTTTCAAATCTAACTAGCAGTTAACCGAGCCCCATTCGAAATCGTTTTTGTTTGTTCGGAGCGATTTATCGTTGATTTGGGTATACAAACTAATAATTCCCTTATAAACCTTGACTGTTCGCGCTTAATTTACGCAACAACGTGCAACGGCCCAATACCCGAGATGCATAGTACCAATCCTGAATAATATAAAATCGAAATTCTGTCCGTATTGCCTACGCCCGTCCGTCCGTCAACTACGCCATTACGGGTCTATAGAATTATTCCGACCGTTATGGAACTTTGCACATTATACATGCGTCGGTTTGTAATTGATCAATAATTATTCCCGTTCGGCGATATCAAACGCAAGTTTTTTTCTCCATACACGCACAACGGGTGTTCCCCTTCAAACGATTAAAATTGCAAAGGCGCATTTTTTATAATTTTTTTTTTTTTTTTTCGTAAACTATCGGATTTGCGCGTTTTCAGTTTGGAGCTGGGCGCCTACACAAAACGCACGTTAAAACGTCACGAAAATCCGTTTAATGGCAAAACGCTGTAGGCGCGAAGGATCGGTATGGTATGTAAATAATAAATAAACGCGTTCGCGACGGCGGCGACGACGTGTCGGTGTCATGTCCGGTGCATTTTACCGTGTCCGCGGCAACAGGCTTGTTTGTCAACATATCACTTTTTTCGTTTTGTATAATATTATGCATATGCTGTTTGCGTTTTATTACCGGCTATTAGCGACCGGACCGACGCGCGACTGGAAGAGAATATTATTTTATTATTATTAATATTTTTTTTTTTTTTTTTTTTTTTTTTTACGATTCCTCGGGCTAATTAGATTCCAGCGGTTTTGTATCCCGCCGCTGTGTAGTCCGTGGAAAACATTGGCAAGTTTATAATATACGTGTACATACTATTATAATACTCCGCGCGTGTATGTCCTCTGCGGTTTAAAAACAAAATGACGAAAATACACACGCGCCCGCGAAACGGGAATACACAAACGTTTGAAAAGCTCTTATTATATTATGCTGTGAAAAGCGCGAGAAAGATATTTTAGCCGGTTACGATAATAACAAACAAAATTGAATACGAGGTTTTCTTTTTTCTTTTTTTACGTTCTCGTCAAAAGCCGTTTGTAAATTATTATCATTTCGATTCGTTTGCGAATCATCGCGCCTTTGACCGCCGTCGTATTATTGATATTGTCTGGGATCGTTTGGACGAGTATTTCAATCTATAGCTTGAAAAAAAAATATATTTTTTTTTTTCAAACGGAATACGGCCGATATAGTTGTGCAAACAAAAGTGCGTGTCGTTCGATTCGAACGTTTTTAACGGTTTTCCGCCCTTTGTTTTTTCAATAGAAATTTTAAAAAAAATATGTATATTACAATAAAGGAGCGGAAAAAAAATAAACCGCGAATCGTTATTGCGGCGAAGTCGTCAACAACAAAAAGATCGATTAAACTCAAATATAATAATATGGCGTAAAACATTATCGCAAACGAATGATGGGTAATGGACACCGGGAATGCGAACGGAAATCTCGTTGGTGCGGTGCTTGTTTGGTTAATCAATAATTAAGCGATTTAGTATTGTGCTTACCGGACTTGGTGAGTGTCACGCATACGACCAACAGTAGGGCCGCGGTTATCCGGCAACGGTTTTGGAAGCTCGCGGGAGCTTTACTCCCCAGAGCCATGTCCAGTATCATCGGCCTGAAACAAAACAGAGAAAAAAAATTACTATCTCGTAACGAATTGAAAATCTCGACAAGCTATATATATATATATACTGTAAAATGGATTGCGGTGAGTCGAAAATTCCGACCTCATACCATTTTCCTACGATCGAAAACCACGTGTTCCGAAAAATAATGGTAAAACGTGTTAACAACACGCTGTTTTGTATAGACCTTTCCGACGACCAACTATGGACCGGGCCAACCACACCGAAACCAACTGTACATTGCCGCGAGTGTATATTCTTGTAAATCGCAACGAAAACGGTATAATATTATCAACATTGTTATACGCTGCGCTACATCATCTGCAGTGGTCCCTCGGGCTCTAGACTGCGCGCGTAAAACACGTCGTTTTTATTTTATTTTACGACGGCTAGCTCGTCGCCGCCCGTAATATAATATAACGTAACTTGTAATTTCGGTGTACGGTTTTTTTTTTTTTTTTTTTTTTTTTTTTCCCACTCTCGGGTACCGTTATTATTGCAATAGCGACTAAACCGCATTAATGAAGTTCTCAGCGCGCGCGCGCGCGCGCGTGTGAATAATATTTGCTCATATGTGCGGTTGTAACCGCAGTGCGTATCCTATCTCGCGGACACCGGACAAACCAGTCGTCGGGTTTAACGGCCGGTTCGCGTTATAAAAAAAAAAAAAAAAAAAATAATAATATGTCGATATATCGGGGTCTGTCGATACATGTGCGTACGGTGACGAGACTTACGACAACATTATTATGTTATCATTACGTTTTACGCCCACGAAAATGATAGTGGATTCTGCCAAGACGATTTATGAGAGTCTGCGGGTTATTTCCGATTATTATGATTATTACGCATATTATAATGTTGTACTCGAGTGTCCGGGCAATTGCAATACTATATATTGTATGTTCAGCAAATACCAAGACGAATTTTCGCGTTCGCATAATACTGCAGTGACGGTGATGAAAGACGAGTTTCGATGAAAAAAAAAAAAGAAAAAAAACTCCGAAATGAAATAGCTGTATGGAGTTCAAATCGCCAAGGTTGCGAACAAAACCCGATTCTGAATGGAGGCTTACGGTACAAGCTTTTTTTTCAAGTTGAATATGTCGTTATTATTTTTTAAATTCCCCTCCACCCTCAAGTAATGTGTCCGAAATACTACAAGCAAGTGTCAATAAAGTCGTTTAGATCGGGGCGAGTCGAAAACTTTCAAGTTCACGGACGAAACAAACAAAGTAGATGAATAAAAAAAAAAAAAACACACACACACACGCGCACGCACGCCACAGTAAAACCGACATTGATTTCTCGTTCCGGACTGACGCAGAATCTGAAACCCACGAGAGTGCCGTAAAGAAATTGATCGGAAGTCGGATCGGACCGACGACAGCCTATAATACCTAACCGAGGCGCCGTTGTTCCGTCGAACTTCACGGCAAGTCTATCGGGGAAAAATGTCAATAATATTGTGACACTCGCGAAATAATCACATCGCGTCAGTCCTAACCGTGTTGCGCGATGGCCGAACGAAACCATTAGGTATAATATTCACGATGGCGCCTAACCTTTGTGATGCGCTAGTGTTATGGGCGCGGATATCCGGCGATTAGACCGCCGAGTTTCGGCGTTTCTCGCGTTTCAACGTACGGTGCGTATTTAACACACGACGCGGTGTGCCGCTGCTGTACCACGTATACCGCGACATTATTATCGGTCCGTCTAGTTTTCAACCACGGAGTTCTCAACAGTGGAGTGTACGGTTCGTTTATCGCGAATAGAAACTCGCAATTTGAATAATTTTCGGATTCGAAAAGGGAATACGTCGTTTGCTAAAAATGCGCGCGATATGCTCGTAACACTAGTATATTATATTGTACGATCAAAGAACCCGTTATTACTAGTGGTCGGCGGCGCCACTCGTCACTTTGTCGACTGTTTTTTTTGTTTACTCGAAAAATTAAAAAAAAAAAGAAAAAAAGAAATGCAGCGTAGCGAAAGAACGCTGCATACTGAGCAAAACCGCATAGTATTCGGGCGACTGCCTTACGTTATTTTTTACGACATATTATTTGCGCGAGCAAAGATTTTCGAGTCGGCTCGTAACAAACACAAACATCCGGAGGAATCGGTTGGATACGAGTGACGACACGCGTGCAGCTATGTATGACGCTATCTAAAAGTATCTATCTCAGAATTTCAAATCTAAGTTCGAAAATCACGTTTTTGGTTGAAATAAAGTCCAACGCAGAAAACTGGTAATCTATGCTTGGTAAATATTTGCGCGAATAAACCCGATCCTTGTTTATGAGTCGAAACAAGAAATAAAAGCCTTTCGCGAATCAATGGGGTACCTACTATCAAAGATTGCTGCATGGGCCGTACGCTGTACGCGGTTATACCGTTTTTGTAACGTACAAAATGTTAACCCACAGCCGGTGAATATAATCGAATTCACAATCTCAGTGGCCGTATATAACAGCTACGAGATGTTGTCGCCATTCATTAACATTTTTTTTTTAAAACGAGATAGAATATATCATTACGATAAAAATAAAAAACCCGTAGATCACTGTTGGATTTGTTGTTGCAGCCGTTGTTTGCGGATCTAGGTGCGGTGTTTAAACACTGTATATTCGAGCTATTCTAATATATTATAATCTCGTGCAAAAAAAAAATGAAAAAAAAAAAACTGGAAGAAATGAAGAGTTTACCGATGCGGAACGACCGCCGACGATTGGTGCTCGTGTCCATGGGAAAAAAAAAAAAAAAAAAAAAAATGAACCTTCGAAACAAACGGGGAAAAAAACATTCGCGAATTTCGTATTGAAATGCGTGCATATTTCGAAAACTATACACGCGCGGGGACTAACAACGTGACCGTATTATAGTAGACGAAAGCCTTTTTTTTTTCTTCTTTTCTTTATTAAACTAAAAACGCGAACGAAAACGAAAGCGATAATGGAATATCATGGTTCGTATCGTTGAAACATACGACATCGACAAATGCCCGAAAAAAAGAAAATCCTTTATAGGACTTAACGCGCAGTCTGGCACGGGCACACTGCAGCAGACCGGGCGTACGCGCGCGAATAATTCGGAACATTGAAACAGTGACTTTTGCAACGCCAACGATACCTGCAGCTACCTGGTCCGTCTTCGGGTACGCGCGCGCGCGCGCGCGTATACCACCGGTTCTCGCACCGCGGCCTACGTCGGCCATGCCGTTGTGATCGTTACACGGGCGATACGACATTTCCTCGGCGCACGACGCAGCGCATTTGTTCGGAATCGCGAACGATAAAACGTTTCGTTGACATCCGAAAATTGCCGTGTCCGTCAAACGACGACGGCGCGCGCAGGACGAATCCATGCGTCGCGACGGCGGGGAAACGATAATAATATAACGTCTGGAAAACAACGCGTTATATACGCGCGTACACCGTACAAGTTATGCTGACGTACGGATATCGAATTTGAGGCGCGTGCTCGCGATGCGCCCGTAACTCGAACGTAGGACGCGTTGTACTTGCCGAGCGCCTCTCGCTCCGCGATCTCTCTGCGCGTCCTCTCGGCGTCCGCGCGCGCGGTCCGACCGTAAATGTTATTCTGACACGTCTGTCGCCGGTAAAACCGCCGCCGCCGCAATAATAATACGCGCGTCGCGGGCCCATAAACGACGACGGCCGGTTTTATTATTATTATTATTATTATTTTTTTAATAATATCGGACAACAATAATAATACGTACAATACGATTATAACGTGTATGTAACGTCGTATAGTTTACGCGTAAAAAAGAAAAAAAACACAGAGCGAAACACTATTTGCGACGCCCGACCTCAACGATATTTTGTTTTATTATTCAATTTTTTCGTTTCCCCTCTCTCTATCTCTCTCTTTTCAGTACCTTTACCGGTTCTATAAAACCCGCTAAACTTCGCGCGGACCGTTTCCGTCGCATACGCCATTGTAATGTATTCTCCGCTGCGGTAATTGTATTACTCTCGGCCGAGAAACCAACCGCCGGTGCCGGCAAACGTTTAAGTGGCGATAAACTCGCACGCGATTCGAAACGAAACGTTCCGTACGGCCGCCGTCGGGTCTTCGCGGAAGAGCCGCGGCCGAGATCGACCCGCACGGCCGTCGTTTCGTAACGGAGATCGCGCAGTGATTTGTGTGACCCCCGTCGCGGCGTCGGTCGATCGAAAAATCGGCACGGCGCGTCCGCGAGAGAAAAATTAATAAACGGCAAATTGTTCGCGGACGGTTTCACAACGTCCCGAGGACCAAACGCCGGGTAAGGGCCGTGGACCTTTGAATCTGCTTGTTCGTGCAGACTGCTGCCGATCCGGCGGCCGTGCTGAGCGCGTCCGACTCCTCCCCGTTGTTTTCTCCCGCGGTTTTTCGCCGGCCACCGAGAATCTGTACGTTTTTATAGACGGAGCCGACGTGCGGCGAGGGGCGTGCTTTCTATTTTTTTTTTTTTCGGAAACGACGGGTTCTCCGTGCGGATGCCGCGTCGCGCGACGACCTTGCCGGTCGGCCTACGGACGGCGTCCAACGTTGAATGAAGGCGTAGGTACTGCACCGGCAGCGGCGGCGGTCGCAGATGAAAAAAAAAAAAACGAAAGCAAAATCAATTGTCCTCCGCGGTAAACGGACGGTCGTAATAATTCAGACGTGGAAAAAAAAACACCGTGTGGGCCGAGTATACCGAAAACGAGACGCGCGCCGACCGTGTTTCTTGCGGCGTGCGTTTACATTAAAATACGCGTATTTATGATATTATTATACACGTATCACAAACAGGTGGTTTATTCTGCCTCGGCGGTCAATCCGGCACGGACCCGCACGTGCGCCCGGTTGTGACCAGTCTCGCTATATTATAATAATAATCAGGACTGTGAATTTAATGCAGTTGAAAACCTTAAAAGTGCACGAAACAAGCACAAAAAAAAAAAAACAAAAAACGAAACGGTCGACAGGTGGTGTAAGGATACAAGGTATAAGGACAATAATAATAATAAAAATTATGTGTATAACGTCGTAAATATAATGTCGAGTTTGCCGAAAACGTCGCGTATTATATGCAGGCGTAAAATAGCGGGCGAGAACGAGGCAAAGATACTCGTAAACAACAAAACGATTGTGTTTCTCGAATTGCATAGGAAAACGCATTGTAATAACTTTCGGGGTTACCCGAAAGTCGAAATGACTGTTATTTCCTATGTTCCGAGTGCGCCCGCACTTATTTAACTTATCGTCCTAGTGCGTAAGAATAAAAAAAAAAAAAATCATATTTTTTTTTTCGACATACCAAGAATAACGCGTTCCTGTTCTTATAGAATTACCAGTGTTGCGCCACCAGGAGGTGAACGGGCTCACACCCCAAACTTTCAACGCGCCGAACAGTTTGTCAACAATCGTTAAGTCCGTCAGTTTTTAAATATATACAGTCCTACCAATCCGCCTACACAGTCGGGCAATTCAAATTTAAAACGTCACGCACTCGCGATATCCCCATCAATTTAAATTGGGGTCTTAAAAATAAGTAACTACCGTACAATGTTTCATGAGACGCGATTGTTCGGTAAAATAAAAAAAAAAAACAATAATAATCATAATAATAACACGGTGAGTGTCATCGACACAAACCGATAATGAGGATATCGCGGAATTATCGTGCGTTTTGCAATTATCTGGTTTGTTTGGATGTTTTTTTTCGTTTCGCATCGAGTTATCGGATATAGGAAAAAAATTCGGAAAACGTGCGCGTGTTTTTAACTATTATACTAATTTCCACACGTGGGACCGTCCGGCGGTTTTCTTATTGTTTTTTTTTTTTTTTTAGATTTTTTTCTAGGTCCCGCTTATTATCGCGTTGAACGGCATGCGGCGTTTGTATACCAAACATCAATTATAAACACGTACTGATACTATATGTACGTCCGGAGACTACACGCCGTCGTACGACGAGTTTAAAGACCCCGGTTTTTCTCGGTCGTTAAAAAATTATTAAGTAAATATACGCGAACCTGAAATAAGTATATACGGCCCGCGCGCGTTTTTCACCCGCGGAAGACAATAACAACGCGGACTCTGTTATTTTAACGGATCGCGTTCGGGCGAAGGCATTGCGCGTGTAATACCTACGCGACCGTAATATTATAATATTGTAATCCGGTTCACGGTTCGCGGTAACAATAACGCAAATATTATACAGGACGGTTGTTTCTTTTTTTTTTTTTTTTTTCTTCAGGAGCCGATGTATTTTCAGTTTCCGCAGCTGCAGCGTCATCACGCGGTAGGTATGCCGTATATATATATACGTAAATCGAGGATAATACTGTTTGATACGTAAAGATCGCGGTCCGCCAGTCGGGTTCATTAACGTTGCGTAACCGCGAAGAGATCGGGCCGACTTCGTAATATTATTGCTTATAGTCACAAGACTGATATATATATACAAGAAAGAAAACGAAACTGCAGCATCCGTAGCGGCCTCAGATCGCGGCCGGCCTTGGAAGAGAATGATATCTACTTTTTCTCTCGTTTGGTATTTTTTTTTTTTTTTTACGTTTATTCGCTCGTCACCCGCATCATCCGCACCTATTCGTCTTCGCCGGAGTCGTCATCATCGTCATCATTATTATTGTAAGTATGCGTACCCGGCGGTCTCGAAAACCCATTAGCCGATTCGCCGGGCGCGTCGCAATTGATTTTCCGCATGGCTAGGGAACGCCGCGTTCCGGCCACCGTTGCCGTGGGCTTTTGTTTGGATAAAATGTACGCGGCCGGCGATCGAAAACTGTCCGCCGCGACAACCGAAAAACGAAAATACTCCGGGGTTTCGGAATCCGTTTTAACGGTTAGCCGATACTGTAATATGTAGTCGATTTTCTCGGACCGAATACGTGCACGAGCATGCGCAAACGCCGTCACACGGACTTGGCCGGTCCCTTTTACAAACGGCTGTTGAGCGTATGCGCCAAATCAAAACGACGTGTTCGTATACTTTTAAAGACGTTGAGATAAAATGCGATTTTAAGCGGCACGGAGTGCGCGTTATTTTGTTTCGATAATACGCGTCAGTACGGATCGGGCGGAAAAACAAAATAACAATAAAAGAACCCGGACGTACGCATTCCGATGGACATTCGTATAGGGTGTTGAAAAACACCGCAGACGCAACTATACGACTCCTCCTCCACCGCCGGTCCATCCGCAACCGTCCGCCGAGATTAAAAATTAATTTTTCATTAAATTCCTGACAAATTGCAACGGTCGCCTTGCGACGCACGCAGTACTCAAGGACTCGGCGGGTAAATAATAATAATAATATAAATGGGTACTCAAACGTCAATCGCTTATTGTAAACATCAACCGCGGCCAGCAGTGTTATACAGTGCGTATATAATATAATGTACGAGAATCAAGTATAAAACGTTTAATTCGCATTACTCGGCGGATGTGCGCGTCCGTATAATATTTCGTATTGTATAATATACGATATTTTATGAACTCGGACGGACGGACGGTAAAAAAAAAAAAAAGAAGAAGAAAAAAAGCAAATAATATACCGAGTAGGTATACCTATACATTGTACGCCGTCGCCGATGACGGTCGCATCACACCGTATGAATAATATTCTTAGCCGGCGAGACGGCCGGCTGACGTCCAGTTCGCAGTCATTTGTTATGAAATCGTCGTGTTCACGTAGAATAAGGCCCGACAATCCGTCATTATACATTATTATTATTTGTATATAGGTACTGATGCTGATTTGTGGCGGCAGTCGCGTACGCTTGTGTATGCACGTGTCGCCGTCTGCCAACGCATTATTGTATACAATTATAGTGTCTGTAGGCATGCGAAAGAAAACCGATTTTATCTGCGCAAAACTAAATAAAATCTAAAAGAAAAAAAAAAAAATTCGAAAATGCCAAACGCCTATAATAATGAACTCGATATTCGCCGGGGCGTTTCGAAAACTTTACGGATAAAAGGTTACACGGGCACGTGTGCTCTGCGAAAAAATCCGGTCTCTACGATTATATTTAACAGAATGACATCGAAAAATAACGAAATCGTTATTGCCGTAAATTGTACTCGTTTTTCCTACTACCGGAAAAATCGAAAAATGACGTCGCCTGTAATGCGCCGGCTAGGCGAATTGCGTTTTCGGAAAAGACGGGGTACCTATACCTGCGCTTAAAAATCGGATCATCGGATTTCCGATAGACAAGTTGTGGAAACAGGAAGGAAGAAAAACGCACATCATAGTAAAACCAGTACAATATTCCTGTCGTTGCGCTCAGAATCTAAAAGAAGAATAATGGCACCGTTTTTTTTTTTCATGCAGCTATTTTGAACGCGGTTTTCCGTGCAATGCGTGTGAAACGTCTACTCGAAAAATCCGACGTTAGATATTAAGTATATTATTTTATAGGCCCGCCGCGGATTCGACACGGGACCCGCACGACGGCCGCGATGTGCCCCCGGAAAACGCGTAGGCGTATAAATGATTTTTAATTTTTTTTTACCGTCGACGGGCGCCAAAACATCAGTAATGTAGTTTCCCACGCGAACTAGCCATTGTATAATACCGATAGCGCTCACTTTCGATAGTAATATTCGGCCGTAAACAATATTCCGAATTGGATTTTAGGCGACGAATGCAGACGGCCGGAATGGATAACACGCGGTTTCGGTGTCACCGGTGTGCCCCGAGGAATTTGTGACGACGCGAGAGGGCATGGCAAACAACATGTTGATCGTAAATACCTTATTCGTATAGAATATTGTTCTTCTTTACCCGACACGACAATGATGGCGATTTACAAAAGCCAGATCCGAGCAGGAATCGATTCGTATATAATACATAATCGATAAATCAAAATTTTACTTGGCCGAAATATTCGCGTGTTTCAAAATCGAATATTACTTATAAAATATAATACCCGTATGGTTATTGCATTAAACAGCCAATGGGGAGGGGGTGATCCCTAGCTAAGTCTTTATCAGCATCCCACTAACCGCGCCACTGGTTTCGGTCGCGACGACAGCCGTACGTAAAATCGTATACAAGTACCGTATCACGAAAATATATACGAAAAATACACCGTAGTCAGTATCCACCGCTCATAACGGCTCGCAGATTTTCACTCGGTGATGGATAGTGATTTTTCCCGTGACGGTTTGTAGACAAGTACCCACTGCGAGTCGTTGCAAGTGCGTCACAATCAATGTTAATTTCAGGGAGGAAAGGGTAATCGGGAGGTACCTATTACTTAAAAAATGTGATATGATATGTGAAATGTGCCAACTATGAGTCATCTTATTGTTGACAATAAAATAGAACAAATATTATTTTACAGAAATAATCGTATTTTAACGAGCTACAAAATAAAGTCATTATTAAGCGTATTTTGCTTAATTTTTTTTTTCTCCCAGTTGTAAGAATTCCTAGATCCGGCTCTGCCATCATACCCCCTTGGGAATTAACAATATTCTCATCGGGTATGAAGGTCCGAAATAGACACTGGTCGCAATCGAAACGTTTACGCGGCAGAGGATTTATTATTATGCGGTGTCGGAAGAACATCACTTGTCGTGTTGCGCCGCGTGTGTGAATTAAACGCGCCGACTGTTTAAAAAAAAAAAAAAAATCCCCACAGAAAAACAGAGGGAAAAAAATGTTATCGGACGTGGGCCGTGAACCTCTGCGCATCGCGTCGTTGTTAAACGAGACGCGTTATTATAAAAAAAAAAAAAAAAAAATTATATTCGTGTGTGTAGTTGACGATGACGTTAAAATAAAATGAAATTTCCGCCGTCCATGTGCAGCTGTATAGGTAATTAAAACGCGAGTGCCGGGTGCGAAGGATTTGAAATTTATTTTTATTTTGTTTTTCGGTTTTTTTTTTCTTTTCGGACATTCGACGGCGGCGGATTCTTCGCGGCCGGAGAGTGACAAGCGCGTTTTTCTCAAGAAATCCGACTCGGCGGCCGCAGCAGTAGTGGATTCGGTCCGGTCCAGCGCGCGTTTACGTGTAATTTATTATTTCGGACAAAAAAATAACGTCGACGGGTCCGGCCGCCCTAATGACGTGACGCGACGACTATAATATAATAGTGTATCTAATGTACGAGATCCGCGCGGAAAGAGGCCTAATGATTTTGTTGTTTTTTTTTTTTTATTCTTTTTTTTTTGTTTGATGATTTTTATTATTATTATATTTTTTTTTTTTTTCTATTCGAGAGACCCGGCGGCGGACGGACACCGAATAATATTTTGGAAATGGAAAATGGCGCGCGTGTGCGGACGAATGGTCAGTGGCCCCTTGACGCGTATGCATTTCAACGTGCACGCGTGGCCGACCGGACGACGACGGCGACCGTCGGGACCCGGTTACCCCTCGAGCCGTATGCAACACCGCGGTCTCGTACGCGTAATCGTTACGTACATCGTAATCGGACACGCGCGTTATAGTAATAATTATTATTATCACGACGAAAACGGTCGGTTTTTCTTTTTTTTTTTTTTTTCTGTATCCTTGTCGTATTATTATTATTATTAGTACTGTACATTATATTTTGCCTAACCGCCATTGCGCCGTTATGCACCGCGGCTCGTAATACGCGCGCCCGATCCGTCCGAAAGATACCTGCTGCAGTATAACGAGATATACGCGTTACACCTAATAATAATAATAATAATAGAATACGAGGAGAACCGCCGCCGTTTGTCCTGCGGGTCGACCGACTATCATAGAAATGGTGTGTCCGTTTTTCTCACGGAGACGATGCGCCGATCGGATAAACGACGGAAAACGACAAAAAAAAAAAATAAAATAAATAATAATAATAAATTCCCGCACGGTTCGACTACGCGCGTATATTATCGCGGTAATAATTATCCGTTATTGCGGAGTACGAAAATAACTTTCGGCGGGCCTAGAGCGAATTGTTTCGTACAATATATTATAACGTACGAGCGAGCGCGCACACGAAATATTCGGGTTCGCGCTCGTCTTTTTATAATACAATATAATAACGTATGTAGCTGCATAATGTTATACGAAACGTTATATTACGTAGACGCACGGCGGTTCATTTATCTGCAGGCGAACCGGCGATTATAGCTGTGCAGTGATGGGCCGTTTCCCGGTATTTAAAAGCGATGAATTATATTCCGTGGGAATTTATAATAGATTCCCGAATAATGCGAATTTTCACTACAAACTCTAGTATAGGTGAGTCGAAATTCAAATCATCGCTAATCCAAACGCGAACGAACTATCATTATCCTTAGTTTATGTTTAATATTATACGATTGTACCTACGTTCTTCAAGTACTCAAAAAAAAAAAAAAATAAAAAAAAAATATCAATTAAAACATTTAGTTTAGTTTTAGGAGAAAAAAAAAACCTATGTTTGCACTGTAACCTAGACAGACGCTTTACTTGGTCCAGGATCTAAAAATAGCGATACTTCTTTAATTGGTTTTAACAAGCTGTTTGCAAAACAAACAAATACATGCACTCTTTAAAAACTCTTTGATAACTAAAAAATATATTTAAGCATTGAAAAAAAGTAACGTCTATTAGTCGTGTAGACTGACGGAACGGAAAAAAAAATTCCCGATATAGGGAAGAAAAATATGTCGTGTAAATATTCCCGATAAATTCTAAATTATATACATTTTTCTTTAGGGAATATTCCCAAGGCACATCACTAACCATAGCTATTATGAAGATTTTTAAGTAAATTCAACGATTTTCTTTACCGGAAAAATGGCTACGATTTTCGAGGGTACCGTTTTTTTTCTTTCTGAAAGCAAATCGTTTAGCGAATTTTAACGCAAACTAAACTGCAAACTCGAAACGTTTTTCAATCGGGCACTATTATGTCGATGTGTCATAATGTTCGTGATGGTACTCGGACGATTCGTAGACGAACGTGTGTAATTCAATTATCGACTTTAATAATTTATACGGCCCGCGAACTCGATGAATAACGATCTTAAGGTTGTTGTTTTTTCTGGTCGTTTAAAATAATATTGTACCGTCTCGCCGACGAACATCGACAATATTATTTTACGTCCACGTGCAATTTTACTAGTCTTGATCACACGATGTTTTTTATATTGTGTTCAAATTCAATTATATACGTTTGACAGTATTATAGTATATTATGCTCGCAAGGTGAATAAAAAAATGAAGATGCATAGCAATAATTTGCGTTATTTATTTTATAGTTACGTAATAGAATTGCAGGCGGGTGAATCATAAGAAAATATACCATATCGTAAAACCGATAAAATTCTCCGTCTTGAATGATTGACACTTTTTTTTATAGATTTAATATAACATTATAATCAATAAAATACGTATAGTAAAAAAAAAGTCTGGTATTGCTGATGGTCGCAGTGCCATATTTCAAGAGTGAAATTTGATGGAAATATAATAAATATAGAGTAATTAAATTAATGTTTAATACGAAAAACTATTCTGAGCAGTGTATAATTGGTTGATTTTTTTCCCTCGTTGACAAGGTAACCCAGATATCAACATAAATTACACGAAAAATTGCCAGTTTTTCCAATTCATTAAAAAACACCATACAAGGTAAATAAAAAAATGACCTTCTCAAAGCACCGACTTGATCAAAAATTCTACAAGAAAGGTCTTATACGGTTTTCGATCAGAACAAGATTTCTGATAGAAATGGTTATTTATACGAACACACACACAAATAAAAAACACCAATCCGAAAATATTATACCCAAGACGATTTATTTATTATTATTATCCAGACAAACTTTAAGAAAATCCAAATCGTTATTATATTCACTCGATGTCAATATGATGAAATATTGTTATTTTCCATACATATACACATATCTACAATCAATATTATTTTATTCGCATCGTGATGACATCAGCGGCCTCGGGTGTTTTACGCGCTACCAACTGTAGAAGTCGCGCCGGTAAAACAATAATAATAGCTTTTTTTTTTTTTAATTTCGTTAATTAAATCGCGTCTCTTGGTGGTTTTTTTCTCGGGTGATGTGCTGCAGCACACACACGACGGACGCGGACGGATAATAACACAATATTTGATTATATTATAAATATATGAATCACGGAGCTGCTCGATACGAAAAAAACCGTCCTGGAAGACCTATATAGGAATGGTACACACGTTATATTATAATATAGTACCAAGAATAAAATATTGACCTTGTTGGGCGTTTTTTAAACGAAATCTTTACTCAATCGTCTCGATCCACGGTCAACGGCGCAAAAAAAAAAAAAAAAAAAACCCCAAATGCCACGACCGGTTTCGCAGAAAAATATAACTGGTTATCCCATGTTAGCCACGCGATCGTCTATATTATTATAAAATATTAAACTATCACCGTACACAAACACGCATGCACGCACGCACGCACACACACACACACACACAAATACACGTTCACGAAATCTCCGCAGCCACAGATACAATAATAATAATTATTTTTATCATCGACATCAATAATATTTCAATAGCGTTTCGGCCGATTTAGAAGCGGCCGTTAAAGTCTCTCCACGAGTCCAATAATAATATCGTACCAATTGTGTATTATAGTTTTCTTCGGCCTCCGTCGTCTCAAGAGTATACGGTAAAAACGATCACTAAAGATTTTCCTCTGTCTCTATCTCTCTTTCTCTCTCTCTGTCTCTCTCTCTCTCTCTCTCTCTGTCTCTCTTTTAGTGATGGCTATATTAACTGTTCTAATTTCAAATAAATTCTACAACAACAATATAATCGTACGTCCCACAGCTATAATAGCACGTCTTTGGGTAAATAAATTTGTAATTGAATAGAAAATTAAATGAAAATACGATTCCGAATTCGATTAAATAAAATAGTTTTTCGCTAAATTATTGAATTGAAAATGTTGATAATAATTTTTACCTACATAAAATAATTGAAAATTTTCGTGAGTTTCGTCATGTCTAGTATTTTTGTATTAGAAAAAACCGATACAAAATATTCGGAGCATATTTACTAATCGAAAAATTCTTTAGGAATGAACTACCTGAGGGTTTTGAAAAACGTTTTAAATAAATTTTACCGTTAAGTAAATAATCGGTATCTTTTCGTATCACGTGAAAAATCTGTATATTTTTACTATAACGAGAAAGTGTTTTCCGAGAAAAAACTATACGCTTCAGTAGTCGATACTAGTATAATTTTATGTAGCTTCTGCATTGTTGCACAAGTAAAAACAAATTGTCGGTTCAAAGCAGGAAAATAAACGCACAAAGTTCAGTATAGCGATGGAAAACACGGTGGTTATTGGATTACGTCTGTTTACACACATAACAGCTATACGGTTTTATAATTTATTGCAATAATATTACAGTTAAGTGCGTTCAAAGTATATTATGGACGGAAAAAAATAATGTTTCGTTAATTTTAAAAGCAACGGTATTTTCATGTTTATTTGTACTTCGGTGTATTATTTGTGTTTATGTTGTTCGTACACATCATAATATTTTATAATACCTAATAATATAATATAGGTATACCGTGTATATGGAAAGGAGTCATGAAAAAAAAAAAAAAACAGGCACTTATTACGAAATGCGCGTTTACGGTACAATATAATAATAATTGACGATGTGTTTGCGTTATGCATAAAGTTCCTCGTTTAAACATTATAATTGTTACCGGCGTAATTAGGCATATTTACGCCAAACGCTATAATTATCACCGCGACGCCCGTTAAATTAATATACTTACGGTTATATAGTAATATAAGTAATAATGTATAATATTGTTATGGCGGCCGGTTATGTCACTGAACGTTGAGCTTATTAGTGATTTATTATATACGACAATCGCATTTGTAACACTACGTTTCGAAACGTTTAACGGACGATTATTGAGAAAGAAAAAAAGTGCAGTATAAATTATGTACATTAGGTATTATTTTTTTTTTTTTCAGACTTATAAATATTATAATGATTGATTGTCGAAATGGTCAGAAAAATCATTGTTAGTAATTGTACGGTGTCAATAGAAAATTGAAGAGATAATAATATAATTTATATGTTCATTATTATGACGTTTTAGAGGGCGAGAAGATCACGAGCGATTATAAAATACATAATGAAATAAACGATAATTAATAATAGTAATAAATGATTACTGCAGATAACGATAGAGTATATTGTTGACACAAGCTGATATCGTATATCGGCCGATATTATCGGGGATATCTGGTTTCGGGATAAAATCAAAAAAAAAACGTTCCGATTTCCATCCGAGATTTATCGATTTATCTTCAAACATCGGCTAACGGGTTTCGATTTCGAATACCGGTTATCGGTAACAAATATCGGGAAAAATCATATCGGCTTATTATAATATATCGCGCCTATACCGAACCGAAAGAGGCCGTATAATATCGATTCGTACAAAATAATTATTTGATACTTCTTGTATTAAATACATACTAAATAATAGCTACTCATAGGATATTTAAATACTAAACATAAAATTTAAAAAATACTAAAAAGTTGGAAAAAGCGTGAAATACGACTTTTTTTTCGTTAAAACGTGAGTTTCAGAAAGAAAAACAAATCGTTTGAATCCCGTACAATTCGTTTTGCGCGAGTTATAACGATGATTGTGTAAAATATTACGTTAATAAAACTATATTTACCAGCGGACAAAACAATCAGATTTTCGTATTAAATAAGAACAAAAAGTTTAAGTTTGAACGCTATTTAAAAAAAAAAAAAAATAGATGTAACCATATATATGTCCGGAAAACTTATATTAAATACTAAGAGGAATTACGCTGACCGCTAATCATATTTATCGGACATCGGGATCACGATTATTGTTTTGATCGCGGACAAGTCCGCTGCACGAAACGAGAACACGCTAAAAACGTAAAAATACCGACAGTCATCATTGTCGGTCTGTAAGACAAATCGGTCGAGGCTCTTCAATATGACGATAATAATAATTATAATAATAATAATATAAACGTGCAACCGAGCTTCCGAATAATAACAGTACAAATATTATATATCATGATAACGGCCACTCGAACGGGCGGGGAGGCGGTCAAGATAAGAATTTGTTTGTTCTTATCGCATCGTTCATCATATCCTATTAATTCGTATATAATGAAATCGTATATAAAATTACACAAATCAGCGATATTTTTTTATTCATCTTCAATCAGTTTTTAATGTCTACGAAGGCCCTTCGCTACACGTACCGCCCCTCTCCATTTATCTCCGTCTTCACCTTGCCGAGAAATTTCTGCAATATCCGACTTCACGCTGCATGTCCGGAGCGTGCACTCTTGCACTTTTCCCGTCCAGTCTCTCCCGATAAAAATTTTGTTTCCTATACCTTCAGACCTCCGCATATGACTAGCCCATCATAATATTTTGCCTTTTCAGTTATTCACTGATGGCTGTGTTTTTTTTTTTTTTGGAATAGTATGTAAGTAAATTTTCTTTTATAGACTTTTGGTAGCATATTATATTTTCACCTAACCGTTAAACAACGTGTACGAGTCAGAAAAATCATATTGTAATCCCCGTCACCTCGTGCTCGAATGCAGAAACGACGACGGCTCGATGGTTATTTTTTCGCACGGATATTTCGCCGGATGATTAATCGCGCGCTCCGAGATCGATCGTATATTAATAATGGAATATTTTTTAATCCTGTGTAATTTATTGACGTTGGACGGCGTGTACACAAATTCGGACTTGGAAAAACACGCTTGTATTGTGACGAACAAAAAGACGAAAAAACCGACGACGACGTGTAGGAAGCACCTCTACGTCATCGCGGTGACGGGCAACAGGTGGGGCTCTGCTCCGCTGATATTGAAATTTAATATTATTATCGTTTGATTTGTCGAAGAGGAGAGTGAGGTGAAGGGGAAATAACGTCGATATACGCGTTTTCACACAAGCACACACACACACACACACACATACACACACGCGCGCGCGCGCGCCAATATGAATGGACAAGTGCTGGCTGAATGCTAAAATCGTTTTCTCGCCGCTCGACGACGACGTATTTAATACGAAATATATTATACCTGCAGCAGTTTGCTGGTTTTTTTTTCCGTTCGTCTTCTTTTTATGCCGTTTGAAGATGCACGGCACGTATGGACAGGCAGTTATACCCGACCGCTGCAGCGCACGGTGCTTTTTACCGTCCGTGAGAATATCGAAGAATCTGATACAGGTGTCCGATTAAACGACACAGACAATAATAATAATATGTCGGACAGGGTCCACCGCCGCGACGACCGACGACGACGACGTGATGAACGACCGGCGCGTATTTCTCGTTGCGAATTTGCAATCGCGTATAGGTATACGTATAAAAATACGAGCATGTATAACAAGAATAATATAGAAGATGATGGCCGTTATTATTATATTGTATCGTCATTTCCCATCCCCTCTCCCTCTCGACTCCCGTCCAACCCTACCCCTCCCCGTCGAAGGCAAAAATAATACAAATCACGAATCTATAATAGGTATGTAGACATTCTGCACGGCACATAACTTAATAATATAAAAACCGATATACGTGTATTGCTACCGAAGGAAAATACGACTTATAAATAAAATTGTAATGCCGGCATTATTATTCTTTGTCGCGACCGCAAAACTGCAACTGCAACTATAGGCTGACTATCGCAGAGTTCGATTCCGGAGCGGACCGCATTGTTTTTAGTTACGGGACGACGATGATTTTCTCTCGTCTCGTCCGAATGAAAAGCCGGACGTACCATGATGGGTAGCCGTCTGCACTGTCATAGATGGAAATTTCGGAAGGTGTAGGGTAATACATGAAGTAAAACTAATTGATTGCAATCAAAAAAATGGAGTGGAGCTCAGTGAACTGGTAATAGTATGGTAAATAGTAATAACCCCTCATTGTAAACTTGTATTAGGTAACCCAGAAATCAACGAAAATAAAACCGATGTTTCGTGAGTTTTTTTCATTTTTCAGTATCTGGGAAAACTCGCTAAATCTTCTCGCATATTTTAAGGTACGCTACAGCGAATGATTCGGAGAATTTTAGCTGACCGAAAAGTGTATTCTGCGTAGAAAAAAATCACATTCTCCCTATACTAAGAATGTAAAAATTAAAAAAAAAAAAACCGATAATTTATGATGCAATCGCGTTTTTTATTTATAAAATTAGCCTTACGCGGAAATGCTAAGGCTGCTCCGTGATTGATGTACCGATCGAATATAACATAATAAATGTACGCGAGTCAAAACGCGAGACCGTGAATTATCTTTTCGAGTATATTATAATTTATAATACTGCACCGTAGATACTAATTGAAAATTGGACGATTCTAATATATTATACATATATGCAAATTTTAAAAAAAAAATGAAAACACATGTATTTCGCGAAGGACCACTATATATAATATTTATGCCCGGATAATCATCACTATACGCGAGATGATGGGCTCTATAATACTAGGCCAAATTATAATTATTAGCTACCTACCTATAATAACGACCTCTAACAATTTATAATAATATCGTGAATTACGTATATAAAATGTTAGATAGGTATTACATTCATATTATTAATTATCACCTCAAGGAAATCAACAGGATATGACTGCATATTGTTATTCGCGATAACGTAGGTATAATGCGTGTGTATAGCGGTTTCAACCGTTGTTAACAAAAAAAAAAAAAAAAAAAGGCACGCGAGAGAATATGAGAATATCAAAGAAAAAACAATCGATTTTAATTTGTTGCACGATAAGTATTCATAATTACGTAGTTTCCGATTAAAGCTCCGAAGCCAGAAATGAATATTTTTCAAAACGTACTGCGCCGCGGTTTTCGCATACCGAACAAAACGTCGAGAATCGCTTACGACGTGGTGTATTAGGTTTCCTGGCGGCTACCTACGCGTCTAGAAATACATGCACTTGTTCCGAATTCCAAATTCGATTCGGGATAAAACCGGTGGCGGCACAGCCGTAAGCGAATGGGTATTGTATTTTCAACGGATAATTCTATATAATGTAAACTATCGCAATTTGAATAATTTGATACAGGGGACCGATAATCACTCGATAATCTCTATGATTCGCGTTACGGGATGGATTAAAAATTAAATACATCCGAGGGAAAAAATCCGCCGCGTAACTAGGGCGCAGAACCTGAACCAGTTCGGGCCGGGCGCCTGAATTCCGGGCCACGCGGCCGGAAAACGTTCGGAGTGTCGTTGTGTTTTTTACAATGCGGTGACGACACGCGACGATCCACGAACAGTTACGCGTCGGAGAACGAAAGTTTTTAAAACTCGAAAAAATAATAATCCGACCGTTGTAATATGTATATATATATATATATTTTTTTTTTTCTGTCCACGTACGTATATATATACAGTATACGAGTACGGGTATACGACGGCGTCGCCGGAATTTTAATTTGACGTTCCGAAATCAATATTTGTTCTCGGTCGGTATACCCGTATATAATAATATATGGTCGATACACACACCGGCTATAAATCGGTGACACGATTTTTTTTTTATTATTTATTTTCTCTCTCTCTCTCTCTCTCTCTCTCTCTCTCTGTCCAACGCGTTACACGTTTGACGAGCATACGCGTTCGTGCGTGTCGGTATACTATTGCGGTTATTACCACGTTATCGTTACCTATACGCGCACTGTTGTACTCCTCGAACGGTGCCGAATATAAAACGATGCACACGCGGCCCAAACGCAGTCGGATTAAAAATATTTATTGTTGTCGCTCGCGCGCGCGTGCACCGGAATCGCGATCGCGACCAGACGGACGAGACGACCGTCGCGCGACCGTGATAGCAGCAGCAGCAGCAGCAGCAGCAGCAGCTGTTGACCGCCCGTAGGGGTTACCCATTACGATATTGCGATACGAGCACATTCGGCCGCATGGACTAAATAATAATATTATACAGTGTATTTTATTATTATTACATTACGCACCGTCCGGGCGACGACGGGAAATCCCGAGAGGGGAAACGAGGTTTGCGGTTTATACCGTTATACCCGCGGTTACGGCCGCCCGTACGCCTACCTGTAGATTATTATTATACATCATCTGCGCGCAGCATACCGCGGTCGCGGTCGCCCGCGGGCGGATACCGCGACCGCGGTTAATCGCCGACGATCGGCGCGACCCGCGCGCGAACGGAAATTCCGTTTCCTTCTGTGCGGCGGCGCGGCGATCAAAATCGTTCATTATAAATATTAGTATTCGCAAGCAGGTACTTTCGTCGGCCCTTTGTATACTGAAACTGACCAGTGTACTGCGACCACAACGCTTTTGGTCCGACGACACAACAACGTAATTCCGATACGCTAAAAAGGGGTAAAAAAAAAAAATTACGTTTTTAATGGTCATAATATATCGTCCCCGGTGGGCATAACGCACCCATTGGGTTACTCGATATTTTGGCTGCGGTATTGTATTTCGTGATGCCGCATTGACGATTTATCAACGATTTTCAAAGAAATACATGAAATATTTTCTTCCCAGATCCTATCCCGTTTCGCTTATCGTCTGATTAATTATTTGTTCCTTGTGGCGCGGTCCACTACATAGTTGAGAGGTCTATCGTGCAGGTTATAATGTACGGTAGAATTATTAGATCCGCGTTACGTTTTTTTTTTTTTTTAACTGCCAAAATATTATTTATTCCGGTAATAATTAATATGTTACTCGACCCACGTGGCCTTAGGCCCATCAGATTAATACGTGTGCGAAATACGCATCGCGCGTTGCATAATTTCGATTATTCTCGTATATATTCGGTCGTTTTACTATACACTAGAAGAATATAATGTATTATAACCTTATTAGATATATATTTTCGATGCATTTTTCCTTTTCCAAACGTACACGCGTAGTTCTCTCTCATACATATTTCACGGTCGACCACCTCGGAGCCGCGCGATCAAACGAAATTCTGACGATAAAATCGTTCATATTTCGATTGGTGTCGAAACAAGAAATACGGTCGTCGAAAGTGCTTGCAGTGCAGGGGGATAGACCCGGGGGAGTGGTGTAATATAGCAGATATCCCATTAAACTGAATTCCCCAGGGATACGATTTCTGATGGGATTTCGTACTAATCCTGTCGAAAACATACAATTTTCACCCTCGTGCAGCGGTTGTCACATTTCGAGTGCAAAACCATTAGCGTGGATGTCAGCAACGCGAGTGTTTTTGACCATACGAAACCTTTGTGTCGAATTTAATACGATTTTAACGTTATCATGTTGCAATTTTAAAGAACTTATTTATCCATAGGAAACGGTATATATTCAATTTAGTAACATATAATTAATAATAATTTATTCGGATTTTTGAAATTTTCAATTGACTATTACTTAGCCAATAAATTAAAAAAAAAAAAAAAAAAATTAAATTAAAATTGATCAAAAATCGCAAATCTGGGCTATAGGTGAAACCCAACGATAGTTTATTAATTTGGACCAGAGAAGTAGAGAATAAGGGTTATCATCTCAAAACGTATGCGAAATGTATTGCCATTATTGCTTGTTGACTCAATAGTGTGCTGCACATTCTTCACACTCGAGGTAAAACAAAAAAATTGGAACCCACCCACTCAAAAAATGGGTATTAAATGTCCTACAAATAATTATAGCAGAAATCTTTATGTAGCTATATGTTGACTACATAATATCATATTCGTAAGTAATATCACTTATATTAATATTATATAAGTGTTATGCGTACACAAATTTGCGGAAAAATTTGAACTTTTCGAAAAGAGGTCGGTTTTAATTGAGATTCAAAAGTTGATGATAACATTGTAAGTGTTCGCAGAGTGTGGCGCGGGAACAAGGGTAAAATGTCGAACAATTTTCAACCAAATTTCGCATGTAAAACGATTCTATAATATAACGAACGAATAAAAACCGAAATCGGTGTTATTCAAAATCTATCCGTGTATCATGTTATAAATCACCCTGTATATTATAAACGAGTGTACAGTAATCTCGTCACGACAACGGGCTTAACAACAATTAAAATATATACTCACTGTATATTATATTATGTATTGTACGAGTATGTACCGTCAGAAAAATGTGACGCGTATAATACGCGAAAAAATATGATAATAATAATAATAAAAAAACTCGCGTGAGTCATTATATTATTATTTTCGAACGAGATGTACCTATTCTATGTAAGAATAATATTATGTGCGCGCAGCATCGCGCGCTCATTAATTCTAAAGTAAATCTCTTGTCGCCACGCGGTTCGTCCATTGTTGTATTCGGAATCCGCTCGAGATTTTTTATAATAATATTTGCGCGGTATTTACGCGGCAGTCTTAAAAAAAAAAAAAAAATAAAAAAAATAATAATAATAAAATAAAAAAATACACATTATATTTTGTCTCGCGCCGTGGTCGGGAAGTTGGGAATAAATTGCGGCTCGGCGGCGGCGACGACCGTCTGTCAATTTTTATAAATTTTTTTTTTTTTTTTTACGTTCCAATACTATAGGGTATACGATTCATTGGTCGGACCGACGACGAGAGCACGGTCCGTGCACGGGTAGAGTGTAGGCATTTTTTACATTTTTCATGTTTTTTTTCCGCTCCTAATAGACGAGCGGACTGCAGTTATAACAAAACTCGAATATAATTTCTTCGACCGCGGACGATGGTGGCGGCGCGTGTGCTGCGCCGACGGTGAGGAACGATCCGAGAAAAGAGACGAATAAACCGCAATGTATTTTACATTGTGCGAGCTGCTGCCGTAGTTTCATTCGTATTCATATCGAATTGTTTACAATGTATTATTATCAGTCGCATTTTTGTGTTATCAGAAACCTCCGCGGGGGAGTGCCTACGAGGGTTTTTTTAAAAAATTATTTCAAGAAAAACTTTCGGCAACCTATAAAAATACGTGTCTTTAAAGGTATTAATCGAAAGATTTGGAGTAATTTTAGTATTTACCGCGTAGTCCACGTGTAGATAAATAATTATATGCACTAATCGAAAATATGCGTTGATGAAAATCTAAATCCGCCACGTGTTTAAAGGATAAGTTTTGAACGTATCGTAAATATTAAAATTGCATTTTTTTTTTCTTTTCGGTCCCAGGGAAGGAGGGCTTAGGGCCGATTCCGTAATAATGTAAATTATAAGCGAAATGACATTTGAAAAACGACATAATCGTCACGCGTATCGGATAGCCCAAACACGCAAAGTTCGAAACGGACGATGCGTACGGTATCGCAATAATGTGTTAATCGTACGCCTTGCTGTCGAATAACACGGCCATCGTATTGTGCATAGCGATTTGAGGTATTTTTTAATTTTCAATATACGCGCGCTCGTGTCGTTCACACGGACCCCGCGGACGCGTAAAGCGGGAGACAATAGCGCAAGACAAAATTTGAAAAAAAAAAAAAAATTACGAAAATCCGGACACCGGAGATATGATCGTTTGTTTGCGGACTGGACGGAAAATCGAAAATGTGCGAGGTGTGCGCGAGCAGCGGACAATGCGATATCGCCGGATCGTGGCGGGGAAAAAAAAAAAACAAATCACCCTGTATAATATTATATCGGGCGTACCAAGTATATATTATTTGATCTAATCACCTATATATATATATATATATGTGTGTGTGTGTGTGTGTGTATAATATAATATTATTATATTATATATAATATTGGCATTACGGTACTCTATTGTAATTTCGAACAAACGCTTTGTGCACATCGACGGCGTTCGCGCGGCGGCGGCGGCGGCGGCAGCGGCGGCACACAATATGTGCGGAGTGCGTGCGCGCGAGTGTACGCGGCTGGCGTGTACGTCGTCGGGCGAGAAGTCGAAGGAGACGAAGAAGAGAAGAAGAAGAAAAAAAAAAAAAAAGACTATACTCGGCGTGTTACCAGGTTCAACAACCCGCCGTCGCGTCGTCGGTCGATAATTTCACAAGTTTTTTTTTTTCTTTTTTAATTTTTTTTTTTTTTTTTTTTTATTATCTAATGTGGCCCACGCTCTCGTCCGGAATATTTTGATAATAATAATTATTATTATTATTGTTTACAATATCCCGTCGTCGCCGCGGTCGCAACCGTCGTTACGATTTAAGACGCCGGCCGCGCAATCCGCAGTGCTCGCGACAAACGTACGCGCGCTGGAGGAAAAAGAGCGAGAGAGAGAGAGAGAGAGAGAGAAAAAGGTCTACGGAAAATCGATCTGCGCGTAACCTATTTTATATGTATATAAATATCACAGGCGTATTATTGTCGCGCTGTTGTTGGTTTTGGTCCCGAGTATTGTCTCGTCGCGCGGCGCACGCCAGCCTACCTACCTACATAATATTATAGGCACGAGAACAGTATACCTTTGTAATAAAATATACTGTACGCCGCCCTATACTCGACCGAGATATTATTATTATTATTGCTGCTGCTTTTTTTTCTACGGTATAGAGGCGCTCGGGTGGTTCGGGTTCGGCATAGTTTTCACCGTCTCTCGCGCCGCAGATAAACGCCACGACACAATGCGAAACGAATAAGAATACAAATCGAATAAATATCGAATAATAATAATAATAATAATATAGGTAGAGTTATTATCGCTCCACGGGACTTACCGAAACAGCTTTTGTAAACGCACTTCCGGTATTCTGAAACAAAAAAAAAAAAAACAAAAATTATATTTACTAGAAAAACGACTGGGCGTTCGGAAACGACAAGTGTACAACGCTGTTTTATAAAACAGTATATAAAGTAAGGTAAACTGACATTACGCTAATAATAAAAACCGTACAGACTGTTCGATGATAATCAATAATTTCTTTGTGGAGTATAAGCGTATCGTGTAACAACGATAATATAATATCGTCTAGCCGCTTTTACACCGTATCAAGATTCAATAAGTCGCATACATTATACGCATAATATATCGCATAGTTGTTAAAAGAATAAAAAAAAAAAAATGGAAAAAATAAAAAACGTCACACCGATCACAATAGTAAACCGCGTTGTTACGCGGTATTTAACGTCTACACGATTTCAATAATATTTAACGCGCCTGGTGTGCCCAATCAGCTATATAATACTATACAAACGCGATTTGCGGTATTAAAATATTTTCATTTTTTTTTTTTTTTGTTTTTGTTTTTGTTTTTAAACGCCGTAATATTATTGTGATAATTCAACGTTCGTTGTATTTAAACAACCGCTGAATCTAGTCGGTTATTTTTTTCTCGTACCGAGTGTTTGCCGCCGCCGCGCACCCGAACACAAGTACGGTACCTGTACGACGCGTAAATTGTCGAAACACTAAACTATTAAGTTGTTTGGAAACCGTATTTACCGCAGTATCGGCCCAGAAACGAAAACAATTTATCGTGGCCCAACGAATTTCGGTTCGGTTATTCGTCTGCAGTTCAAACCGGATACCATTCCAATGGCATTAAACGAATCGCATCGCGTCAACAAATCGAATATCGTATAGGACGTATGAGTTTCCTAAAGTTTGTTCCGGCGGAACGTAAGGGTTCGGCGTGGTTCCGACTACGTTCGCTGTTATAATAATATTTACGTCGAAATATGATACGCGTCGTAATCTTGTAACGAGCGAATACCATAATATATTATATCCGAGTGGTTCGCGCAAAGACGACGGATATTATAACATTACAACAGTGGTTTTCAACCATTTACGAATCGCGACCCCCTAATTTTTTTTTTTTTTTTTTTTTTTCATTAACGACGACCCCTTTAAAAATCGTTTGATAGAACCTTGAATAATACGATTTACAGTACACATAGTATGGTTTTTGGCGACCACCGGGTAGAAAACCACTGCATTACAATACGGTAATAAAATATTAAAATCGCTAATATTCGCGATTAACACGCGTCATCGCCCGTTCTCAATAACGTAATTTTCGCGCCTTTTTCGCGTTGTGGTTATTACCGCGAGTTCTTTATAGTATCTCGGGCTATACGGATTGGCTGTCGGCCAACGGATTCGTATACACGGGTAGGTTATCTGTATATTATTATTATAATTAATGACGGCGAGCCGGTGTGACTTTTCTCCGACACCCGATATTCGAATATTGGCTACCGGTATAAAATCGACGACCGACGTACCGCCGCCGACATTTGAAACATGAAAAACTGTGAACCGAACGAATGCATTGTTTACGATAATTCTTCGGTTTACAATGTCAAAGTAAACAAATTGTTTCGAAAATATCGGGTCCAATACAGGTTTTGAATAAAAACCTACATCCGATATTATCAGATACATTCAATCACAATCACAATAAGATTGTGATAATAATTATTTGTATCACACGTGCACATATATTAACAATAATATTAGGGCGTCCAATGTGAATTATTCGATATCGACGCCTATTTTCGTCACCGCGAAGTCGAGCACGCGTCCGTCGAGTAATAAAATGACAATATTCGACGCCGAAATTATTTTCACGCAGATATACACCGATTTCGAGACGGCGAAACGGATAATTGTGCAAAACATCCAATGGTTATTGTCGAAGACTGAAATCACGCGTCTTATTAATATGTTTACGTTGCCAATCGCGTTTTTTTTTTTTTTTATACGTAATATTATTTTTAAAATATCTTTCGATAATATGCGAGTCGTAACCGGAAGACCTTCGGGTCGACATTTTTTTTTCTTTCGTTCTCATCTTCGGTCCGAATTGTTTTTTGGTTTTTTTTTTTTTTTTAATTTACTTATTATAAGCACGGTTTTTTTTTTTTGTGCGCGTTCCCGATCGTAAAAAAAAAAAAAATATCACGTTTCGACTATATTATTAAACACCGCTAATATGATATTAGCCGGCGTCGGAATGGGATTCTACCGCGGCGCGGACCGCCGCAGAGGTTAAGGACACCGGGTCAACCGATGTAAATCGCGGCAAATTCGCGTTTTACAAATTATTTACACGCGTGTTATTATTATTATGTTATCGCCCTTCAAAACGTCACTATGTACGCCGTACGTTTATAATGCAAGCATGCATTATAGATGAGTAACATAATAATGTTATCGTCATTTGCGCACACTGAATCCGTTGCCCGGCCCTTGCGTTGTCGCGTGGCCGCGGTTGCGGGCTGTATAATAATATGAATGGCGCGCATCGCGGAAGCCCGAGTGTAACATTGTAATGCGATCGAATAATATTTGGGCACGGACGTCCATACACGCACTATACGGATTAGAAATAATCGAAAACGAGACAATTTTATTTCAATCCGATTTTATTCATCGCTCATCGTCGTAATTATCGGTTGCAGCCCTGTACAACACGCGCCGGAAAACACAATTATATCGTATATACCTGTGTACCATTATTATACCTTATACCTGCGGATAACGTAGGGATATTATCGAAAAAATACTATTAAATTGAAATTGACAATAATTGACAATTGCTGTCGTAGTTTTTTTTTTTTGAAAATATTTAAACCTACTGTAATAATAATTATTATCGAATTTCGCGCAACCTGTAAAACACTGCGACATTCAAATCGCGATCGCGATCTTTGTCGCGTACGTTATTAATAATTTAGAATCGAATAATATACGACATAGTCAAAGTAATATTCTACTAAATGATGGGAGATCTTGCCACTAAATATCGTTGTTACGTTTAAAAAAGCTACTCGTAAAACGCAAATGTTATCTAGTCGTAAAAATACATTTTAATACCTAGCAAAAAAACCACGTACGGAATGTATACGCAATTTTTCTAAGAAACATTTAAATTTTTATTGCAGATACCTGACACGATGTTGACATTATATATGGTAATAAATTAAAATATTTGAAAAAATAATGATAATGTTAAACGAATCCGTATTTAGGTTTCAGGTGCTTTAAGTTTCGAAAATCAAAATCGCTATATTGGACTTTCGAAAATGTGTATCTCAGTATTAGGAGAGTTATGGATTTGAGTTGAAAAATCGATCCAATGATCGTTTAAAATAAAAATGATTAAACTAAAGAACACAAATCAAATAGTCTTGGTAAAAATGGCAAAAACATGTATATTTGTCGAAACTAAACGACCAGTTTATATTCGTGATTATTAGAGCGAACTTGCTGCAGTTAGTTCGTTGGACCTCCCTGCAGGGAAGAAGAGCTAAAGTAAAATTGTCGGATTTTTTTTTTGAACTGTTTGCAATTTTGTCCAATACAATTTTTTCCCTTTTAGTTGTCAGTATAAATTGCATAAATGTATTCGCAAATGTATAAATGTATTTTAAAAATGAAATATGTTTGTATTGAAAACTGTACAAAATCGACTTAGACCGACGAGATCTAGCGATCGGTTCGCGTTGATTGAAACAATCAACTTTCTTGGCGTACATCCAGTAAATAGTTTACTATTGTAACTTATTATAAATACATATAATAACCATTGTATACGATTCGTTTTTCAGATTTCTTTTCTATAACGAATATATTGGCAAAAGATTTCGTTTTTTTTTTCTCGCGGTGTTAAATTAATAAAACACTCGTCATAAAGACTTTTTTTGTAGCCACACATTGTCGATAGGTAACCAATTACTATATTATAATAATTTATACATATATATATATACATAATAATTTATTATGTTAATGAATGTCTTTGAATTTCATTCGGATACATCTATGTATGTATGTGTGTGTGTGTGTGTGTGTGTATGTGCGTAGTGTGACGTGTGTAGTATTCAATTGAAAGGACCGCGTGAAACAAAAAAAAAATATTCTGTTTTCAATATTTAAGTCCTCGGGCGAATTCGACGACGTCATCACTAATCGTGAGTGTGCTCAGTTATCATTTGAATCATTGCGTTTCGGACATTTATATTCGATAAAATCGATTCGAGAATCGTTACTATCAATTCGCAAACTACATTTTTCGTGATTTGTATGAGTTTCGTTACAATTTAAGGGTTCAACCCAATAAGAACAACGACTATGTGCAATTTTTATAATGAAGATATGTATAGAATTTTCTATGAATCATTCACAAAAATCATAAAAAAAAAACCTCGGAAAATTGCAATAATATTATATATAGTTGTATGAACAACTCGAAATGGCCGAAATATTTTATCATAAAAAATAATAATAACGCTAACGCTAATATACCTGCAAATATACGGTGAAAATGTGCAGGTCGGAGAAACAAAATTATTCATAGACAAAGGGGGGGGGGAAGTACAGATCGTTTAAAATCAATAGCAAAAAAAAAAAAAAAAAATCAATCGATCTATCAAATAGCACAATGTGTACGTCGCTGATGGTTTTGGCTCGAGTCGTAAAAATTATGATGAACACACACACACACGCGCGCGCGCGCACACTCACCGCGGACGATAATATATGAAATGTGTCGCGACAACACACGAATATTGGGCTGTGTGCAGGAATTTTTGGCCGCCTTTCAGACAAATGTCACCGTGTCGTTGTCCGACGAATCGGATTTATAGTGATTTTCATGCCCGCGGCGCGGATATATTCTCTGCGGCTCAGTCGGGGTTTTTTTTTTTTTTCCGTCCCGTTCAATGGCGCGCGGTTATAATATAATATAGGTGCACATACAATACGCGACGATGGTGTTTTCGTCCGGGAAAAAAAAAATTTCACCATTATTGTCATTATATTATTGCCGGCACGACGTAGGACCGATGCGCACTTATCCGTGGCGTACAGTCATTACTACAAATATTTATACGTTTCGCGATTCGCTAAACGACGGCACACACAATACTACTGCGGCGGGCTGCAGTCCGCTGCAGTGTTGACGGAGACATTAAGGCCACACGGCGGCGCACATTATCGTGTTTCGCAAAAAAAAAAAAAAATTGTTTCATAAGAACGCTATAGGTATATATATATATAGGTACTTCATACGGCTATACGGTTAATCTCATCAGTTTAATAATTCAAATTTTGTTAGAAAAAAAAAAAAAAAAATAATAATGAAAAACGCAGTCATTGTTTGTATTATTATAATAATGTTATAAAGCTAATGGTAGGTAATGTCCGCGAATATTTTTTTTTTTTTTTAGTATGTCAATCGTTGTACAAATACGCGTGACATGACACGACGGTTTGACCGACTCTCGTCGATTCGATAAAATAAACGAATACAAATTACCGTTTGCACACACGAAAATCCCGCAAAGTATATCCAATAACAATTATTGTATACAGAGTGATTATTTTATCCCGAACCGGTAATTGTTCATCCGTATTATGTGTACGAGCGTTCAGAGTGAATTTATTTTTCGGTTTTTCTTAACCTATACAACCAAAACTGAATTTACCCAACAGTAACTAAACGGACAGATGGCTATGACTTCTGTGTATGAATAAACCTTAGGTAGTGATTAACTCATCAAATATTATCGATAAATTACGTGTGCGTGTATGCGAGCGAGAGATTTGTTTGCAGGGCGTGCTATACACGGACCGTTGCCCCTCAAGCGAGCCTATAACTCGTCCTGACGGTCGTAACATTATGACAATCCTCGAACGGAGTGATGAGTAAATCTCACGGACAGTGCGGTTGCTAATTGGTTACTTGTGGAAAATTGTCCAATCACGATTTTCACGGGTTAGCACAATATAGGTATGCAATATACATACGAGTATAAAGCTCAGGATAAATACATTTAATCTTAACGGTACGCCGGACGGGTGCGCGTTGCGCGCGCGGCTATACGCACGCGCGACAAATCTAATACGAAAAATATACGAACCTAACCGCGGAAATCGTTTCGGTAAAACGTAATCCCGTCGTAATGCGCGTTGCGCGTAAACGAAATCGTTTCACGGGTCAATCGACGCAGTTCGTCCGATTTATAGTAAACGCGTAACACGCAGTTATTGTTTCATACGTGTACCGCGAATATGCAGTTCAGTAATCACTGTACGAGGCTCGCGATAACAGATAGATAACCGCGTTAATACCGATTACGACGGTTTTTATTACTGTTATTATTATTATTATTTTCTCCCCGCAAGTTACAGAATAACATAATGATACATAATGCGTGTCCATATTATGTTATACTGTACAAACCTCATTAGTCGAGATATAATTATAATAATGCGAAACGTTGAATGGCAATTTACGTGTCACACGAGTACAATATTATTAGGCTGCGCGCGTACAATAAAAACGCGCGTATAGTCGAATGATGACCCGATCCGACAAGTTTGTGCGAAAAACGCTATTGTTTCGCGGTTTCAATAGGCGGCTCGTATAGTTTTTTTTTTTTTTCTTTTTTGAATATCCGATTAGATTTCCGAATTTTCTTGTTCGAGTATATTATACACTCGTGTATCATAACATAATAGCAGTGTCCCGACGGGACGGCTATATTATAGTCGCTGGTGCCGGTACAATAATAATAATAATAATAATAACAACAACAACAATAATAATAATAATAATAATAATAATATTATTCTATTCGCGACTCGCGCGGTGATCGTTCGTTAAAGTCGCCTAAATCTCGCGACGAAATCCATCGAACGCGGGTAATGCGACATCACACCGGGCGCGCGCGAGCAGATAATAATAATATTATAGTATTGCGCGCGACGTACAGGTGGATATTATAGGCACAGCCACAACATCCACGCGTGAGCCGTAAAGAAAATAAATCGAGTGAACATTTCGAAATCTGTATTCGTATTATTATAATGCATACGTACCTATACGGTACACGCGATTTTATTGTTATTGTCTGACGTGTACGCGTATGTGACGCCGTGTGTATACGTCGTTGCCGGGTAAAACACGAAACCAAATAACCAGCGCCGAGTGCGCGACACCGGGCCGCGCGGATGCGTCCCGATTTTTCAGCCGTTTACGAATTCACGTCTCGCGCCGCCTTGACCCATTGGCGGCGCGCGCGTATTTTACTAATAACGCGAACGACCGGATTTTTCGATATTAGCCTAAAAACAAATGCGCGCGTGTCGATAGCCGCTGTAGTATTTCACGCCGTGCACGCCTAGATGTTTTATTGTAACGCGACGGTGTTGTGCGGCGCGGAGACGGCGCGCGGAGCCAACTGGAATTTTACCGCGTTTCGCGAAACGCGGTTCGGCTGTTGACTGCTGCGGTGACGACAGCGGCTCGTTCGAAGTTCGCTGCAGCGTACACGATACGAAAAAAAAAAACACAAATAAATGTTCACCAGACCAGCGGCAGCAGTACGGTCGTTTAAAAATCCACTCGTCGTCGATGCGTACCCACAGTTAAGTACATTATTGACGGCGAGATTACGACGTATATTGGACTGCGCGTGAATTCGATTTTGGCCAAAGGCCGGTGGCCAATAATTCAAGGTTTTCGGTAGCAGAAATATAATATAAAGTCAATGGCACTATACTTCGGTAACAGGTGCGTCATAACTACTACTAAAAAAAAAAAATATAATAAAAAAAAAATCTCCTACGATTTTCACTGTCTTTGCAAGAGAGGCCTTCGACCTCATCATCGCCGTCTGTCGGTCCCTATGAGATGATAGTACAGTAGTTTAACGATTAGTTACGATCAATTTTCCAGAAAAAAATTACAAAAATACGAAAATATTAGATATACTACGTGTATAGATTCTCCTGCGCGGTTTTACGACGATATGAAACTGAAAAAAAAAAAAAACCGTCGCGATGATTTATATAAATATTACACAAAAAGCGCTACGTATAGCTTCGACCGGGTAGTTGTGCAGAATTGTGCAAACTAACGATTTTCGACGTTGCAGTACGCCACGAGGCACCCAACAAACATATTTCACATGTTTTTTCTTCCGCATAATATACAGTGAGAATATTATTTTACAAACTAAAAATAAATAAATATTAGTTTTATAACATCACGGTTTTATGATGGTTCACAAAAATCGTATTTTTTTGGCCAATTTAGCAAACAGAAAAAAGAAGATATTGACGGTTTCGTGATTTTTTTTTCATATAAATCTAACGTCATAGTCGTACGTCGTAGTAAACATAATATTATTATAACATAATCATCGTGTGTAATTCGTCGTGTAATTGGAATAAGTGACCACGTTTGGGATATTATAAACAATAGTATTACTGATGATTTTTTTTTTTCTTCAATTCTATTCTTCCGGATAAACGGTTTCGCCTCGGCGAATAACGCACGAAATATAATCATATGGTTTTTTTTTTTTTTTATGGTAATGATGGGTTAGGTTTGCGTGTGGTTAACCGTATACATATTAAGCACATCGTCAGCTCTATTCCGTCTCTTTTCATCTCCCACTGTTGTGTTTTCATCTATTTATCGCGGTGGCGGACGTCATGCCAGTGGCAATTACCGTATCAGTTCGAGTGACATGCTCTGCGCAAAGATGACGGCAAGTTAGTGCGCGCGAGCGAATAGAAAAAAAAAATTTTAAAAATTGCGACAGATAAACCGTAGATGATGAAAATATATATAAATATAAAAAATAACGTACACTACGAGCATTCTCACGAACTAAACGTTTTTTTTTAACATTTTGTTTCTGTTTCGAAAAAAAAAAAAATTGCGAACGCATACTGCATCATTAATATAATACTATTCTATTCGCAGTTGGTTCGTGAACGATGGCACACAAAACTAGAACTGCAAAATGAGTCGTTGCTAAGTCGCAGCATGAGTCGAATTTTTAAAGGCAAAATTTCTAATTTAATAATAATATTAAATTGTATAATTTTACCTTGCGGTTAACTCCGATACAATGGCCGGATGTAGAAGAAAATAAAAGTTGTATTTCTATAAAAGTATTTTTAAAATCGTAATTATATTACGAATCAAAGTTGGTAAATATTATACAAAAAGTTATCGTGAGAAATTCGTTTGACTTTTGAAAATATTGAGAATTTGATTTGGGTACTATACGGCCGTTACAGTGGCGTTTGTTGGTCTTTGTCTTTCTCGAGCGATTTAGCCAAAACGTGTTCACGTAAAATTAACGAAAATGTCTTTAAAACCGGTTAAAAAATATAATATATAATAATAAGAATAAAACATTTGTAGATGACAAAATATCTAAGACAATCTCATTGTCGTTCGACGATATTGGCTGTTCCACACACGTTTTACAACTTTTCTTACGAAGTTATGTGTGTTTCAATTTCGTATTTGAAAATTTGTGGTTGAGTTGTCAGAGTTGTGGTTCCGCGAAACATCAATTATTTTCTAAAGGCACCGTTCAAGAACTGCCGCTCTAAATGTACAACGCGTTATGGCGCTACGAAAAATCGTTTTTACATTTTGTTTTATATAACTGTAACTTTTTCAGGCGATGCGCGTAATTCACGTTTCACAAAAACGAAGACGGTCCACGTGGCTGTCTTCGAAATGGTGTCAACCAGACGTCGGACAACGGGCGTTTCGTTTCTAAAACCGATTTTCAAAGGCGTTTTGCCCGTTCGTTTCACGCGAACGCGTTATCGAGTTATCATGTCGCCGGTTAGAAACGCCACAGCGGCGGCCTCGGGAAACGTTTCGGTTTACAGCTACGGCCGGTCAACCGGACGCGATAAATATTTTGCTTTTGCGGGCTATACAACGAGATATTCTAAAAATAAATACCGGTACATCGTGGAATTAAGATACATTATGTTATTGCTATGAGTATAATATTATTAGGAATGCTTTATACCGCTATATTATTTCATTGAAAATCCACAATGGCTATTGTGGCGTTCGAGATTGAATGTACTGTAGCGAACCGCGCGGTAGAAAAATAAACAAATAACAACGTGGTAACACTGCGGTACGGGTAGGGGGGAAAAGAATATAATAACAGTACGACGGCGTCGGTCGTGAAAATTAAAAAAAAAAAAAAAAAAATGTCAACGAAGCCGATACACGGTTATATGAATCGATAATTATTTTCCGGGCGTTACGACAGCGGCGTACCCGGGACTTTGGGCAAACGCAGCGGACGGAAATCGCGAAACGCGTCTGCGCGTCCGTTTCTGGCCCGCGGTTATGATTTCGAATTTACGGAATTCGCGCGTAAGCAATACCGTCGCGCCGAGCAGGCGACAGCGCAAGCGCAAAGGCGCCCGTTCGTCTGTGACAAACGTATGCGGTTTTCAGTTTGGTTCGCCCGCTTGTTTCGCCGGGCGGACGCGGCACGACCGCGCGGGGCGTTAGGTTTTCCCGGAGCCCCGGCACCGGCGTCGGCCTCGCGCACCGGCGATCCGGTTCCGGGGGCCGAACGCCGCGTTACCGGCGCCGGGTGGCGCCCGCCGCTCCGGTTTTTCGTATCGTTTCGGAAACCGCGCGCGCGCGCCCCGGGAAAACCCCCGAACGGCGGTACGGCGGAGCAACGGACAACGCTGCGCCGGGCGAGCTCGGGAAATCGTTTCGCGGCGTTATTACAATAATTATGCCGCGGTTGTTATTTACGTATTATTATCGCCGTCCCCTCCCCTGTCTGCCTCCCACCCCTTGCGCGTGCACGTGTATATGTACGTATATTATTGTTCGCCGCCCGGCGAACCGACGCGCGATGACGGCCAAGGTGGTCACTGACCTTGTGTACGCGCGCGCGAAAACGCGGAGACGCGCGAGAGAGACGGACGGACGGGCGGGCGGGCGGAGCGGGCGAGCGGGCCCCCTCGGGACCCCCGGGTTTTCGGTCGGCGTTTGTAGACGTTTCGCGGGCGCGCGCGCGTGTGTACAAGTGCACAAGAAAGAGAAACACGCGCACACGCGCACACTAACACAACAATGGCCCAAATAATAACAAATAATTGCGGGCTCTGTCGTCTTCATTAAAATTATATCACACACGGCCATTATCGTTCGTACTCGGTTGGTTTTTTTTCTCGCTCGCTCTCTCTCTCTCTCTCTCTCTCTCACACGGCCCCCCCCGTATATTACCGTCTCTCCTGCACATCCGCACATTGTGTTTGCGGTCATTGCGCGGATTCTAACCCCTAGAACTCCCTTGGGTCAAACGCGTTGCCGACACTCTTTACAAGTATACGCGCGCGCGTTGGTTTGATATTTTTTTTTCTTATTCACTACGCTAATTTATCGGTTTTCAAACGGCGTTCTCGCGCCGTGTACCGTATAGCGGCGAGACTCCGCGCGACTTTGCGGCGATTCCGCGCAATTCGAAGCGCCGTAACGACGCGATATCGCGCCGTTTTCGTTTTCGAGCGCGTCTTCTCGTACGCGCACGCACGTGCGTACGGGCAAGAGCCGACGGGGAGAATTTCAACTCGATCGCCGTTGTTTTTGTTGTTGTCGCGGGCTGTTGCGAAACCGCGGCAGACCACGTGAAACGATTAGAAATCGTCGCCGCGCGCAAACGCCCGCGGTGCGCGGACGCGTTTATTGTTCGTACGGAATTGTTATTTTCGGCCGAAACCGTAGAAACGCACGCGCGCGCTCGGCGTCGGACGTTCGGCGAAAACAATTCGACGGCGACACGCGCGGCAGTCCCGCGCCGTTGCGGTAGTCGCGGCGGTTTCCGACATTTGTTTCGATTCCCCGCGATTCCCCGCCCTCGCGCAGTCCGCGTCGCCCCGCCGTCGAAATACGACTACGCGCTCCTCGGTATCCGTCTGCGATGCCGTCGGCGCCGTTCCATTTTAAATCTCTGATTTTATCACTCGCGCCGTGTTTCCCAGACGGTCGACGAGACGCGGTGGACTAGACGCGCTTATCTCGTTTTTTATTTATTTATTTATATTTTTTTTTTTTTTTTTTTTTTTTTTTTTTTACGGCGATAGCCGATAAAACGGTCGTGATGTTTAATCAGTATTATTATGGATTTAGGTTACACACGACGACACCGCTTAAAAACCCACGTTCCTTAAATATTACACGGTGCCATCGACGATGCCATTACAGACGGATTAAGGAACACGCGGGCGCGTGACGCGTTGAAATACTAGGCGTCAAACAATATTTGAACTGTATAGATTTCGGAGAGACTTTGACGGTCTCATTGAAAAGATAAAAAAAAAATTCGCGATCGCGCGACGGTAACGGCAATAATACCGTTTGGTTCGAAACGGTTTAGGATTCTCTCATTTTTTTTTTTTTTTTTGCTATTCTTCGACGATTTCGTGTCGCCTCTACACCGGGTCCGTGTCGTCGCGGGGCGACCCCGGTTTGTGACTGCTGATTCGGTCGATACGAGGCGCAGTATTGGACATTTCGAACGATATTTTCTCATGCGCGGTATTACAATTTAACATTACATAGCCACCCGCAGTCATACGCGTACGCCAGACGTGCTCGAAAACCAGTTTTCACAGTCCGCTTTCGGCGATACCGTATTATTATAGGTGCCCCCGTACCCGTCTAGTCATAACGACGTACCGATATTGTGGCCCGGGTTTTCGTTAATATCGTTGTTATTACGCATGTTATTTTATTGTGCTTGTGCGCGCGCGCGCGTGTGTACGCAAATTGAATATCGCATAGGCCGTCCTACCGAATTAAATGTCGTCCGGAGGCGTAACGTGAAAACATTATATTAGTGTAACGCCATATAGCTGGCCCGCCGCAGGCCGTAAGGACAAACAACGACATTATTTCGGACACGTATACGCGCGCGCCGATCAAACGCCGTCGTCGGTTTTACCAAACCCGCCGTTCGGCCGTTCCTGTCGCCTCGCCGCCAGCCCTTTTTATTACAGCGCTAGTGTCGGCTGCGAGAAAAAAAAAACATTGGCCGGACCAACAGGAATCAACGGATCGGACCTAAACGGCCCGTAAAAGCCAACAGTGAAGAAGACAACTATAATCTATTTCGCGTTTCGTATTCGTCGAATTTCCGAACCATTATCGCGAAAAAAAAGTCCGTTTTCGAGTTGTTGCAGTTTTCAACCGGTCATTCGAAATAATATAATCCGATGATAAATAGTCTTTCTTCCGAGTACGGGCAATCGTTTCTAATCGAACGATCATGCCTGCAGTCTGTTCGGTTTTATTCGTGCATTCGCTATTCGTTCATTCGAAAAACGCGTATAATGCGTACGTTATTATTATTATTATTATACAGTACTGCCGAAATATTATACTGCTGCGTTTATTGGATAATTATGTAGTCGGATAAATCGTTGTTATTTAGAATCGAATAATAGTATCGAGTTGTACGTAGGTTGCCAATGCGCGCAGCTCGATCCAGTACCGTTTATTAACACGGTGGAATTCAATTTTCGCCGAGTCATTTCGAAACAAAACGTATTTTCAGTCTTCTTTTCACACCGACAAAGGCCCGCGGGACGAATTTTACCTCGACAGGTGTCCAAAAAAATATCTGCTCCTTTTTGTACGGCGCCGAGCAAAATCCCTTTTTTCGCTCACTCGATTCAATACTTGTTGCAATACAAGTGGGCTTTCGATATCTGTCCAACTAATCTTCGTTGTTCTTCTCCAAATTCACATTTCCATCGCCTATACCGTATTATAACAGTACGCTCTACACATGTCATTCGGCAAAGATTTTTTTTTTCTTGTCTTTGTAGAGTAAGTTTTTTTCGCTACGGCTATTTGCTGACTAATTTTGTACTGAACATCGTACACCACTAGTTAAAACTGCGATTCAATAAGAATCTGTAATACTTAACTAACTAATAAATTATTATCGTAGATATTTCGCAGAGACGTGATGGTAAAATAATATCGTCACGTTGGCGTATAGTACGATACTATTTAGCCACCGAAAGAAATCATACGTTTCGACAATTTTCAGGTAAACCGGTTGCCGTCTGACAATACGTTTTTTGGCTGAATTTCAAATATTAGACCAGTTTTTTAAATTTTTTTTTTTTTTTTTTACGGTCTGCGTGATATACGTACGGGACATTTTACCCGCAGTGTAACTATTTTTTCAGTATAGTGATACACGGCGTGCGTAATTTGGCGAGTGAAAAAAAAGCGAATCGAACAGCGATGTAAACATTATCGTTCACGTCTGCCGGGTTCTCCGCCACCGCGGTCGTAGACAAACGTGATTTTCGAATAATATTACAATACACTTTTGTACGCTGGAACCGACAACACATACGTAATTTAGGTAGGTGCCTGCGTACACTTGTACTGCAGACACCGGCGGCGGATAGCGACGGACAGACGTGTGGGGGACTCCGATCGGGAGGGAGAGGGGAACACACAAAAATCACACGGCGATAACAGAATAATTGTTACTATCGAAATATCATAACTGAGTTGCGGCGTTGACCGATAGTACGAGTTTTGATTGACGGGTTTCGGTACACAAAACAACATTATAACATGACGCGTGTACCTAAACGTACGCCAACCGTACTTTATGATGTGCTCACGACGTTCGGGATATTCGAAACCGTTACGCCGGGGAACGGGATCGGACCCTCGAGTCGGTTTGAGAAAAGAAAAAAAAAAAAAATTAGAATAATAACCCAGTGATCGAGTGCATAGCTGGTATCGTACCGACGAGGCCGTTCGCACGCGTATAACAATACCGTCGGCCGAACGTCAATATCGTTATTGTTATTGATCTCTGTCCTCTCGTTATCTCCGATTGTAGACTATATTATACAGATACGTTATGTAAATATTATTCCGGTCGGGCTCGTTTGTCGTAGCACGCCTTTTATTCGCACGCCCACCGAAGACACAACCGGCAGAGCCGGCGGTGTATTCCCGTCCGAAGAGAAAACTAATCAATTTACCATTCGGTCGGTTCGGTATTCTACCGTCTCGGTTCGGTGTACGCGTGTACAAGCTCGCGTCAAATTTAAGCGAAAACCATCGGAAATCGTAGCCGTACGAGATCTATTTTGGATGTTTTTTCGGGCGTAATCGTTGTCGTAAGCGGAATCGATTCGACTGCAACAATTTCTGCAGACGTTTCGTTAACGCGAACGACACGTCATTTTCGTTTATTCGATTTGTTTTTATTTTTTTTTATACGGTCGGTTTTTATAAGATATAAAAAGCTCGAATCGAAACCAGCTGTTGGGCGAGACGATCAAAACCGCCCGCGAGGCCTTAATAATGGCTCCCGGACACGCGAAAAAGAACGCGAAACGAGTACGGTCGTCGCAGAGGATTGGCAAACAGTGAAAAGCGCATTGGAACCCCTTGCCCTACGCTTGTGATTCACGGCCTTTTTAACTTCTAACTCGTTTCGACGGACATCTCTTTTAACACGCATAATAAGTCTCGAGTATCTAATAAAAAACAAAAAAAAAAAAAAAAAAAAAAAAAACGATACCGTAATATTATTACAATAAACGAGCGGTTGGATATTTCACGCGAAATTATATTATCGACGCGTACCCGGTATAAACCGCCGTATAAAACGGCCGAAAATCCACTTCCGAGCCCTCTAGTTTTCGTGAAAAAACTCGTTCGTATCCGGGACGCGCGGGACTCTAGGTCGAAAAGTCCGTAAAACAAAATCGATTTCCGTATATTTTTCTACACGTATAGGAACGTACGTACAATATCTATACTCTGTTTTAGGTATTTACTTTTATTTTTTTTTTTTTGACCGGTCGCTTGTTCGAAAAAAACGACGAACGTTATTCCGTATCCCATACGGAATTTCGTCGTCCAAATTGTTTTTTTTTTATATATAAACGGGACGTTTCGTCCCCGGACCTTCGAAGGCGGTCCGACGATGTTCCGCTCTCGGACTCGCCCGGGGCCGCATTGCCGCGCAAAAAAGTCTCGAGATATTAAAATATTATTGTTCTGTTTTTTTTTTTTTTTTTTTTTTTTCTAAAAACAAATTTCACACGACGCGCCGCCGCCGGCCGGACCCGGTAACATTCGGATCACGTTCGCGGCGAGCCGTGAGCGAGAAAGAGAGAGGGAGAGACATTTTTAACGGGGCTGCACCGCAACGACCGTCGGCTCTCCCGCACGCGGTCTCGCGTCGGGTCCGCGCGCGTACGTCACCCGCGCCCGGACTACGGGCGTACCGTCGAGCGGGCGTTTCGTTCCCGTCGTCGTCGTATTCCCTGTCCGTGCGCGTCGGCTGACCCACTGACACCGGATAATATCGTCGGCGGCGATCGAATAACGCCGAAGTGCGCGATATGCTTTTTAACGATATAATAAACGATAACAATGTAGCGGCGATATTCGTGTCGACCGTCGTGTCGTTCGCGTTATTTATTTTCGTCGCGTATCCGGGAATCCGGAACGGACGATATTTTTCGGATCGCGTCAAGGTCGCCCGCGCCGCCGCCGCCGCCGGGACGACGACGGTCCGTCTCGCGCGGCGGGACACGCGCGGCCGCCGCCGGGCCGTACCCACCGCTGGTATTTTTCGCGTCGCGCGGTTATTCGTTTTTGTTTTGTTTTGTTTTTTTTTTTCAGGTTTCGTTTCGTTTCTTTTTCTGCGTGTAAATGGATCGCACGGCCACCGGCGGCAGCAGCGTGGCCGCATCTCCGACGCACGAAAAGAAACGGAATACGAGCCAGTCGGCCGGGTTGGGAAGGGGTGGGGGGAGCGAAACGTTTTCCGATCGCCGCCCGTACGGGTGTCGCGAGAATTCCACGCGAAATTTCGCTACTCGTCCCGCGGGGTCGTTCCAGCCGTTCGACGAATTTGGAATTTTCATCTCGTGTTTGTTGCACGCGCGAAAGTCCACCGGCCGAAATAGCCGCGTATTCGCGACGGCAGTCTTGAACGAGATGCGTCTCGTAAAGACGTGACCGAACGGAAGTTTTACCGTGCGCGCGATAACGCAGTGACGTAGCGCGGTCGCGGCCGGCGGTCCCGCGGAGGCCGCAGATTCCGGAATACTCCGTGCGGCCGACGGTTTATCGCGAAACGAACGCCCGTCCTACACGCAGCTTCCGTACAAACGAAACGAAATGAAAAAAAAAAAAAAAAAAACAATAATAATAATAACGATAACGTTTGTCGACGATCGAACGGTAACGGCGCTCCGGCGCGGACCGGTCGCGGCCACTTATGGCTCCGGAGAGCAACCGGTTATTCGGCCGGCCGTTTCCGTCCGCGGCGCGTGTGTACGGTTTTCGCGCGAGGGTCGGTGGTGCGCGTACACGTCGCGTTCGCGCGCGCCGGCTAAGCATCCCGCAGCGGTCGCGGACGAGACGGACGAACGGAATAATTATATACGCTTACGCGGTCGGAAAATGGAACACAACAACAACAACAACAACAACAACAACAACAACGCTATGTACGTAGTACGCGGACCGGACGGAGGTGCACCGCGTGTAGTATAACGTACAGTCACGGGGATGCGCGCGCCGCCGCGTCGGACGCGCAACAGTAACGCGGTCGCGACACGTACCGATGTATCGCGACCGCGGTACACGCGTGCGTACAAACGCGAGTGTAAACCCCTGTAAAATCCCGACCGACCCGACGGACGGGACGCGGGCGATTCGAGGCCGAGGCCGCGGCGTCGAGAACAGCGCGCGCGGACAGAAACGAACGAAACACGAATTCGCAATACTCGCGTTTGCGTCGGACGCGTTATTGTTATTACGAGACGCCGGTTATTACAACGATTGTTTTAGTTTTCGGGGGGTTTACGCCGTAGCCGGAGACGCGCCATACGTTATCGGGTCAGGTACGGCACCGGTCGTGACCGGCCGCGAGGCTGCCGGTCGTGGCACGCGTGGCGCGCGCTTCCTCGTTACATACGCCGCGGCTACGGCGACCGCGTCCTCTCCCCGAGAGCATACGGAGCGATAATTTTGGTTTGTTTTTTTTTATTATTTTCACGTCGCGATCGTCCTCCGGGCACGAAACCGACGTGTACGACACGAATATTGTCGCGCTCGTTATTCGGACGGATTTAAAAAAACAATAAAAACCGTTGAAATATCTGCAGGATCCGGCCGGACGACGGACGTCGCCCGGGTCCGAGACTGAGAAACGACGGAGATACGACACAGCCGTGTTTTCAAGCGTGCGTTCACTGTCTGCGTACGGTACACCGACAATGACGCGGACGCGATCGCGGTCGTACCCGGTACCGGTGGTAACGCCGGCCGGCGATGTCGACTTACCGGCGTACGTACGCGATTGTCCGCAGCGGTCCGCGCGTTTCTCTAGTCGCCGGCGACGACGACGACGATAATAATAATGGCGGGGATATCGTTCGACTGTATAACATTATATTGCTTTCCGGTTACGGGGGAGGGGGGGAGGGGGAAAGAAAAAAAAAAAAAAATTGAAAAAAAAACCGCATCGCGACGAAGACGGGATCGTAAAAAAATAGGGGAAAAGTAACCGAGCGCACGGGTACGATAATAATACGCGCATTACAATAACATATGAATCGTTGTCATCGTAAAATCGTCTCCGAGTACATATCAATATATTTTTATGAACCCGGCGTACCTATTACAATATTACGGAGCCGCAGACATCGCCGGATCATATCGCTCGTTATCGTAGTCGTACGAGTCGTACGCGAGCGACTCTACCTCCCCCTCCGCCTCCCCCCACCGGGGGCCGAAAACAAATACTTACGCTTTTTCAAAACGCCGCCGCTGCGACCGACACACGCGCTGGTATACGCATTTTTTTTCCACGTCCTACCGTGTTTGCGTTTCCCTCGCCCTCGAATGGAACGCGGCGGCGGCGGCCCATTTTTTGTTCATAATATCGTGTAGAGAGGTATTGTACGGGTACCGACCGTATACGAGGTTATAGGTTAGGCTTCGGCTGCGTATATGTACCTAAATAATATGTACCGACACCGTCGCCGTCGTCGTCGCGATGATGATATTATTATTGTATTATATTTTATATGTGTTTGCTTCGGGAACGGAGATCGGATAGACGGAAAAAAAAGGTCGGTGCCGTCGCGATGACGGGCGCGCCGCTGTTTTTTGGAGGCGAGTTGAAAGTGAGCGTATCGTTTTATATTGTTACGGTGTAATAATAATCAAGTTCATATAAAACGCCGGGAACGGTAAACGGCTCCGCGACCGGAGTATTTTTTCCGCGGTGTCGTCCCAATCGTTCCGCAGAGATCGACCACGCACGAATCCGTCGGTTTTTCGCTATCCGTCAGGACAACCGCAACGAAAATCGAAAACATGATATCGTTAACCACGGATTAGAAACGCTACGCGAAAGTCCGTGAAAAGTTTTTGATCGGACCAATATTTCTGGCTGAAAAGTAGTATAATGTTATTTGTACACATTCTCGTCGCACGCCTAATAGAAACCGATTGCAGTTCTTCTTGGACAGCGATCGCTGTTTTCGGTCGATAAACCATCAAGTCCGCCAGAAACTCTCAATGCCCTGCGAGTCGCGAATTTTTCCGGACATTTCGTACGCGGACAACGACGATGACGACAAGATCCGGGCCTGGTATATTATTATGCGATCACCTGCCGCCACTCCGGAAACCAAATCTCCGCACCCATTCGTTTACAGCGCTCGGATTCGTGCGGTGAATTCCCGGAAAAATAACGCCGTAACAATAAAATCCGCACGGCCGCGGTTGTTTTGACCGCAAAAAAAAAAAAAAAAACGATCGTTGTTTTTGTTTTATCCTTTTCATTATTATTATACGCTCAGGCGGCGCCGTGCAGTTGATCGCGGTGATCGGAAATAGGGCCGCGGAAGGGGCGGGTCGGTGGAGGGAGACCAAACATTATTTACTGTAGCGCGCGTTTAGCCGCGATGTTCTTTTTATTTGAAATGTGAATCACGTTTACCGCGTGCGCGCGTGTGTGTGCATTGCCATTACAAATTGTTCGCACGGGTCCGGTTTTTTTTCCCTTCATATTTACACACTCGCAAATCGTATTAAACAATAATTTGCATCGTAATGTACAGATCCGGACGACGACGACGATGACCGGGCAAAAGGCGCACGGAAAATATCATATATTTTGTCCACATTTTCTCTTCACGCGATACCATAAATAACGACAAGATTACTGTTGTTACGGGTTATCATCGCAATCACTATACTAATACGTGTACATTGTGTGTATACGTAGGTACACGACGAGTGATTTTTTTTTTTTTTTTTGAAAAGCCGACAGGCGCCGGACTAACCGTTCGCACCGATCCTCACGTCCGTATTTGACATCGTTTTTCGGGACGACGTTAAGGTCGAGCGGGTCTCTCCCCGCGAGGACGGCTGATTTCCACGCCGAGGGACGCGTTACGCGATCCCGAACGGAGAGTCCGGAAAAGACCCTATTTCGCGTTTCCCCGGTCATTAGCGATACTGCTGCGTGCAGTAGCCGTCGACAAAATAACATAATAACGGTCCCCGGCGGACGAATCAATTCGGATCCGTTCTCCCGCGAGTCGACCTTTAAACGGGCAAAGGGCACTCTCGCGCGGGGGTGTAAAGTGCAAAGGGCCGACGGTCGTTAATCATTGTCGCGTCGAGGGGGAGCATCGATACGGCCGGCCGCCCGTAATGATATAGGTATTATTATTATTATTGTTATTGTCGGGCACGTGTTCAAGGGGGGCGGAGTTAGGGGTTCAAACCCCCCTCCCAATCCCAACGAAATTCCACGAAAATTATGACGAAAGTCGATTTTTAATAGAGTCTCAAAATCGGTCTCTGTCGACGAGGAAGACAAATACAATTTTGATTTTATTTTAATTTTGTTACTAAATAGTAGGTGTACCCGTATTAAACTTTGTTATTATTGTCATTGCGAATTTTTCATGGTATTTTATGGCTTTTCGAACAATATAACTGATACGGCGATATTGAATACAGTCCGCGTTATCATCACAATGATATGAATTACGTTATCATTTAGGCTGTATTCGCTAAAAAAAATATTAAATGTACAATTACGTATTATACGGGTACCTACCTATAAAAGGCTAAATGAGTGTTATAAAAACGTTGACATTTTGATTGAAAACTAAATAATCCTACAGTTGAAAGTATGTAAACTTCTCTGTCATAAAAGTAAGAGTGTGTGTACAACCTTCACCCTCCACCCCTCCGAAATATTTTTTTGTAAACGCATCTATTGTTATTGTTATTACCGATACGGGTATACGCGGCGCGGCGGTGTCGAAACTGCCGAATTACGACGCGACTATGAATATGATAATATTCGCTATTCCTGTATTTTCGGCGGTTTCCGAAATCAACCGGGAAGAAACAGCAGATTTAACGTATCAGATTCGCCTCTAGAAACTATAGTTCCCCCCGGAAGTGTTTACGAAACCGTAACGCGGTTTCGGTCGTTTTTACGTGAAAATTTCGTGTTTTTTTTTTTGTTTTTTACCAATGATCAAACAAGAAAACTATCGACTAGCTACGATAGCAATACGGTTTTCCGATTCGGGAAACGAGTATCCGTTCCAATGTCATCTGCAGCAGTGCTTATACTAATATCGCCGTGCGCGTGTTGTTCTCCTCGCCGGTTTCGCAACAGTCGCGATATTAACGTTCGTGTCGTAAGGGATTGAATATGTTATTTGACGGTTCGGGTGTAAAATAACACCCGTTCCACCCGCCCCACGAGTTTTGTATACGACCGCGCGTACAGTTTGTTCGATATTTTTGTTTTTTATGATTTGATATTACACACAAATTTCGCGGTCGGTAAAAAAAAATTATGTATACATATTATAGTATTAATGTTTATGTACAAACGAACACTTACAAATCGCGTGCAATTTTTGTATTCGCAATTACCTATATCACACAATCGCATTGTACGTGATCGGAACAACTGTGACATTCAACCGTGCACAATAATCGTCGTAAAATGTTCCCCTGGTAATTTTAGGACAACCAGACGGGTTCAACAGAATCGGACCGTCCGGATTCCGCGCCGCTTGTACTCGTTTACGGGCGATTTTCGAACACGTCACCCCGTCGGCGAGACGCTATATTGTAAATCGCGCGATCGAAATTTTACGTACCCGCGCAGGGTTTGGTTCGCCGGTCGCCGTCGGTTAACCGCGAACCGAATTCGAGAAATGAGTTATGGAATTTCGGCCGTTTCCGAAGGTTACGTTGTGCTGTTACACAGGCGATTCTCGGATTACCGAGAATTCGAACACAACGCGCGTATATAAATGTATACAGGGCGATTCGCTAAGCGCGGTCGCCCCGTTTTCACGGTCGAATTCGCCGTGCATTCGAATTCCGATTTTCGGAATATTTAAGTGCGGTCAAAGCCGATGTTTTCGAATACTCAGATTTTATCGGAGAAAAGCTTAAGTGAACGCGCCGCCGCGTGCGTGAATACGTACGCGCGTGTACGTAGCTCGTGAACGTTAATACGCGCGCGCGCGTCACCCGAGACTTCTTGAGGCGACTGGCGAAAAGAAATATATACGAAAAAAAAAAAAAAAGAGAGCACCCAAACAGGGAGGAGGATTAATTAATTACGAGGAAAAAAAAAACAAAACGCGTTTGCGGTGCAAAGTGCCCGTTGACGGTGGCGGGCGGCGGGGTCGCGGTATGTCGACCGAACATAACGGAAGATATTATTATAAGCGCTTCGGGAAAAAAAAAAATGTATAAATATAATACGATATGCGCGTATGCGAGAACTGGTTTCGGACACCGGATACCTCAACAAACCCGTCTCACCTTGGCCGCTATTTATACGATATTATTTCCCCTCCGCCCCTCCACCGTCCGTCGCTTGGCCGTTCGCGTTTGACCGAAAAGTGTAAACGCGCGTTCGGGCCTGTCACGGCCCCGGGCCGTTGACTTTTTATTACGTCTCCCGCAAAAATAACGTCCGACAGTGATAGCGATGTCGCGGCTCGAGTATAAATTGCGTACGCGCGACGACGCGTTATTGTCGTCGCAATCGCACGAATTAATTTACACGTTTCCGTTGATAATTTCGCGCGTACTCCGGGGTTTTTTTTCGTTTTCGTTTTCCGGCGGAAACAAGAGCGGCACGCGGCTCACGCGAAACATGCGGCCGATTTCGCGGTCTCGGGGACGCGAATAGACGGGTTTTCGCGATCGTCGTCGAAAGTCTACGATAAAAGTTTGATCGCGAGGAAACTACAACGAAAGTTTCTGCCGTCAATGTACGGCCGCGGTGTACGAAAAAAGACGATAAACACCCGTCGTCACGGCGAACCGCTGTGGTTCGTGGGTATTCGGGACGTACGGTGTGACGCCGGAACGGAAACACGACTCTGGGCGCAGTAGTCGTTTCTATGCGTTTTCCACGGTGTCACTACACGGTGATCCGGAAATCAACAAAATATGAAAAAAAAAAAATAAAATAAAAATATATGTCTCGCGGGTGAACATCGAAGATAAACGTTTCAAATCCAGTACGGCCGGGTAGAAATCTCGCATATTCGCGTGAAAGAAATCAATGTATATTAGCCTTACCGAGAAAATGTTTATTTATTTTAAACTCGAAAAAATAAAACGATGCAAATGCGAAAATCCGTATATTTTAAGGTAATGACGGCGAGGGAAAATCGGAGCATTTTCACTAATCTTAAAAATGTTTTCCGCGGGGAGCGAAATGACGACTGCAGATTATTGCACGCGTACACGAGAAATTGATAACTCCGCGCGAATATCTACACGTGAAAAGACGAACGACACACGCGAATCATCGTAAATTCGCTTGTCACGCGAATTACGCGGACACCCGAAATGAATGTTCGTGTATACCCGTGACACGGATACACGGGAGCAATAAAAAAAAAAAAAACGTGTTCTATCGAGGCCTCTAATTTTAATGGGTCTTAAAACGTAGTTTAACAACCCCGAATACCGTTATTATAATATCGTATTTATCTTAATGAATCGTTAAATTGCACACACACACACACACACACACACACACATACACGCAAGTGCATAAAGATTTATCAAATTTTCGTGTAATCTGACATAAATTATAATAGATTCAGCGGTTTTTTTTTTTATTAAACACTCGTCATTCGTGTCAAGGAAATATGATACTCATAATCGTATTATTGTATGCAGTGGGTTTTATGTGTATTTTATTATTATTTTTTTTTTTTCTTTTAATAATTCTACCGCGGTAATAATTATTATGTTTTGCAGTTATAAGATTAAAAAGAAAAAAAAACGAATTAATTATGAGTTCAAACACAATGAAAAACGAACTAAACGCCGCGGTTTAAATACGTTTTCTCGCGTGATTGTTTGTACACGGATCGTATCCATCGCGAGTTTCCGGAGAGCGAAAAAAAAAATAAATACCGGCAATATTTGTACGCGGGCGTTGAAAAAAACATAAAATAAAATAAAAAAATCCGCGAAAAAACCGAAAACATAATAAACGTCCCGTGTTTATTACGACGGCGCGGCGGCCGGTGGGAACGGCGCCGTTAAAAAGTAAAAGTATTGGGCAATTCGTTGCGATAAACCGTATTGATTGTATTTTATTTGCCGAAGAAATACAAAACGAAAAAAAAAACCTTCGCCTCGAAGATCACTAAACGATCGCCAAAAAAACACACACACACCGAACCCGTATCCTACGCTCGGGTATGCCGATAACGTAATTATTATTTTATTGTTTGTCGGCCGGTGCGATTATCGAGAAAAAAAAAAAACGCTCGATCCGCACTTACGATTGTATTGATTTTCAATCGCGTAAACCCACACCGACACGATAAACCACGTACATCACGTGTCCGTCGACTCGGGGGAAAAAACGTTAAATAAAAAAAAAAAAAAAAACGTGAAATAGTAACGAAACGCGATTTGTTTTCGTCGTTTACCGGAGAGTTTCGATGTTACCGTACCGGAGCGCTAATTATGGATACTTCTAAATTATTATTTTTTTTAAATAACTCATAACGTTGTAACACGCGAATCACGCTAAAAAAAAAAAAAAAAAAAAACCGAAAACGCGTTAATCGCCGTCATTTGTCGTCGACTGTTTTTTTTTTTTTTTTTTTTTTTTTTTTTTTACGAATAACCGATTCGCCTAGGTAGATTCACGGTACATCTACGGAACTTTTGATTTTTTTTTTCTTTGTCCGCGTATTTTATTCCTAATTATTTCTCTAGACGGAGCGTTTCCGTCGCGAGACCGCTCGAACGCACGAATAATAAACTCCCGCGTCCGTTCTCTACGGACGAACGGCCGAACGCCACACGTTTATTTTTATTATTATTATTTTTTTTAAATTAAATCTGTCAAATATTTTTACGGAAATATAATTCGTCCTCAAACTACGCGTGATTTCGTTTTTTTTATTTTTCCATACGTACACGCGGCACGGGCACCCGCAGCGCCTTCGCGTCTGCATAACATTACACACGCGATTCGTCGCGCGCCGCGGATAAATTATAAACTATTTTATTTTTTACGCGTGAAACGTAACCCTTGAAATCGTCCTTTTCCCAACGTCATTTACCGTAAAACCAATGTTCCCGCAGTACAATCGAACCGAGTCCGAACCCCAGCCGATAACACCACGACAACATCATCGAACCTATAGGTACTTAATATATATTTTTTTTTTTTATAAAACAAACGATCGTTTTGTAATCCGCTACCCGTTTATCAACCGCCTGTGGGTGGCCACTGCGACCGAACCGAATGAATCGACATCGGGCTGTCCGCGGGCTTTACGAACGATTTAAAAAAAAAAGAAATCACCGTTACGGGGTAATCTCCGCTAAACGCCAACAACAATATTGAAAATCGTAAAACCGAAGAGGAAATTAATCGTTATAAAAAAAAAAATCCACTAATCACACACATATTGTGATCTAACAGTTTTTGTAAAACATCGCCGAACGCAAACGGCATACAACGAGCGGGGATTTTTTTAGCCGCGACTTTTCTCGATAGAAAATATTTTTAGGAGAGGGGTGGGGGAAAGCGATAAGTATGATGAGTTTTTTTTTCGTTTTAAACGCGATTTATGATTATTGAAACGCGTTTTTCACATCGTAGACGATTATATAATAATAATAATATATAACGACATTACAATGTCTACGTTTCAAAAGCGTCGAAAAATAACGCGGCAGGTTTTGTTTTTTTTTTTTTCATCGTAATTTATTATTAAATAAATAGGAACAAAGATCGGAAAAACGCGTTACTTTTTCGTCCGGAACTATGTGTACGCAATAGGAGGTTTACTATCGGAGAACGACTAGGAATTGCACCGCGCGCGCAATATAATTGTGTTAAAAAAAAAAAATAAAATAATAATAATAATAAATTAAAATCGCGTCGCGTTTGGAACGTTTAAAACGCTCGGAATCTTCGGAAACTCCGGATCGAACGCCCGGGAAATATTGTCGAAACAAAAAGCGAAAAACGATACACATTGTCAAATACTATCGAATCGCGAACGCCATTACGGCCGTATTATAGTCACGCCGATTGTAGTAACAGTTTAGTAGTCAATTTCGGCGTCGTTTCCGAACGGCGATCGTTACAACAACCGTCGGGCGATCCGAAATCGTCTTCCGGACGTCCGCGCCCGGCCCGGAATAAACGAACACGGTGCTGCCGTCGACAATCGCATCGCGTGCGATAATTCACAATCGTGTGTCGATATATTAAAAAGCGTGTCATCGGAACAATTAAACGTTTCTAATGCACACACACCCGATCGGAACTGCACACTGCATCGCACAATTTAATTACCGAGTGTCGCATACGAATGAGCGACGAACTGGTTTAAAATTACAAAAAAAAAAAAAGTCCATTCTCATACCATCTCTAACATACCTACGTGCGTGTTTTTTTTTATGTATATATATTTTTTTTTAAATTTTTTTTTTTACGAGGCGATTTTGATTTTAAAAATATCGTTCGGGACACCTCGTGTCCGCTAGTGGCGTCGTACCCGTCCGTTTCGTTTCGGAGAGTGTACGGATTATTATACGAAATACGCCGTTTAAAGGCGTTGAACGGCGAATTTTTGAATATATCTTTCGCGGTTCGCATACTATCTTTACGTACCGAAATGGATATCGGTATTGTTGGACGAACGATAAATTGAAATATCGCCGAATTTTTTTTTTTTTTTTTTTTTTTTTAAATACATATATATCTACTACACACCGTACGAAATTTGAGGATTTTTTAATCGTAATTACCGAAATAAATACGATTAAAATTACAGTTTCGATTTCAGCGACACGAACGGGCGGCGATAGAAATATATTGGTAAGATATTTTTCGAGAGAATATAAATCGTAAAGTACACGGGAACGCCACACAAGTCGTCCGCGATTTGTTCTATACGTCGCACATACGATAGTCTCGGAAAATTATCGAGATCAATTATATTATGGTCATGACGTGTTTTCGAGATGGCCGATAAAAATGTCCGAGAAGAAAACAGTGACCGGCCTTTAAGACCGTCACACATGATGAGAACCGATCTGAATATTTTTTTTCCCGAGGTTCTCGAGACAATATTTTTCCGGAGTTTATGACCCGCGTTCGCGCACGACGGTCAGAACGGTAAATATTTTCTAAAGACTCGGGAGATTTGTCGAGCGAGAAAAACGACATTACAGTTTTTCCGAAAAACCAAACGGTAAAAATAAACGCCGAGGAAACACGAAACATCATATTAATGTTATACTGTTATTATTATGTTATATTAAAATTGTAATGATTTTTTTTTTTTACTGACCTTCCGCAAATCGTGGCGATTTTTCGGTACGGTTTTCCGCGACTTGCCGATGCGCTCGGCGTCCTGGACGTCGTCGTTACCCCGGTGTGCAGCCGCGGTACAGATCGCGGTGACGGGACACGGCGGACACTTGATGTGCGGGAGGTGGGCAGCAGGCCGCGGTCAATACGGCGTCCCCTTGTAGGAAAAACGGTACCCGGTACTCGACGACGGCGACAGTAATTATTTTGTTATGCGAAAAATCGGATGGGGAACCGGTGGCAGGAAAAAAAAAAAAAAAAAAAAAACTGAAAATTTACGTTATTATTTCGTACTTCTGATACGTGAAAAATATAATGGGAAATAATCTGTGTCGGCGTATGTTATACAGCGCGCGGCGGTGTCTTCCCTGGCGGTGGTAGTCTATCGGTGTGGCCTGCTCAGCAAGCGGCGGCGTTACGGGACAACGAACCGACGACCACTGATGATGATCGCGGACACCGGCCGACGGAGCTGTTCTTGGCGCGCGGCCGCCCGAGCCGCTCTTTCACACTTCCCCTACCCCCGTCGCGCCGGCGGCGGCGGCCGCGCGAGCGCCGCGCCGCCGCGCACGCACCCGTCGCGGCCCGGTGGGGGTAACGTCGTCGTCGTCGCGCCGAGGTCCCGGCGTGTGAAGTTCAAGATCTCGGCGGCGGCGGCGGCGGCGGCGGCGACGGTAACGACGGCGGACGGGGCTTGCGCAAAACCCGCCGGTGCCCGGTGGAGATTTCCACAGAGAGAGAGAGAGAGAGAGAGAGAGAGGGAGAAAGAGAGAGGGCGAGACAGCTAAAGAGAGAGAGAGAGAGAGAGAGAGAAAGAGAGAGGGCGAGACAGCAAAAGAGAGAGAGAGAGTGAGTGAGTGAGAGCGAGAGGGCGAGCGATTTCCAGAGACCGAGAGAGCGAAAGAGAGGTGCCGTTTTTCGACCCGTCTGCAGACGCCGCCGCCGCGCGCACGTACGTACACACATTATGCACCGCGCGATCGTCACATATCAGCTACGCCCGGCGGCGGCGGCGGTGCATCGTATCGATTCCGGGCCGCCGGCCGCCGGCGCGGGGTGCATTTCCGGAATGCATATGATAATAAACGCGGCACTCGCGCCCGCGAACAAACACCTACCTGCTCGCGAAATCCGCCGCGCTGCGATTGTCCGTTCGTCGCCACTGCCGCCGTATGCGGCGCGTGAAATCCCGGAATCGAAAAACCGCGCGCGTACACGAATGCCCGCGGAATTTGTACAGGAGAAAAAAAAAATAAAAAAATTCCAAATACCGAAAAGACCGAACCGGACGCGTCGCGTGTCGTACTCTTTAATAGTTTAACTGCTCATCGCGCATCGTTTACGGTTGTCGACAACGCGGTACCGTGTTATTCGCGGTCCGAACGCCAATCCGCAAAATGTCATTCATTGTCCTCGGCGCGAACCAAAAAAAAAAAAAAACAAATCGCACGACACGCGACGTGACGCTACCAAAGTTCTGTCAGACCGTCGGAATCAGACGAAACCATAACGGATTTTGAGTTACGCGACAACGTACCTGAATACTCGAAATCTCCGAAATCCGCGTGTCCGGAAAATTATCCAGAATTTAAACTGACCAATTTGGTGTTCCGCTAGGTGCAATTATCGACACAGTTCGGTAACATTTTAATTTATTTGCGCGTTTCTGACTGTGCTGCAGTAGCGCAGGCTACATTGATCTTCAGTTCAGAACTGAACGTGCAAACGGACGGTTACAGCGTATATCCGTATTATAATTCTGAGCGTTGTCGAACGGCAACCCATTTTCGGATTCTGAGTGGAGCGAGTAAACTTATGGTTTTACATTTTTCTACCAGCAGTTTTACTCCGATTTACAATCAAACCATTATTCCCGAAAAGAAATTTTACTGCGGAGATACTTTCTAGAAGTAATTTTTTAATTATCTCAGGAGTTTTCTCGATATATTTGAAAAACCGAAAAAATAATGGAGGAAAAACGAGAGATCGGGAAAATATGTACAATATTAAAGAAAACGTTGAATGCACAATTTGTAATTATTTTGCCATATAATATACACATGTAATATATTGTTGGCGAATAAGCAACATTATCAAACGAGCTCCGCTCAGAATCGTTTTTTCGTTAGCAATGGTTTATCGTTGATTTAGAGATATACATATTATATTCCCGTCAATATCGTACCTTCCCAACTTCCCGGCTACAACAGTTGCTGCGCCCAAGTGCGTGGTATGTCCGTGTTTTTTTGTTTAAAACTCGAAAAGATCTCGTTTATAACAGTTTAGGTTAGCGAGCGCATACATAGTATTTGGGAGCATGTACCAAAACGATTGGCGCGAAAATGACCGCGACTTAAAAACGATTTTAAAACGCTGGGAATTCACGTATAGCGCGGCACCACATTATTATTATTATTATTATTAGGTGTGAAATGTCTACACTGCACACACGCGCGCCATCGCGGTGCAGTACCTATGCGTCCAAACCCTTTTCGTATATTTACACACCGCGGCCGTCTTAAACAAATTAACGAGCACCGTACAACGGATTTGCGTCTACGCCGCCGCCTCCGATACACGAATGCGTTGTGGGAAAACTATTTTTTTTTCTCCCCTTAGTTCTCCCGCGTGTTTACCGTAAAAATTGTTATTTCGACGCTCGTATAGGCGGACGCTGCATCGTTATCGGCCTTTATACGATATTTTGCCGTAGGCATTTGAAGTTCCAGTCACGCCACTGTCGAGTCATCCCGCGAAACCGGTCGAATCAAATGCGATGATAATATCGGCGTTTTACAGCGCGCGACCGTCGTCGTATATTTGCCTGTGCTGTACGAATAAACGGATACGTCACGGAGTCCAACCATAATAATAATACAAACCGGTCCCTTAAAAAGCGAGTTTCGCTGTATATTAATTTTTTTTTTCGTAAACATTTTTATTGTAGATTGAAAATCATTCTCATTAAATGTGAAAAATCGAAAAAAAAAACGGGAAAATGTATGAAATATATTAGTAAAATACAACGATTTTTTTTTTCTGTGGACAAATTTTCTACCAGAAATTTCGCTACAATTTATAATGATAGCAATATTTCTAAAAGGAAATTTGACTGGACAGGTACTTTAAAGAGGTCGTTTTATCGGTTTTCTCAAGAGTTTTCTAATCAAATGTGAAAACCGAAAAAAACGGGAAAATCAGTACGTTAAACAAATATTATTAAAGAAAATATACAATGCCTATTTGATTATATAAACTATAATATGACATACAAATTGTTGACAAACATCTGGACACCGCTCAGAATCGTTTTTCCGTGAGTAATGATTTATCGTTGCTTACAGGTATACATTAAATTACTTATAACAGCGGGTGCACCCGACCTCTTAGTCCTAGGACGTTTTTGTTAAAATTTCCGACAATCTAATGTGTGGAGAACAAGAGGTGAGAAAAAAAATGGAATCTCTCTGGAATTCAGACTACGAAAAATAAAATAAAATCCTATGAGCGTACGCGTATTGACAAATAAAATCCGCTATTTAAAGCAATGGATCAATATTCACAAGTAACTATGTCTATGCAGTCAACACCAATTTTATAAATATCTCAATCAACAGTATCGAATTATCACTATCATAGTCAACCACATCAGTGTCACAAAACTCGCCACAATATCCTCAGCAAATACAGTTACAAAACTGAACTTGCCCAGCCCCGATATCAGGTACATTGCTTGTTTGTCAAACAATAAGTATATCCATATCAGGCACGGATCCAGAACAAAGATCTATGGGGGGGGGGAGGGGCAAAATTTTTTTTACAACACAGATACAATATTAAAATATAATATAATATGTATTGTGTATATTGTTTTATCATACATATCAGTGATCGGAATATCGTAATGTCAAGATCTATAGAATTATAAACTAAAAAAAAAATCGAACAGATAATATGTCTATGGGGGGGATGGGCCTAGGCCTCCTGGATCCGTCCTTGATAAATATGGTTATACTTGAGATGTTTTAATTTTCAACCTAACACGTGCGTTAGAACGGACTTGTATGATTTATACCGGCAATGTAATAAACCTAACGAATCGACGACTAAACGCAATTATTGTTGTAGAAAAAAATACACCGAAATCGACGACGATCCGCGTTATTCGCGTGTATAGGCGCTCGAGGATTTGTTTTTTTTTTTTTTCTCGTTTCGTTTTCTGTACCGCCCGAATTGTAATTTATCGTTGTAATATTTATTTAGCGAGACAAAAAAAAAAATAAATAAATACACCGAACGGGTTCAGGCCTTGAAAATGCCGTCGTAATATTTTTCCCATATAGGCGCATTAATGATGATGTACTCCTCCAGAAATCGTGAAACCGTCGTCGTCGGCGAACGAAATCGTTTTGTATAGTTGAGTAGGTCGTACGCCCGTGTCTGCACGATACGTCTTGTCGTTTAATTTTGCTTTTCGAGCGCGTTAGATTTGTTTTTGCGGTCGCGCAGTCACGTTACTATTGTCATCGTTACTGTCGCGTGCGCGTGTTTTTCAAACGGCATTTTTGCATTTTTCGTCCGGAGACGAACCTACATGCCCTGCACAGACGTCTGTGTCGGACGAAATATTACGATTTGATTTTTTTTAATTTTTTTTTTTTAACAGAAACGCGAGTGTTTTATCGATTGTAATTCGATTATCGCACGTGAAAATAATAACATAGTGTCCGCGCGGCCGCAAATCGTCATTACGTTACATAAAAGAAACCGCCGCCGCCGTAGAAATTAAACTCGTACATCGTGTGCGTACTTTTGTGCGCGCGTCTTCGTATTATCTTTCGGTATATTATACAATTGAAAAGTCGAAACCCGGAATTTTCTACCGACCGTGGTGTTATTATAATTTTTTTTTTTTTTATTGATTTCGAACGCGAGTTCTTTTAGATTCCGAGCGGTGCGAGAACCGCATTGGTTTTACAATGCAGGCCCGTAGCCAGATCAAATCATCGGAGGGAGGGGGCCGTTCAATTAAATTTCCCTCAGAATCGGTTTTCGTTACCAAAGACTAATATTTGCGTACAGATATACATTAAGTTTCTCCTTTGCCTTCCCAATTTTTTACCCACAATAATGGGCCCACCCATCATGCGAAGTATGTCGGTTTATTATTATTTTTTTTTCTGGTTTTTTTCCCCGTATGGTAACTACAGCAGGTAGTAGTTTTCGACCGGATTCTGGTCCGGCTGGAATTGCGTCGGGAAGACAGGTTTTTCGCCATATCCGGGCTCGGGTATTTATCTTAATAACGGGGGGGGGCAGGTGAGGGGGAGAAGTGAAAAACCGAAAATGTCCGTCTCGAAAAGCGGGAACGTATTTTTAGTCGAATTCGCCAGTGCTCGGCGAAAATCGAGAAATAATAGTATTTCCATCGGATACGTGTTAACGTATTTTCCGTTTATTTACTATACAACAGCGAAGTATAAAGTTATAACATATTACGCATGTATACAGTTTGGTTTTAATTATTTTTAACTACACGTAGTACGTGTACATACATAACCATATTGGAATTGTTTGCTGTTTTTCGTATTTTCCTTCTTATATTTTACGTTGTGTGTACCGTTGCATACGGGATTTAAACTGCTACACGTTATTATACTCGCTATAGTACTTCGAGTTTATCGCACATGTTATTATTGTAAGTCTTTGAAAGCCGTGTGTTCTTTTCGTTTTGTATTCTCTGAAAATACGCATACGGTTAGTAAGAATCCACCGACTTGTCCGCGTTATGTCTTAAGAGACGCGGAATTCCTGCCTGGCGGTAACGACACACGCGACGTTTTCGGCAATTCGCCAGCTCCCGTTAGGCTCTACCGTCGGTTTTCGGGTGACTTTGGCGACGAGAAAAAAAACACCGACTAATAGGTATGTGATATTTTACTACAATCCGCGCAGAACCGTTTTATTGAATACCCGGGAACTGAATATTACTCCGTTCATACCCACGCAGTGTCCCATTATTATCAATCTCTATAAAGGGCCGTAAAAGCCATTTTTTGGTCCAAGTCAATGTGTTTAAAAACAGAACAATTTTTTTAAATAATAGTTCAATCTGGTACATTTCTATACATCCAAAAACTTTAATGGCTTTAAAACATGTTTTATAAAGAACAATTAATTAGAATTCTTATTAAACTTGAATATTAGATTCTGAATGTCGCGAAGAATGTATTGGTTTTACCAAGATGGTTATTTTTTTTTATTTTTTTATCCGGTGTACAAAAATTCTACCATAAATCTTGCTCAGATAAACACGCGTGGCACCATTTCTGAAAAGGAATGTTGTCCATATAGTACTTTTTAGAGACCATTTTTTTGATTTTACAAGCGGTTTTCATATTATGAAATACCTGGGAAAAACCGGGATAAAACGTAATAAAAACGGGAAATTTACGAAAATAATGCTTTTATTATTTTTCAATTTTGTTATTTGTTGTAGTTCAGTTTAAAATATTCGTAGAGATTCTATGGGCTTTAAATTTGGACAGAAAATTTATATTTGATTTTTTATAGACATGGTAAAATTTTCAAAAAATTCAAGCCATTTTCGAAGTATTTATAGATATTTTAATTCTGAGAGTTTTGTACGTAATATTTATTCAGTAAGTACTCTGTAGTAAAATTGTTAGATTTGAACAGAAATGCTTCAAAATTTAATAAGAGGTTCACTAAGGGTTATACTTTGCAGTAAAAAAAAAAATTGAGTTTAATGTAGTATTTTTTTTATAAGGGAATTTTAGTATCAAATTTTAGTAATATCAAAATCGTCCGAGTAAAAAATTATGTGGAACAAATCTAATTTTTTAATTTTTTTTTTTCTAGAAGATATGTATATTGTGATTTAAAAACGATGGTGTGGTCACAATTGAGTGGACTGACTATGTTTCGAAATTAAAGCTTTTTGTAGTTCTGATTTTATGGCGAGTATAATATGTTAAAATAAATAACACATATTATACGTACCTTTTGTCATCTTAAGAGTCACGAGTTCAAAACCGTTACTCGAAAAAAATTGTTTGCACTTACTTTTACCCACTTACCTAAACAGGAAAAAAACAAATGCATTTTAGATGTATCTAGAAAACCAGTTATCGCTCGCTCGGACTATTTTAATCGCAAATACCCTTCGATTTGTTGTGCAAACTTTTTTACTAGAAATCTTGTTCCAATATATCAAGTATAGCGTATTCTCTGAAAGGAAATTTTATCTCCATAGGAATTAAAAGAGGTAATTTTTTGTTATTTCAAGCAATTTTCGTAATATCTGGGAAAAACCGGGATAACATGTCGGAAAACGGAAAATGTAGGTATTAGTAAAAAAATATTATGGCCTTTTTTTATCCGTGAACAACTAATCTACCAGACATTTTGCTACGATTTACAATGACAACACTTTTTCTGAAAGGAAATCTGATTACTGTAGATGTACTTTAGAGTGGTGATTATTCGATTTACCCCAGAAGTTTTCCCAATAAATGGGAAAAACTGGGAAAAAACACGGGAAAATCGTAAGAAAAATAGAAAAATAGGTACAATATTAAAAAAATATTATTAAAGTAAATATGCAATACCTATGTAATTATTTCACCTTAAAATGGCATTATATACTGTTGACAAAGCTACACTATCAACTGAACTCTGCTCAGTTAACCACAGAATCGTTTTTCATTATCAACGGTCTATCGTTGTTTACAGATACATATTAAATTTCCCCTCTACAACCTTCCCGACTACTCATCTATAACAGTGGTTGCACCCCCGTGCAACGTTGTCCGGCTTTTTGAATATAAATTTTAAGAAAAACAAACCAAATTTCATCATACCACTTTATTTTAGTAAAAAATCTAATGTACATCACGTACTTGTAACAAAATTGAATAAACATGCAACGCAAACAATTTTGAATTAAAACAGTATTCTGTAGTTAGTTCAGTTGAACTATTAGCAATATTTCTGTCAAATCTATTTAAAATACCCAAATCGTTTTTATACCGTCAATCGGAAAGCCGAAATTGTATTATTTTTGGATTTTATATTTTCATAACATATTATTTTATACCTATATTGTTATTTTTACCTATATATATATATGTAAGTGATTGTATTTACAATTAAAAAAATAGTTAAAATATTTTTTCATCCATTTTCCGTTTGCATTTGCATTTTGTCAATTATTATGCAATCTAAAACAAAAATGTAATAATAACAATAATAATGATTTATTCATTGATATAAAACGGGCGTGAACCCAATTGAAACAAAATAATACATTACAATAAAACAATAGGTAATATATTATACGGTTATAATAGTGATTAAATATAAATATTGATATTGATGTAATGCAAAATTACAAATAATGTAATAATAATAGTATAAGATATAATAGATATCAACTGCAATAATTAACACGAGATTTAGTTTTTTTTTTTTTTGATACTTTATCAAGAAAGAAATCAAATTCGGGATATTTGTTACATGATGACGTTGCTCTGGAAAGAGATGAATTTCGAGCAAAATCGGTATTACGAGTGGAGGTATAGACAATAGTGGGGTATCCGGGATGGTGTAAGGGAACCATTAAAGTGCACGTGTTTAAGTAAACAAAGAGAGTTTATACGGCCATTGATGAGGTTATAAACAAAATTTATATCCGCCACTTCCCGTCTAGATGTAGATGTATGTGTAGGCAAATTAGAACGTAAACGAATAGGTTCGTACTTGTGAAATTCCGACTGAAAATTTATTTTAAAATTCAAGTATTAACCGCAATTGCGGTGAAACTTTCAAAATGATCGGACGAATTTTTTTTTTTTAATAACCGTTTTGAAATCAAATTTAAACGAAAAAAAAAATACGGCACTTCAAATTATGCACTACCGAACTGCGCTCGGAATCGTCTCTGCTCAAGCAACGCTCTATCGTTGTTTACAGATATTAAACGAAATAACCTTACGTGTCCTGCGTCCGCAACTTCTCACCCACAACGGTGGCCACTCCCGTCCGCAGTGTCAGCTCTTTTTTTTTTTTCTTTTTTTTTTCGCTTGTATATACGTGGGTTCGATCCCGAAAATCCTGCCTGGGCCCCTCCCCACTCCCCCTGTTGCCCAGACCAAAACTAACTGGAATATTATCGTTTGCGGGCCGACCTGCGGGTTTCGGCGGATCTGTTTCGGTTCCGTAAACCGTCGACGGCGAATCGCTCGGCAACACGACGCGGGTTACGGCGACGCGCAAAACGACCACGTGCTCGCCGTCGCGGCGTCAAGAGTGACGCGTTCGTTAAAACGCGTAAACGCAAATGCGGCGACATCGAACGAACGTAAGCGCACTCAAGTCCGTTCGGTGGCCGGCGATTAATAATGTTGTCTGTATCGCACAAGGTGTCGGGTCGGACGGGTGCGCGCGCGAACGTTACCGCGACCCGTCGTCGTCGCGATGAACCACGGTCCGAACCCAACACCCGACCAAACCGTCCGGGAGACGGTTTCGCGCGCCGTTTACAACGTCCGGCGTGCGCCCGTATAACACCCCATTATAGGCTCGCCACGACCGGGAACGTAAGGAGAAAAACACACGAAATACGCAATAAGCGATAAGCGTGTATATCGTAACGAGACAGACGAAAACGCTTACCGCCGGAAAAAAAAAAAAAAAAACAAACATTTGAATTCGTTTGAATAATCGTTGGGTATTATCCGTCGATAGAACCGTCTAGTTTTTTTTTTTTTTTTTTTAAGTATTAACAATTAGTTATAGAGTAATTTTCGTCTGGTCTTTCTGTTTTTGTAAACATAGAGACATAGTGAGAAAAAAATAAAACCGATATTGATTAGGAATAAACAAAAATATGGGTACCCCTATTCCGCTGTTGTTGCCGCCGCCAAAACTCCGCGACAAAACAGCCAGCGGTGCAGTGTACAGTCATAATTTCGTGATAAAAAAAAATAATATTTTTTAACCAAAATAACAATATGTATTATGGAATAGTATTATTATCGCATTATAATATTGCACGTAATCAAGCTATCGCTATCGGTATTCTTATTTGTTTTGAAAAACAACATTCGTAGTTCGGAGTGTTTCGATGAAAGCGCACAAGCTGATCGAATTTTAATTTGCATTCCGTATTTACGTCAAAACGTCTAATTATTTTAAACATAGTAATAATATAACCGAACAAACGAATAGAACACCCGACTACTGTTTTAAACCATAGGAAAAGATATCAAATATTCACGCAGAAACCAAAGATGTGAATAAACGAGTCAACACAAATTGATTAATTATAGAATCATCTCGTTATTGAAACGTATTTATTGATTATTGTTTCATTGGTTATTGAACGATAAATTAGATACCGGCGGAAAAAATACTCGACCGAAAATCAGTGGTAGGCTGTCCTCAACCGTAATCACTAAGAACTAAGACTAACTAAATTGTTTCGGTCCAACAGAATTCGGAAAAGGATAGCGGAATATTAGTGAAGGTCAAACGCTGCATTTATGCTAAATAAAGCCCTGCGTTCTACGACTTATATTTTTACACACAGATCAACAGGTAACTGATGGTATAAATGTTTTATATCTTTATAAAGTGCGTAACGTGTATATGTTTTAATTTCTCTCGGATAGAAAACGATACTGATGATAATATAAATACTATTGATGAAAACGTTCGAAACGATTCTGAGATTTATGTCAATGAAATATTTATTGTTTACAAAAAACGTCTGAAAAAAAATCAAACATCAACAGATGCAAAGCCCCCCCCCCGACCACACTTCCACGCGCGCGATTCAACGTCATCCGCCTGCGCCCATCACGATCAACCCATCTCATCCGTATCTCCAGTAGTCGGTCTTTCGCCGTTTCTTGTTGGTTTACAGCTGTATTTAGGTATACTCGTAAATCGTGAATCGCGATCTATACTCGGTGAATATTATGAAAAGGCCATGTCGTGTGTGAGTTTGTGTGTTTGTTAAAGGCGGCAATCTCCGGAACCGCCGATCCGATTTTGAAAATCGGTCTGTACCGATAGAAAGCCATTGCTGTACACGGGCTGTTCCCGATAGCGACGTAGGCTATATATTTCATTTTTTTTTTTCCGTTCGTCGCGCGGGCAGAGTCACGCGGGACCGTGGAACTGTAAACGGAATTAAACAAGTCAAACAACGCAGCAGATCAAAAACTAATATAGCAACGAGATAACACTTTGCGGCCGCGGGTACATTGTTATAATGCGCGCGTTCTCGGAGACGGCGTTTCGTATTCGACGGTCGTCCGGGCGGCCTACAAGATGTGGCGATTTCGCGTTCGAGCCGACCTCCCGAGACGGAAAACCGCCGCAGATACCATCGCCACCTACCTTTTCAACCCACACGCCGCGCGCGCACACCGTTCGGTCGGCGCTCCTATCGATTTTCGCAAAAGTAAAACGTACAAAACCCGCGGCCGCACGTAATCACGCGAAAACGACGCGCGACTATTTCCTCGCGTCGCGGCGTTAAGCCGGGCGACACGCGCGTGTCGCCCGCCCGCGGCCATTGTGATTTCGACAGTGTTCTCTGCGGAACGAATCGAGCGACGTTCACCTGTTATTACGTCGCACATGGCATACAGGCCTTTGACGACCGGATTTACTACGTTCGAACAGCCAGGACGGGCGGAAAATAGGGGAGAACGTTACGCGCGCAATACACGTATACACACACACACACACACACACACACACATACGAGTGTGTGTTTTGTGTTCACTCGCGGACGCCCCGCGGATACGGGGATCCGACAAAAGTTCATAGAAACGAAATCGATCGAGTCCACACACCCTATACGCACACGCAACGCAGTTCGGGTCCCGCGGGGTAAACGGACGAGCCGCGCATATCGCCGAAAATGTCGCGCTATAGCGGAGCCGCGCGGGGGAAAAAAAAAAAAAAAATGTTTTTCCCCGTCCCCCCAAACAAGCGCCGAAACGACAACACGGCGCGGCCTCAAAACGGGGAGATTACGACGGCAGCGATCGCGCGTTACCAATACGCGCGCGCCGCCGCCGGTCCGGCGAACAAACAATAAAAACGAAAGTGACTTTTGCCGAAAACCAACTGTAAACAAAACCGAACGAAACCTGCCGGGCGTTCCGGAATCGCGTACGCTCCCGGAGAGCGCCGGCAGCAGCGCGGCGGCCGCTATACCGCCCCCGGGACTGCGGTAACGCGTAACGTTCGGGGACCACCCTGTATAATATATTATTGTATTATGACGTGTGGAATTTTTTCGAAACGTTTGAATACGTCCGCGGCGGCGGCGCATAAAAAATCGCGTTTCAAACGACATTATTACACGATATTAATGGTCAACTCGCATACGTTTCGTACGATTAATGAACACGTTTTAAAAACAAGTAGGTATTATTATTACCACCACAGTACACCGCTTGCTATGATATTTTCATAACGTGAATACGTAAATAAACAGCTCGTTTCGATTTGGCCGAGGTCCAATAATTATTATCATCGTTATTATTATTATTATTATTATTATTGGATAGGTAACTGACTACCGTAAACAAATATTAACAACTGTATTAGTACGGGTAATATGCGAACCGGCAATATGGTAATGCGTTTCGTATGCGTACGCGTCAAAACGAATGCAAAAATGGAATACAATTTGATTTTTCGATTGAATTTTATTTTAAATTCCGACAGTTTTTCGAAAAGTTTGACATAACAACAAAGATACATCGGTTTTATTCGTGTTGATTTCTCGTTTACCTTGCTTATACGAGGAAAAAAAACACGAATTTAACCTTCTTTGCGATTTACCGAATTCGTATTTTGATACCCAATGTAATCTTCCCATTTGCCAACGTCCCACCTACAAAAACAGCGGCTCACCTATTGTGCGAAGTATACGTCTGGCTCTCTTTTTTTTTTCTTCTGTGCTGTCTTCTAAATCTTTCACGCAGCAGGCGAACGAATTGTTTGAATAATAATTTTTTAGTCTAATCCTTCTTATTTTCAACATCGTTATTTTTCTCATACCTAGATACTAAAGTTAAGCAAAGTTGTCATTTTTCTTTCTGATAACATTTTTCAAATTAACTAGTTTCAAGAAAAAAAATTTCATTTGAAAAAAACTCATTCAAATTGTTAGTAAATCATTTTAACTAAAATTAGATATTTTGTTGAAATTTAAGTTATTTCTAGATAATTATTTTTGAACTAAAAATCGTATAACGTTTGAAAACCTATGTATTTTTCAACAAAAATTACGTATTTGTGTGTGAATATCAATAAAACATAACGAGATACGGGCATGCTGCCAATCGCAGGTTCACCCGCACGACTCTTGTAGAGTAAGTTTATAAAAGTCTCAATATAAATGTACAAAATACGTTTATTAGAGTGCACATATAATAAAGGGTAATTTTAAAAAAAAGTAACTTTTAACTCGAGTAAGTTATCGTTATCCTGAAAACCTGTAACTCGACTTGGTTCCTCGCGATCGTTTACAATAGACAATTAACGTATTAACTTAGCTATTAGTTATCTTTAGTTTCACTTCAATTAGTGAAAACGAAAAATGGTCAACTCGCCCGGATTTTCTCGGATTTTACCTACCTACCTGCAATTTCATATATCTGTATATTGGTTTTACGTTCGCGACGTTTAACGAACGCGATGTTTTTTACCGTGACTTTCCTGTTAACCCGTTAGAACAGCGTACGCGCGTAACACACGAATCGACCGCGGTTACAGATGAACCCATATGATTTACATAATATTATGATAATGTTTGTGGCGAAATCGTACAATTAAATCGGAACGACCGCAATATTGACGTATAACTGATACAGCGGCGTCTTTAGGGTATTGCCAAGCAGTGAGATATTGAATTTGGAAATCGTGTCGTATTATTATAATAACGCGTTGTGCCCGGGCTAAAAAACAGATCGGTCATAAAAGTTTGTATATTTTTGTAATCACATTACCGTTCAGTTTTCTCTAAAATTATCATTGAACCAAAACACCTAACTATAGCTGGTAAAGTAGGAAGTACGTAACTAATATTATTTTACAGTGATACGAACGTGTGTTTCGTTTTAAACAACAACATGTATACGTTCATGTCTTTTTTTTTTCTAAATTTATTATTGATAGCAACGCGTAGAATTGTTTTTGACAAAAACTAGAGAAATTCGAATTTTAAAATGGGATAGTCGTATATATATATATATGAAATTATATTTTATAACATACAAATATTGATTGATAAGGTATTGATAACGTTTTGATACGCTTAATTGTGCCAGCTGTCAAACGCGGGATTGTTGTACAATTAAGAGGAATATTTTCGGACGGATTCCCTATAGCTGTTTCTCGTATTAGTCACTCGGATAATAATAACAATTATGTCGTGTACAGCAAATTTCCAAATATGTCGCAAGTCGTCGGAAAATCGCATTAATCATTTTACCCGGTCGATGCGAGTTCTGCACATTTTCCTCGTCTGTGTGACGCAACGAACGACGTACCGTTTTAGGTAAGTAAAAAAAAAAAAAAAATTAAATAAAACAATTCTGCGTTTATTATTTATTATTACTCATTAACTATACTTAATTAATTATATACGCATTATGAAATTGACCGCGATTGTCTACCTATGTACTTGAGTTATTATCATTTACTATTGATATCTCGCGGATATCGGCTGTTTTTGTTAGTTTATAAATATTGAAACACGGAATCGAATTTAAAGGGGAAAACAAGGAATACTTACAGAGTACATTTATTATCGTATTTTTATTATTTTTTTTTTTTTTTACTTTCCTGTTTTCGCAACTGTTACAGATGTGCCGTAGCAAGATAGATTATTACAAACATGTTTGGGCAGTGTCTTTGATACGGGAATCTTAAAAACGTGCCCCGGACATAATTATATCTAATTGTATTGCGATGCTGAAATCGATGTATCTGTATCATCGAGATCTAGATCTAGGAACTTGGTTCGAACTGTCTTGCCCATAGGCCGATGGAGGCCTCGCTAGTCGGGGCATTTTCTCATCAGGCTTTTCGAAAAATTGAAAACGGCCGTACGAAAATGGGAAAAATTCCGAAAAATGTTTCAAATAAATAACCAATGGTTTTTAAGATCAGAGCGCTTGGATTCGGAAACGTAGGCGAGTGAAAATGTAAACATTTTGTATGTGCCGTAAGCTAACTTGCATATGTTTTCAGCTATTCTCGAGGAGTGGGTCGATTTTTTTTCGAAGTCCTCGCGGCCATCGTCATCATAACGGGTCACTCGCGTATCCTAATAGGTACCACGATATACTTTACCAAAACACGAATTCCACGCTTAATCAGACGTATACCGAGAAATCTTTTGTTTTAATAAAAATAATACCGTTTAGCCAAGAATCCCCGGAAGATCTGAATATATAATTATTACATACGACGTGGCCGGTCCTAGCCATCAGATTGCGGTTCGACAAAATTATATAACATAACGTATGGCTACGAAATTGTATTCGCCTGATGTTGAATTCGGGTTAATATATAATATTATCGTCGGCTATACGAACAGTTAATTATAGTTGTACTGACCGAGTTACAGTGTTTGAAATTCTAGAAAATTAAAAAAAAAAAAAAAAAAATTCTAACATCACACTCATTTTTTTTTTTTGTTTATCACGAAGTACAACTTTAATGAACTTCTTGTTAAATTTTCAAGCATTTTTGTTTGGTCTTATAATTTTATCCACAGCCAGAGTACCTACCGAATAAAACTCACGTAAAAACCTCGCAAAATTAAAATGTTTATAAATGCCTGCTCACAAAAATGGTTTAAATGTTTTTAAAATTTTGCCACACCCAAAACAAGAAAATTCAACTTTTCTGTCTAAATTTCAAGTATCTACGAATATTTTTGATTGATCCACAACAAAAAACAAAATTGAAAATAAATATATTTCATGAATTTTCCCGTTTCCCTACGTGATTTTCCAATTATTATAAAATAATTTGGAAAATCAAAAATATGACTACTTTAAAGTACCATCCAAATAAAATTTACTTTCAGAAAAAGTACTACACTTGATACATCGGAGCAAGACATCTGATAGAAGAGCTGTTTACGGATGAAAAAAAAATTGTATATTATACAAAATACATTATTAATATCCACTATCATAAACCAACACGTTCCCTCGTTTCGCTTAGAATCTCAAATGTCTTACAAATAAATTGTTCACAGTATTTCTAGGGAAGAACGTTTTTTTCTCGGGTGTTTTCCAAAAATCGATTAATCGATACATTTTTATGCCGTTCGTCGAAATTTTCAATCATTTTCTAACTTTTTCGATCGAATCTTATCAAACTCAGATTGATTCGATATTTTACTAAAAAAATTTATAATGCACGAAATTCTCATGCGTTTCTCGCAGCAGCTGTGAATTTTATTATGAAATAAACACGAGGGCGTGATGTACTGCACCGCAATCGCTATAATGCATAATGATGTATAACAACAACCCTTCTTTGTCTTCGTACGTATATGCGTATTGTTAAACGATGCGTATTACATTACACGGATTATACCGTAAGTTAAGTCGTGTGTCCCGCGCGAATGATAAATTGGTCGTCATTTAAACTTGACAAGTTAATCGGGTTTCGTTTCGAATCCATAATATCGTCGTGTACGGACTTAACCTTTCAAAATTATAATGTTTTCTTTGTGCGGGGCGTTTTTTTTTTTTTTTTTTTTCAAAAACAATTTGTATACCAAACATTTTACGCCGGCATCGCGTCCGTCATTATAGCACAACAGTCCAAATTAATATCGCTTTCGAGCGTGGAATAGGGAGGAAAACAGTACGCGGGCCCCCGTCGTACCGTCGACGAAGCAGCGGGGAACCGCGGGCGAAGGTAGCCCAGCAAAAAGCCGTACGGCGCGTGCGCGACAGCAGTGACGCGTTTCGTCGGAGGTGACAAAAGGCGCGCACGTACGCGCAGGCGGCCGGGCCCCGCGACGGGAAGTCGAGAGACCGGGACGGTTATCGGAATGGAAACAACGCCGGGAAATAGCCGCCGGGAAACGGAGGATTGACGCGGCGGTAAAGAAATCCGAAATGTCCGCGGGCAAAGTGAGATTATCATAACACAGCGGATATCGCGCGGAATCGCAAGAGACGTATGAGAATATTCAAATTATTGTAAACGGAACGTGTGCCGTCAACGATAATGACGATGGTAATAAAAACGATTGTTGTACACAACCGTACACAGCGTATTGGAACGGGGAAAGGCGGAGGGGAGAAATATGGCCCATATGGTAACGAATTATAAATATTAATATTATACGCGATTTGCTTTCGAATGGTAAAAATCGAATCACGCCCGGAAATATATTATAATAATAACGTTTTCGTGTTAGCTTCGGGACCGGCGGGAGG